AGGTACTCCGTCAATCCTTGGATGACAAAGGAGCACATGATGAGGCCGTCTTGAACAACGTTGCAGATCTGGAACTTGAGATTGAAGGTCTCAAAGGCGAGCAGAGAGCCTTTCGAAGAAAGAATCGAGAAGGCCATTCTGCAAGACAGGAGCGAGACAATGAAGCCTTGGGACGTCGTTTGGCCTACGTCAAGGAAAGGTCGAGGAAACGTGCAGCCAGTCATAGGTTGGCCGGTCAGGCTGAAAGGACTGAGGAAAGGCTTGAAAGAGAAGATGAGTGGCCTCGACGCTTCAATCGGCCTGGCACTGGTCGAAAGGTGCAAGTTTTCCCCTTAGCTGAAGGAGTCTTGGCAAATGAAGTCCAAGCAGCACCATTGTCCAAGAAGGCCAGGACAGCGTTGCTTGAGGAGGAGGAAACGGCTTTCCTTGAGTTGCCGCCGCCTACGGCACGAACAAAGCACTTCCGCCGTCGGCAAGGAAGAAGACCTCACAGCAGAAGAAGGCTAAGCACAAGAGAGAAAGACGCAGAGAGCAACGACTAAAGGAGAAGAAGACCGGTGGACCTGGAGGCATTGGCCACTTGACTTCCTTTTCTGGTCACGGTGACAACTCTTCAGAGAAATACCCTGGTTGGACACGGATCGACTTCGTCATCGACTCCGGTGCAAGTGCAAGCACCATTCCCAAGGAATTGGTGGGCAAGGTGAAGCTTGGTGAGTCCGTGGGGTATCACAGTTTCAGGTTGGCCAATGGGAGCCTTGTGCCGAATGAGGGCACATTGGTAGCCAAAGCGTGGCTTATGGGCAACGAGGAGGTTGGAATGAGAATGGCTGTCGCCAACATCTCACAACCTCTCATCTCAGTTGGTCAGATGGTCAACCAAGGAAACAAAGTTGTCCTATCCCCAAAGGTCAGTTACCTCGAGACCAAGAGTGGAGGTATTCACCGGATCTTTCACCGGATCTTTCAGCGAAATGGCGTCTATGTTCTACCAGTATGGATAGACTCTGCAAAGGTGTCAAAGAGGTCCAGCCCTTTCAGCGGGCAGGGCCACAGTTGCCTGTAAGACCAAATTCTAAGCAGAGGACCGAGAGCTGCTTCAGCTCCGATCCCGCTTCGGGGGTGCAGAGCCGTGTCGGCTCGAGCCCCCAGGAACCTATTGGACATACGGCCCCTTTGGATGGTGAGGCCGAAGTTGATGATGATTTCTTCGAAGATTGGATTTTCGGAGATTTAGAGGATGGACAACCAGTGGTTGAACCAGAAGAAGGCAGGAAGGCGAAGCCAATTAGAGCACCCTGCCTTCCAAGCCCGGAAGAAATCGAAGCTCATGCAGTTAGTCACATTCCGTTCAGGGCATGGTGTTCGCACTGCGTACGAGGACGTGGAAAGAGCTATGCCCATCGTCGGGTCGTGAGATCCGATGATCCAGAAGAAATTCCGGTCATCAGCATAGACTATGGGTTCTTCGGAGCCCCAGGTGAATTGCCCTCCGATGCAGTTGGGGGAGCAAAGATGCCAGTTCTCGTGGTGAGAGACCGCAAGAGCAAAGCGCTGTTCACACACTTGGTTCCGTCCAAAGGTGCGGAACACTTCTACCCAGAACAAGCACTGTGTAGGGACTTGAAGTTCCTAGGGTACCCAAGCCTGGTCATCAAGAGTGATCAGGAGCCTTCAATCAAGGCTGTCGCAGATGCTGTAAAGAATGCGTTTGCATCTTCAAACGTAAGGGTGCAACTGGAGAACTCTCCTAAGGGAGATCATCATGGGAAATCCAACGGGGAAGCCGAGGCAGCTGTTGAGATCACCCAGGGGTTGTGCAGAACTTACAAGGATGCCTGTGAAATAGGCATGGGAGAAATTATCGACCCCAAGTCACCAATGTTGGCTTGGCTGATCGAGCATGCGGGCAACATGTACACTTTGTATGCCCATGATGATACAATGAAGGATGGCCTGACACCGTTCCGTAGACTGAAGGGACGTGATTGGCAGGTGTCGCTGCCCCCTTGGGGAGAGGCAGTGGACTACAGAGTGCGAACGAAGCACAAGTTGGAGGCACGGTGGTCCACAGGTATCTTTTGTGGCATCAGACTCAATACTACGGAAAAGGTTGTCGCTACTGAGAACGGCGTGGTGGTCGTGCAATCAATCAGACGGAAGCCAAAGGAACTTCGTTGGGACCCTGACCTGTTCAAGAAGGTCAAGGGTACACCATGGGCGCCAGTCCCTGGTCGAGCGGCTCGACCAGAGGAAGCGCAGGAGCTGCCGGAAGCAGTCACGGTTGAGCCAGAATTGCCAGACGAGCTTGCAAAGGAGGCCGTACCGGCAGAAAGGAGTGAGGCGCCACGGCGCGTCTACCTCCGTCAAACGGATTTGGACAAACATGGATACACAGCGTCCTGTCCGGCGTGTGATTTAATTCGCGCCGGTGTTTCACGTGAAGGAGTCCACCACACGGAATTTTGCCGAGCGAGGTTGGTGGAGAAATTGGAAGAAACCACAGAAGGTCGAAAGCGTTTGGAAGCTGCCAAGCGCAAGGAAGGGCCCGTCAAGGCTCGGAAGGTTGAACAGCCTGACGGAGGGTCCAAGGATCGGAGTACCGTGTCGGTACTCGGTCCCAGGTCCGGGTCAGGATTGACAGAGAAGAGAAGCGCGGAAGAGACTAATGGTCAGGAGGCGAGTCCTCACAAGAAGATTCATGCATAGCGAAAGTGCAAAGAAAGCGAGAGTGTCACCGGATGAGAGTGTCGTTTCGACACCTGGTCCAGGAGCAACCAGCGGTCAGAGTGCTGCTTCAGCATCTGGCCCTAGCTCGAGTGTCTCACAACCGCAGAACATGGAAGTCTCCGAGGAGTCAGCCACTTCTCGGAAAAGGCTTGCAGAGACAGAAGATGCGATGGTGACAAACTTCTTACTCAGCTTGCGACAAGGTTTTCTTAATTCTGTCGCCGGAGACCCTTATCCAGTGTGCGAAGAGAAATTCGACACAAGTGGGTATGAGGAATTCGAGACGTCATACTATGACGATATATCGGGGAAACCTCTGAAACCGGAACTTGTTCGCGAGTCCCGTTTGGAGGAGCTGTCCACCATCAAAGAGATGCAAGTGTGGGAAGTGATCCCACGCCCAAAGAACGAAAAGACCGTATCGACCAGATGGGTTGACATCAACAAGAAAGACGAACGTCAGCCAAAGTATCGCAGCCGACTGGTGGCACGCGAGCTGAAAAAGACGTTCCGTAGTGGAGTATCTTCGGATCCACACACACCGTCATGGCAAGATTTCTACGCATCTATGCCGCCAATCAGTGCACTGCGGACTTTGTTCGCATTGGCCACCACTCGGAGAGTACCAGGATTGGATGGCCGAATGCAGGAATTGCCCCGCAATCAGTGCTTAATTTTCCTGGATATTAAGAAAGCCCATTTCTGGGCAGATGCCCGGAGACGCATCCTGGTGGAGTTACCAATTGAAACTGGTGTTGATACGCAGAAGTTCGTAGGACTTCTGAAAAAGTCCCTATATGGGACCAGAGATGCGCCAGCCAATTGGGAGGCGACGATCCTTCGCGTAATGACCCTCTTGGGATTTGTGCAAGGAAGGTCAAACAGTTGCCTTTACTTTCATTCAGTTCGAGGTATCAGAGTGGAAGTCCATGGAGACGACTTCACTGGTCTTGGCGCTCAGGATCAGTTGAAGTGGTTCGCTACAGAACTTGGAAAACACTGGACGGTGGAAAATCGTGGTTATTTGGGTCCGCCAGGGATGCCTGGAACCAAGCAAAGCATTGACATTCTGAACCGATTGGTGACATGGACTGAGCGAGGGATTGAACTGGAAGCAGACCCCCGCCATTCTGAACTCATCATTCGCGAAATGGGATGCGATGGAGCCAAAGTTACTACGGCTCTGGTCAAAGAAAGATTGGAGGAAGTGGAGAATTCTGAACCTCTCGAATCTTCAGAGGTACCTAGGTATCGTTCGGTGAGTATGCGGCTAGCCTATTTGGCACAAGACAGACCAGACCTACAGGTGCTGGCCAAGGAGTTAGCAAAAGGGTTGAAGAATCCTACCAAAGCTCATTGGATGATGCTCAAACGTGGCGCTCGGTACTTAAAGAACAAACCGAGACTCATCCACCTCTTTCCGCTTCAACAGACAGCGCATCGCCTAGAGGTTTGGTGTGATGCAGATCACGCTGGGTGTTTGCGAACTCGGAAGAGCACAACTGGCTATTGCATTCGAATCGGAGGATCGACGACGAAAACGAGTTGCAAAGGTCAGGCCGTGATCGCGCTCTCTAGCGGAGAAGCGGAATATTATTCGCTTACATCTGCAGCATGCAATGCCCTTGGTGAGCAGTCAGTCCTTCGAGACTGGGGACTGTGGTTCCCCATTCACATCTGGATGGATTCAACTACAGGTTTATCAATAGGTTCAAGACACGGACTTGGAAGAGTGAAGCATCTGGACACCATCTTTCTGTGGGTCCGGGACGCAGTCAATGCCAAACGCATATCTCTGGGCAAACAACCGACCCTGAAGATGTTGGCAGACTTACTCACGAAACCCTTAGATCAAGCACGAGTCCGTACACTACTCGAGGGCATGAACTACTTCTATGCAACTGGACGACATGGTCTAGCTCTCGATGTTTAGACTGAAGGGCTTGAGCCTGGTGACGAATCTGAGACAGTTTACACCAAGCTCGGGTAACAGACCTGAGTCACGTTCCCCTCGGGAGGCGTGTTGGTGTATAGGGTGTACCTAGGATCTGTTCTTCTTAGGTAGCATGATTCATGTTCATGTACCGCAGCCCTTTTTGGTTTACCTTTGAAGCAGAGCGCTGAGAAGAAAAGGTGCGCTGGGCTGCATCGAACTAGTGAGCCCAAATTTCCGTTGCATTTTTTCCAGGATGACCTTGAAAAAAATGAGTTGGTTTTTCACTTCCTAGTTACCAGTTGATCCCAACCGACATCTTCCTCCGCGTGGTCAGGTCGCCATTGTTTTCACCAGTGGCAACATGATTGGCCCCATGTTTGTAGGTGGAGCCGGGGCTCCTCTGTGGGCTGCACGGGCCTTGCGCTCTTCACAATAAAGACAAGGTAAATAAGAACCATGATAATAAATTATAATGATGTAACAGTATATACTACTAACATCTACTAACCACAATAATCATGATATTGTACATAATACTGCATCATAATGCATGGGTACATGACAATTTCACACATCACAAAGTCCCGCTGACATCACTGATATTTTCTCGGCCAGGTATGACGGCGCAACATCTCTTCCACTACAAGCTGAACAGCGAGGGTATCGCCCCCTGGCATCTGAGTTGGTGAGTGCACTATGATTGACCTAGAATACCCGAATAATACCCATGCATGAAACCATGTGTGCATTTATATATATATATACATATGATTATAAAAAAACTACTATATAAGATACTACAAGTATAATTATAAATGCATTCTTATATTAATATGTATATATATATATATGCATATATAGAATCCGTATAGATATTCCATGTAATTGATATAGTCCCAACTGAGTTGTACGGTGCTTCTTCGGGAAAGGTGGGATGACCATCGCCGTGTTGAAAGATTCACTTTGGGTTCATCGCGGCAATGTCAACTTGATTGAGACTCGCAAATTTGTTGGAGCTACTGTACGAGACCATACCAGTCATGAAATAAGACCAGCAACATATTGGATGATACTCCATGTGCAAATGAGCAATGGTTATTCAGTTATAGGCGCCCTTTTAAGCATCCCCAGGGCCAAGCCCGAAGCCTCCAAGGAGAATATGCCGACAGAGGTACGGCTGCACAATGCTGAGGCCGGTGATGGAGTGGGGGAGCCACCTGAGGCAGCTTAACCTCGGTAAACTAACATAACTATGGAAAATCACCATTTTTCATGGGAAAATCCACTATAAATGGTGATTTTCCATAGTTATGTAAACGTTTACCAGGCCGGTTAAGCTGCTTACCCAGGAGTCCACCTAGGAACTCACCGAGGTCACTGGTGATACCATCGATGCCTTCGGTCAGGCCTTGGGCAAGTCTCTGTGCATCACGTCAACGATTCCATGCACCATCTCGGCCATCATTTTCTCCACGTACCTTGGCAACTTGGGCCTGGGCCCGGATGAAATCCATGGCTTGAGGCTGTTGTAACATGATGTAACTATGTTCCAGCATTGGATGAGGGGGGGAGTGACTAAGCTAAGCCTACATTCCGTGGCAATAGGAAGGGTTTCCTCTACGTTTGTTTCATGGTTTTGCCTTGAACTGCTCCGAAAAGTGGAGAGCCAAAGCAGCTGCCAAGCTGCTATGCAAACGATACCATTTACACGCAATTCTCCTCCAAGACGATATTTTTTCATGGTTTTCCATATTTTTTCATCTGTTTCCCATTGCTATAGTATGTTATGAAAAAAAGGGCAGCCCGCAGAAAGCCATCCATTGTAATTACTGCTGGGAAAAAGCGTATTGAAAAAGCCACACGTGTTCTTAAAAGGATCCAGAAAATTAAAATACCTGTGCAATTTAAAAGAAAAATGATCCATTCTTGCGGATTTGGAACTATGGCCTATGGGTCTGAATTACAGCATATCCCATGTGCAGAATGGAAAACAATCCGTACAGCAACATTGGCCGCAATGCATAGGAAACAGGCAAGTGCGAGCCCGTGGATTGGAACCATGTTCAACCCATGCCCAGTTGACCCACAGTTAAAGGGGGTAATTCGTGCCTGCTTGTTTTGGAGAAGGTTCTTCCGAAATTTCCCCTCCTTAAAAACTGGGTTTCTTGATCGAATTGTTAATTCACAAGCAGGACCAGGCCCGGCAGTTAGTCTGGGTAAGACCTTCAGAGCTATTGGTTGGGCACCTTTGCCAGATGGATTCCTCCAGCATACTCTTGGATTCCAGTTTAATTGGGTTGCGTGTTCAGTGACATTCTTGAAGTATTGGCTGCGCGTCTTATGGACTACACATGCTGCCCACAAAGCCCAATCACGGAAAGATTTTGATATAAGTTCTGTTGATGAATATTTGATGATGAAAGTCTTGAATAAGTTTCCATCCGACCAAAAACAACTGTTGGTGACGCACTTTACAGGGGCTGCTTGCACCGGCAACATGTATGCAAAGTTCAATCCCAATGTTCACCCCGAATGTTCTCTTTGTGGTGTAATTGACGATCGTGAACATCGCATTTTTAATTGTAAAAAGTATGAAATCCAAAGATTCAATGCCAAACCTCTTTTCAAATGGTTAGCAAAACAATCAGCTGCAACGAAACTTCTTGGCTTGGTTCCCTTGGATTTGAGTTTTTCAAAAGTGTTGTGGGAAAATCAGTTAGAATGGCCGGAGAATGTGATTCCCCTGGTCGATTTGGAGATTGCGCATGTGTTTGTTGATGGCTCGGCGTTCCATCAAGATTTGAAAATTTGTTGCATCTCAGCCGGTGCTGCAGTGAAGTGCCAGCCTTTTCAAACTGATCACACAAAGATCTTTGCTTCCCCGGTTCCAGGTGTTGATCATAGTGCATATCGCGGTGAAGTCTTTGCAATATGGGGCGCTTTGTTGAGTTGCTATCGGGTTCACCTTTACATTGATTGTGAAGCTGCCCTAGCGATGTTAAAGTATCTTTGTGATTGTCATTCCTGTAATGTCACACCCAAGATTCAGGACCATCATGATTTGTGGGAAAGGGTTTGGGTTCAAATTCGTAGCCGTCCCCCATGTATAATTGATTCCACTAAGACTAAAGCCCATACTGATGTTGAGAGTATTGACGACCCTTTTTTGAAATGGCAAGCAATGGCAAATAATACTGTAGACGCTTATGCGAAGCAAGCCCTCCTTGATTGGAATCCCACGTTTGCAAAAGCTTCTAGCCATTATGCCATATCGGCAGAAAAACAAGAATTCCTGATTGAATATTGTAATTTTGTTAAGCACATGGCATCCAAGGTCACGGATTCCCCGATTAAGATTCAACCTGATGCCGTCATAGATTTTACAACACGTATCCCCGTTGGTCCGTTCTTTGTCCATCATGTGCCCCAGGCCTGCCCTGAAAATTGGCCTTTTGGTGAAATTTTTTGGAATAGGTTGAGCAGCTGGGCACAGTTGTTGCAATGGTCCAATGTGGAATCCAGGCCAACAGCCATGTTGGAACTATATATAGACTTTGCATTATATACAAAAACCATAGTACCCCTTCCAGTCAAACCTAAGGGAAAAAAATCAGCCAAATGCCAATATTATCTTGTTGATCAGAACTTGGAATATGCTGAAACTGAGTTTAAACTTTCACAGCAAAGTTTTACTTGGAACCGTATTGTTAACTGGACCCGTCACCACCAGTGTCCTATCTTCCCTGGTGAATGGGTCTCGCAATCAGGCGCCCTGAAGGATCTTGGAAATAGTTTTTGGGTCCCTGCTGTTAAACTGACTGCATCTTTAACCACCGGTGCCCTGCCGTATCAAAAACTACATTCTATTTTTGTCACCCCAATGGGGAAAAAGAGGAAAATGTGTATGCCATTCCGTCCTTAGTGGACACACAGATCGGCACCTGTGTATCCACCCTGGGAGGATGCATTCATTTGCATTCGATCCGGCATCTGTCATTTTGCATCCGTGCATTCGACTGTCCCATGGTGTGTCTCGTCGTCACCCCTGAATTTGTTGTTTTTTGTTGGTTTTGTTTGTGTTTTTATGTTTGTTTGATTAATGATCACAATCATTGGTGGGGACTTCACGCGTAGCTGGTTGTCTCTACCGCTGTCACACGGCATTAAAGTCAAAGGCGGAAAAAAATCCAGTGTTCCCTTTGCACGACTTGGACAATGGACAATTTACAGGAACTACCTAAATTTGATGGCACAACAATGAATAACAATGGTTTCCCGTGTTTTTTTCCCTCCAGCCAAGTGGCCCCCAAGGCTCTTTTGGACATATCCCAAGGACAAGGCCAGACACACGGAGGTGCGGGAATGGGGTAATGGGGATGCTGTAATCCTGCATGGTTAGCTGGGAAATGCCCGAACTAAATTGATATTTAAATGGGACAATCCTCCAGAAAAAGTGGATTTCCCATCAAGCCATATTTGATTACTCGAGGGCACACACACATAATATATATATATAACAGTAACATGTGTGCGCGTATACAAGAGAAGCACGTCATGCAGAATCAGGCACCCACAATCTTTTTGTGAATGAGTGTTCTGTGAAAAGACCTCGATGGATAGTGGTTCATTGTGATTCATTAGTCACTTGCCGTTGGTTTGGAAATAGAATATCATCTTGCATGGCCATCATGGCCATCATGGCCGACTGACAGTTCCAATGGATCCTCGAACATTTTCCACAAAACGATTGATCGAAATAGTGTATATACAGGAAAATGGCTCGCCTTTAACCCTTGGCAACACTCTCGGAGAAGGCGATGGAGAGAGAGTGTTCGGGAACATGTTGAGGCCACACCATCTAGGTGCAACTGAGTGCAACTCTAGACTCTATAGGTTTTCCAGCAGATTTTCCCAAACAACTTGAGTTTCCACCGAAGGATGCCGCCAGTGACAGTGACGTTCCAGAGTTGGCCAAGGAGATTTGAGCGTTGGACTGGGATGGAAACCTGAAGTGGTGGCTTCTTAAATGGTTTCAGTCTGTGGTCGCTCATGTGAGTCTGGAAATGACACCCCAAATGAAACATGTTGATTAGCCAGTGGATTTAGGGCTAGTTTATTCTCAGACAGACCCACACATTATCCGTAGGTGATGCAACAGAGAACATTGGAAAACCAATTGGTTGCCCGTTTGGAAAATGATACTATAGTCATCTATGAATGGTTGATTTTCCATGATTTTCAACATTGTTAGTTTACAGGAGGGCAAGCTCCCTTAGATGGAAACAGATGAAAAAAGATAAACAGGTAATACAATGTTGACCCCGGAATAACAAACCCTCGGTTTATTAACATAGTGGGTGCTGTTTTCACTTTCTAGCACCCCCAAATTCAAAAACCTCTTTTTTGAACCCAGGGTTGATATTGCATATAGTTATTTCTTGGTCAATGATACCAAGATGAGGTCGGCCAACAAGCATCCTGACTTTATATCATTGGTACCTGGGAATAAGGTGCTTGCGGAGTGGCCAGCTGTCCCGCAGCCCACTTGCGGCACTTGTGGCCATGCCCTGGCCACATGTTGCTTGGTGGTTCAAGGCCAGTGCAGTTTTCACGGAACTGCGGACATGGCTCGTCCTGACCTGGCGTCCGAAGCACCGCGAGGTCTTCAAGATCTTTAGGGACTTGCTGAAGAGGGCCCTGGGGGCCAGAGACTTGAGGATCCTGCACCTGAGTTTGCTGGAACTTAAAAAGTCGCTTGAAGAGCAAAACCCAAATCTTCAGGAACCTGTTCAAGAGGGTCATTTCAATCACGAAGCAGCTTTGGAGTTCCATTTGAGTCGGCTCACAAACATCCTAGAGGGAGAGGGAGGGTATGACCGACACCGAGTGGAGCTGCTGTTCGAAAGCTGCTGCTGCACTTTGGGGCTGGTGGAGGAGGCCCTGGACCAGGCTGGTGGGGTGGTGTGGGTCTCAGGGGTTCGAAGGATACAGGCTGGGAGTCACAAGATGTCGCAAGATGTCACAATTAGACACGCCTTACGCTTTCACTGGTTCAAGCTGAAGCTTGATATTTTACAAAGTATGGTTTGATTGACCTGTCAGCTCAGACCTTGAACATCCGCAAAGTTCCTCCGAGGCCACTTCAAGAGCAAGCAATACGGAGTCGACCTCTTATGGCAGCGGCCATCCTTCAACTGGCTATAGCTTGCAGGACACGGTGGGCCATTCGGGCCATGCGTCCAAGATCATTCCCTTCCTGCGGGAGTGTCCAAGAAGAAGTTGGATTGAAGTGGATAGGGGGATCAAAATCATCATAAATAGAAAATTAAAAGGATACATATTATGTATATTTGAGTGTGTTGATATTATGATGTTTTTATATGTGAAAGAAATAGGTTCTGATATATATATATATTCAATCATCAAATCCTTTTCTGAGGGTCAGTTCCAGGTGCCGAGCCGAACATAAATTGTTTAAAAGTGCAGAACATCACCCTGGTTTCGACCGGTCTGGGGTGGGGCAAATGTCGCACTTTGGCCCAACTTATGGGATTTAGACATCATCTTGAAATGTTCAATTAGGATCCATCGCGCTCCTGTGCACCGCTTTGGCACACAACCGAGGTACAGCCATTTCGAACCATCAATGGGTCCGGAGACCCTGGGCGAAGACATTCAGCCCCGTGATGTCCGTGCACCGGTGCGAAAGCGCATCAACCGCTGCACCGGGGAGTTTTTGAAACCTGAGCTGATTCTCATCGGTTGCACCAATGGGAAGAGCCGGGAAGAAGCGGTCTTGAATTTTAACCACTCTGGACTGGGCCCCAATTATATCATTGCCAAGGACGGCAAGAGTGAGTCGTTTGTGGAAGCTCGACCGGCCTTGGAAAGGATTTTTGTTTGCCTTCGTTCTATTTGTCTATCTTTTCGGGTGTGCCTGAGTCTTGGGGCCCCTGATAAAATCCTGGGGGGAAAAAACAGGACAAAGCTCTATGCGCCTGGTGGGGGAATCCAGCATGTTGGCGCCTGGTTCGTCCTGTGTATACCTTCGAAGGTGTTGGTGAGCACAGTGAGGTGCATCTCAGCCGAAGATCAGATTCAGAATCTCCTGAGTTCAAGACTCACCCGACCTCCAGCCAATACAGACCCTGCCAGGGGTTAGAGGACTTTTCCTCTTGGGATTCGGATAGGTAGTTTTCAAAGTCGAGGTTGGTTGGGGGACTGGTTAATTCTAATTTCCCATAACATCCACAACTGATGTAGCCTTGCCCTTCCAGAATTTCAGGAGCTCATGGACCCAGCTAGGTTTTGTTTTGCCATGTTTTCACAACTTCTCTGTATCTCCTTGAAGCCGGGGCACACTAGGGTATCTTTCATGTCAACCCCGGTTAAATAATGTTAAATAAACGTATAGGCTGTTTCATCCGGGGTGTGATTTATTTTGCAGCAGATGATCACTTTTGGTGGCACCCCCTTGGTCAATCAACCAAGTATTCTATCATATTCTATCATTTGATCATCCTTTCTTAATTATGTAGATAGCTTCCCTAAATGAGCTATCTGATGAATGTTACCGTTTCCTGATTCATGCCCCTCATGCAAACTGCATGATTTTCCCATCATCGGTTTCCGACTTTATCCAAGGGTTCAGTTTTTTGGAATTTAGCTCTCTTGGCATTCTTGGCTTGGTGCCCTTTGGGTATTGAGCTGGGTTATAATGGTATGGGCTTGTCTGGAAATGGTGTACCCGAAAATCATCATGTGTCCTATGAAAAAGTGGCATGTTTGCGGGTTTGCGGGCATTACCGGACACCCATACCATATTGTCAGTCTATGTCAGTCTCATATCTGATATCTGTTGATATTCCCACAAGCCTTGGTTTCCCATTAACTCCTCCCTCCGATCTTTTGAAGCCACTTAGCATCTTCGAGACACAGCCAAGGCATGCCTATGCCATCTCCATTGGCCTGGAAGGCGACGGCGAAGGCAACGAGAGCTTCACTGAGGCACAGTACACGGAGTTGCTGAGGCTCATCGTTGACGTGAAACAAAGGTGCAGCGGCTGATTTGACACACACCCGTGGCACACGAAATATACAGGTCAAACATAAAGATATATACTTACATATGGTGATCATTTATATTATATATTCATTTAATTATATATATATATGGCTGTGTCTTTTTTTCAGGTGTGCAGATTTTAGTAAGGGTGGGAAGTTCGAGTTCTGCGAACCATACCCACGAATCATACCCCGAACCATACCCCGAATCATACCTGCGAATCATACCCCAAAAAATCACGATTATGAATGTGTCTTTTGGGACCGTTTGGGATTGCATGGCCTCACTAGTTTTAATGGACGTGACACGCCAATTGACAAGTGTTGGCCAGATCTGATGATCCCTGGCTGCCTTCACATACCTTCACGACATGAGTGGTGAGGCTGGCTGGCTGGCTAGGTGGCTGGCTGCGTGGCTGGCTAGGCTAGGTGGCTATGGCAATTGCTGCTGCTGGTTGGGTGGCTGGCTATAGGGCTGGCTAGTTGCGGCTGGCTGGCTGCGTGGCTGGCTGCTTGCTGTGTTGTCTGCTATTAAGTAGCAATTGTGGTAGGTTGACGGTGGGAAAAAGAGACTCAAGCAACAAAGCTTCCTGAATTCCAAAAAAAACATGGGTTCCCGAATCATACCCGAATCATACCTCAAACTTCCCAATTCTGAACCTTGGTACATTTGCAAGATCAGAACTTGTGTTTTGTGAGCATAAGTCTTTTTCTTTGCAACCGTTCGCCACGGGCTACACTACGTCTCCTGCTGCTTCTGAGAAAAATCCGGGAACGGCACCCTGCAGTGGCATCCTGCGATGGCACCAACATGCCAACTCCAAAGCGCACACACCACTTTGACTGCAGCACCTTGAAGCAGCACCCTGCAGCAGCACCACCAGCCAGCTCCAGAGCGGACACGCCACTCTAACAGCTGCACCCTGCAGCGTGCAGCACACCCTTCACTAGCACCATTGCACGCAAAATCGATCCCAGGGCCATTGAGACCCATATACTCCATGCAGGATATAGATAGCATTAATTAGCAACATTCCGATGTTTTTGGGATTTTGCGACTAAGTATAGGTACATAAAGGGCCGCGAACCATACCCCCGAACCATACCCCGAATCATACCCACGAATCATACCCCCTAGTCAAACTTCCCGGGCCGCACTCCTCATTTTGAGACATACCCATATAATTTATATGTGTGTGTGTATGCGTATTCATATATATATAGTATAATCATAGAAGTGAATATATACAATGTACGGTGCACATATATAGTTACACGGTTTTATGAAAATCAACTCAAGAGTTTCTTTAAGCCTTTTTCCCCACATCATTGTGTGATGTTCTTGCTTTTCCGTTCGGCACCCGTCTGCCTCCTCCTTCTCCTCCGCCTCTGTCACACACACACAAAAAAAAAATGTCACAGACAACTTGATCACACACAACTCCATCGCAGGCAACATTTGTCAATACAGACATTGTCACATATAACTTGTCAACACACAACTCTGTCCCACACACAGCATTGTCACACACACACACACACCAGCATTGTCACACACAACTCTGTCACACACACAAAGCTAAACTGTCACACAAAACATTGTTTGTCACACAACCACATTCTCGCGCACAAATCTGTCACACACAAGTCTCAAGTAGCTTTTGCGTGGCATGCATGGCGCTTGCTGCAGTTGTGTGGCTGGGGTGGACTGCATTGGTTGCCAAGACGCCGCTGTGTGTTACTGGCAGGCGTGGCTCTTGTGGCACTGGGCCATTCTGGTACAACATTGTCGCATACAACTTTGTCACACACAACTCTGTCTCATACAGTTTTTGCGGACACCACTGCGTCACACACACAACTATGTCACTCATGACATGTTCACAAAACTCTGTAACAGTGACATTTCCACACAACTCCGTCGCGCACAATTGATGCTATGCATGTATAGTATTATGTAATCAATACAGATCGTTCTCCGTCACACCATTTTGTTACCGATCTGTTTCTGACCTCCTCCTTCCCAGTTCCTGCCTTCCCATCCTAATTTTTCCCATTTATTCGGTGCTTGTTGGAAAAAAGTTGACATGTGGGGTTATTTGGTCCTTTAATCTTATCAAAGTTTTTCGGATTGGCACCCCATTTTGCCAATGTTTTTTGATGTGGACGAATCATCTAAGGTGAATCTTGGCTTTGCGGGCGCTTTGTGCAACTCATAAATAATGACCTCAGATCCACGATGCCCTCAAAATCAGCTGAATTTGTTGAAGTATATATTTAGTGGTTCGATGATGTTTAATGGGGTATGCCAAACCTGCAAGGCACCGCATCAAAGCGTGGAACATCCTTGGGCTAGCAGAGGTCAGCATGCCGCCCGGGCGATTCTCTTCACCGGGCACTGCCTTCGACTGGAGGAAAATCAGCGATGTGACCTTCAACGTGGATGCGGGAGAGAAGTCCGCAGTTGGCGATGTCCGAGGGCTGATGCAGGCATTGGCGAGTTGTGTGCTGAACCTCAACATGCTGCAAACACAAAGACTCATGAAATCTCGGGTCCTGTTTTTTTTTGCCCTCTCCTTTTTTGCACAAATCACAAATCTGCGTTGCAATCAGGGGGCATCTGCACACCAAATTCTTCTTTTTCTGTTTGTTTTAAATGCCATGTTCATTAGATGTTTTTTGTGCATCCTGGGGGTCATCACATCAGTTCATGGAGGAGTGGGGTTATGGACTGGGCCTTCAAGAATTGGACTTCCAGAACAGGTTGCAGATCTTTCGGTGTCGTTATGGCTTGCAGCAAGATGCCGATCATTATGAAAAGGATGTGGCCCATTTGAAGGCCTTAATTGATGCCAGATCTGCAGAAATGCAGACTTAGCATTTTGAAACATAATTTTTGATGGGCCATGCGCTTGGTGTTAGTTGCAGGATGGCGCTGTTCACAGTGGATCTTGACAGCTCATACAGGTGAGGTGAAACCGTCGCCCCGAGGGTGCTAATTTTGCGACATTTGCGAGAAAACAATCTGACGTCCGATTGTTTAGTTTCCTGGTGGTTCTGCGTTGCTTGGATGTTGCTCCGAGTGACACATGCGCATTGTTCACGAACAATGCAGAAATGGTATGGCTATGTATTGTTTATTGGTACTTCAATGAGGCATCGCTTTCTTTTCGTGATTTTTGTGTCCCACCACGGCATGCTTTGATGCAATGTTTTAACGTCTCCGGAAAGATAGACATGACATGTTTCCTAACTTATCAAACCGGTTAAACCCTCGATTTTCCCAAGTAGATCCCAGGTTTCCAGATTTTTGTTGGTAAACCATGCCCATTTCCGGCCATGGATCGCTGGGCCGCAGAATCCGGGAGAGACGAAGGCCTTGCTGCCCAGGCGGATGCCAGAGGCTGGGAAGGGGACTTTGAAGATGTGGTATCCCCAAATCCGTTGGTAAATCAATGTTAATCAATTAGGTATATATAACTATTATAGCAACACAGTTATTACTATTATTACAACTAATTACAACTAATCAATTAGGTATAATAACTAATTACTGGGATTGATTAATCAATATTATTAGAACATTGGTTGAAAACTTTCCCGCATTTGATAGTCAATCTATGTTTCTACTCCATTGGTTATCAAGCAATGTTTACAGTAAACAATAATGTCGATCATGATTATGATTAACCAATGATATGACAAGTTTCATGTTCCAATAATGAATGAATATTGGAATGGGGCATTAACAGATTATAATATTAGTCGCAATTCATTATAATATTAGTTGCTGTATAATACTAACAGAACACACACACATTAATAATCAGTTTCATGTTCCAACAATAATCAAAAAATAATCAATAATACATGGAGGGCGCAGACACTGATTATAATCCAATGATATGCAATAAGTATTCTGTTCCCCATTGATATAGCTATTTAAAATGGGTACTGTATGTATCCCATTCTCAGTCACATCCACCTGTTTTCCAGGTGATTTACTGCGTTTCAAACGAGATTTACCATAAAATCAACCAACTGATTGGGGATGGTCACCAGAGAGATCACCGGTTATCTGATTTATCACTATTTTCGCAGGATCTTACTTTTCTAATGGTGATTGAATGGTGATTTCACCAGCAAAAATGGTGACTTAACCAACAGACATGCTGCTACGAGAGGATATCATGGACAATGATATGGATAAATTATAACGACCTTACAGCGACGGTCACTAGAAGTGATGGAAAAGCAAGGGGAATCATCCGGCCGAAGTTCCGGCTGGTGATTTGTTTTGATACAGACAGAATCCAAATATAGTCTATAATATAATATATTTATATATATATTTATCATTTATCTTTATAATATATATATATATGCGCATGCTACATTACGTATACCTAATTGTATGCATATATATATAGTATGTGTCTATATGTTTTTGTAATTGGGCAATGTGGATGTGGGGCCCCCAAGATAGGTGTTTGTTGGCTCATAGCTACATAAGTCTTGGATTTACCGGCGGAGATATCAATGGATCGGGTGGACTTGTTTCCCGGTGGAGCATCCATGGTATCATGGTGAATTTTGCCATGGCAAACGATCTTTAACAAGGACAGGGCATCCTGTCCGGAGAAACAATGTTTGTTTCCTTGTTGTTGGTTTGGGTTGGGACATCTTGGTTATAAGAGAGGAGGTCTTGGTTATATACATATGCTTATAATATCTTTTAATTATAATGATAACGTATGTATTTTGCAGGAGAAAGCTGTGTTGTACATGTCAGATGTTTGTACATGTGTCATGTGTATAAATCTGAGGCAAACTATAGCGACTTCAATATGCTTAAGATTGGGGCCATCATCCCCAAAGTGGTCTATTTCCAGTTTCGGCATTGATGGTGATACTCCCGTCCCTCCAACTTTGGCACATAATTCTTTGCACATAACAACATTGTTTGGTAGTTAAAGGCAATACATCATGAGGACCACTTTTTTTTAACAAATGCTACCCCAGAACAATGTATGTAGTGGAACGTAGTGGCTTTACACACATGTTGCGTTTGTTTTTCTCGAGGTAACCAAGGACTTCAACCCCAGACTAAGAAATCCCGGCTTGATTTAGTTGCGGGTGCATTGCATCCTTTTACAAGCGGATTATCATTTGACTGAGGCCATCTAGTTCATCAAACGGGACTGGTTTATTTGTTATTGTTGTCGTTCTGAATGTTTGCGGCAGGCAACACACACACACACACGCGCGGAGATATTCACGTACACAAATTGCGATAATATGGGGGTACAAGCCCGACTTGTTGATTGGTTGGTGGTGAACAGATGGTCATACCAATTGATTTAGTATGGATTATTGAATCAACCAGTAGCGGAATTCGTATCTTACTCAATCAGTAGACAAGACAACGAAGAGTTTGGGGCGCTCATGGGTTTTGTCCAGGCAGTGACAAGAGACTGAATCTTGGCTGCAAAAATGCCCGGTTTGGATCCTTGGAGCCAACGAATTACGTTCTAGCCACAAGCCTTGAGGTTTGCAGGGACATGTTATGTCACTATTCTCAACCGTTTCTCTTACAGCCAAACCTAAACAAAGAGTATGTAGAGGTCTCACATCCCATGACGCAACTCTGCATGCATTCTTTTTGTATCTTTTTGGTTTGCTTGGGGGGGGGACGACCATCGCCTTGCCTTGCACCTTGCTGCGTCATCCAAGGATGACGTGAGCTGGGCCGCTTCCCGCAATTTGGTGCTTGTTTGTCCAGGATTCGAATTGTTTCCGGACCGAGAAAATGTGATGTGAGGCCAATGGAGAGATGTGGGCCCCCAAGATAGCTGCTTGTAGCTGGGCAAACTCTAGGATTGGCAAAAATAAACCAGCAAACATAGCTGGGGCTCGTTGAGTTGTGCCCATAAACCAACTTTTTCTTGGTGTATTTGCTCCGGCTGGGAGGCCACCCATTGAAGGTGGAGGCGTTGACCATCTGCATTTGTAGCTGAGAATTGGTCATACACATGGCATGGGCATCTTCAGGAAAATGCTGTACCATGAACATCTAGAGAAAATCCTCAACTTTTAATGCTAAGACCACGGGTGTCCAGGGTTTCCTGCAACATTTCGGCAAACTACTCTGCAACTGCTTGTTGCTCGCAGCAAGAGACGCGGCTCAAGAGAGAAGCAAGCCCTGGCCATCCTTTCCAATCATAGTGCACCTCGGCACAACAAAATAGGTACAGTTTGCATAAGTTTGCTGTGTAAAATCATAATTGTTTATACCGAAATAGGGATTTATCATGATTTATCATCAAAGAAAATGGACCAGTTTCTAGTTTCCATAGCTATGTTAAATTACAAGAGGGTATGATTGAAAGTCATTGGCCCCAACAAATGAGTGGGTCAATACACGTGGATCAAAGGGTTTGTGTCAATTGAGTCAATTGGTCCCCCAAAATCGACAAAGATTGAGTCCTGGTCAAGATGAAAGTCAAGGGAAAACCACAAAAAAAAGCATATGTGATGGTCCAAACAATGGTTTTTTTTTATCTTGTTCCCGTCCTTTTGCTACACCAATTCAGTTCGTGCATTTGTGTTTTCCCCTTTTGTTTCTGGACGGTTTTGACACCTGCACCGTTGGTGGATCAAACCTATTGCTGTCAGCTGCAACTGGCGATATCAAAACTTCCCATTCTGGGACAAGAGGGGGCCTAGCTAGCTAAGTTGGTTTATAACTAGGTCAACTTTATGGATGTTTATGGATGTTTATGATTGATATATCTATAGTGGGGTTTATAAACCAACTTCGGATCTTTGGGAGCCCATGGGGGCCCCACCTTGTATTGCTCTATCTTTGGGGGTTGCTGTCATTGCTGCCTGAGTGGTGGCAGTATCTGAGCAAAAAACGACCACAAGAAATGATGGAAATCGTGAGCCGCGAGTACTCGACTTTTTTGGTCATGCGGAAGTTGTGACACCGTTGGGCCTTTGCTTGGCTTTAACATTCAGATCCACCAAAATCCACCTTTCCCGGTAGTGATTTCATCGAACACCCAATCTTTGAACAGCCTAGCAGCCATGGTTTCATTTGAATATTCCCACACCACGTCCAGATTCTCCATGAAGCCTCAAGGGGTTGTCTCAAGAAATAGCTTAATTTTTACAATTACTCAATATTGGCCAACAAGTTCCCCATCACCATGGTTGGCACTTTCGGTGGTAAATTTCTTCGTTCCTGGCAGTGTTTCCCTACAATGTTCCAGGTGATTCCTCAATTTCCACTGATCGGTTGATGCCAAAATAATGGCAACTCCACATAAAAATGAGTATGGGTACCCTCTGGTAAACTAACATAACTATAGAAAATCACCATTTTCAATGGGAAAATCCACTATTTCTATGGTCATTTTCAATAGCTATGTGACAAATTACCAGAGGGTACATGATGGCAAATGGTCTTCCAGATCGACCTCTCAAAAAATCCGTGGTGTGAAACGCGTCAATTTCTTGGTGCATCCAGGAGAGCGATCCAAAGAGATGGGTGCCACAGTGCAGGATCTCATTCAAGAGACTGCCACCATCAAAGGCGCTCAGCCCATCCCAGCGTCTCGGCTGGGAGCGGCTGGGAGCTGGGCTGGGAGCTACAATACTTGAGAAGTGCCTGGTGGTTAGCCACTTCTTTTTCTCCGTAGATGGGGGGAATACCCCCAGTTTATGCTATTTTAAGATATTTTAAGATATTTCAATTTGGTTGAATGACAGCGATGATGCTGAAGAGGTGGATGGAATGGGGTAGCTTATTTTGGACAAGCCCTTTCTTAGTTTTCAACCATTCTTTGGGAGGATAAATCCTTTTGACATCAATCCAGCAGATCTATATACTCACCCAACAAAAAGATGCATATGTTCTCAATTGTTCTCGTATGTTCTCGTCTTATTCCTCAGAGATTTTTTTCTATACCTGGGATGACAAGAATCGACATGAAATGACTCAAAGATCTTCCCGGAAGGTTGACACCAGGAGGGTCGCCCTTAGGTGGGAGCCATCCGGCCCGAAAAGTGTGGCCGTGCCGGACGTAGCCGACATCGACCAAGACCGCGTAGAAGCAGTGGACGCAGCGCGGTAGCAGGATTTGCCGGGGAAGGCAATGCCATCCGCCTAATATAAGGCACGTTGAATACCCCAGAATCATAGTCGATATAGATGGATATATGGATATACGATGATATACGTATATTGATCCAGACTGCGGGTCTTTGATAGTAGGGGTGAATGATTTATTTTTGATTCGATATGCCCTTTGGATCAATTTGGCAGACTATTGTTTTCTAGTTTTAGAGCATTTGCAAGCATTGTAGGATGAACGCGCACAGCTTCCCGCGACCCCGGTAGCTTGTGTCCAGAACTGGTTTGCCATCCATGGAAGAAGACACAACTGAGGGTACTCATCCAACATTGGGCACCTTGTGGTGCCCATTCATGTGAATTATGCATGCGGCAAAAATCCACGTGGAATTCTGCCGATGCAAGAAATAAGTTTGGGGTGCCATTCAAATTTTCAAGGTTTGTTGACACTCACGGAGGTGAAATCATTGAAGAAGTTGTGCCGATGCTGCCTTGTTTCAGGAAGAATCCACGAAGACCCTGGGAATGGCACAGATCTTTCTCAGATGCTTGGTGATATCCGGTGGGCCCAAGCACCTTGCGGGTCTGTTTCAACTAGTTTCAACATGTTTCAACTATTGAATTGAATTGATTTCTTTCAAGTATAGGGCCATGGATTCCTTCATTTGCATAGGGCTCGGTTTTCAAGAACACGTTTTATATATCACAAATGGATACGAATGGAGATAGGCCGGCCATGAAGCGGCGCCCCTAATGTGGTAACCCAAACAACCATCCCCTATTAAAGGTGTATTATCTACCGTATTTGATGGTTAGGAGGGAGCTAAGGAGCTATGGGTATCCATATTCCCAACAAAAAACGGGGAGCCAATGGAGTTTCCCAACCACATGATTATTGGGTATACCCCCATTCCCGTCGTGATTTGAAATTATATAGTGGGGGCTTAATTTAACCTAAGAACATCATGAGGACATAATGGACATATAATATCATATAATGGGTATGTGACCAGTGATGATATTGGGTATTTCTGGTTGGTGGTTTCCTTTTTCCCCATTTTTTTCCATTTACCCCTCCAGTTTGGGGGGAGACAATTCCCAACTTGACTCTACTTTGACTCATAGGATTGAAACCAACCCGATCTACTCCCCAAAAACAAAGCATCCAGGATGGACGTTGAAGACGTCATCAAGGTCATCAAAGCCGAAGTGGGAAATCCACAGCTGCAACAGCAAGGAGTGGGATGGCCATCCTTGGTGCTGAACTTTTTTCAACAGATGTGTTTTTTGTCCAAACCTTTGATGATGATCCAACTGACAGTGATTCTTCATGATTCTTGTGTGAGGCCATCCATAGCCATGGGATGCCATGGGTTTTTGTATGTTTTTGTTGCCCCGAAGGGAGACATTTTTGGGGCCTTTTCATCCCGCAGGATTCGCGGTCCTTACGAGCAAAGCGGATGATCCCGAAAGCCATCAAGAGGTGGGTCTTGGAAGACTGGGTGCGATTGATGAAGATTGGCGGTTCTGGGTCCACCCCAGTTGTGGCTATTTTAATGCGGAACATGATGATTACCCTCTGGTAAACTAACATAAATTATGGAAAATCACAATTTGTACTGGGTAAATCAACCAATATCAACTATAAATTATAAATGACCATTTTCAATATATAGCTATGTATAGCTATGTTAGTTTACCAGACAGTAACTAATCAAAATGTATTTTGCCATGTCTTGCCCCCCAAGACACACCCATGTATATAAGTTACATACAGCTGTCAAAAACGCGTGCGCTTGCACACACAGTACATACATACATGAAAAGAGTCATCAGGACAGCTTTACTTTGGCCCGTGCTTCGAGCTGGTGGCTGAGGGTAGGATGCATTCAACTTGGAGCAATAGGTCCAGCGTAGGAGTCGTTTCGCGTACGTATCTTCCCGTCCAAAGTTGGACTGTATACCCATATTGGGGATGGTCATCAATCCATAAATGCTGTAGGGACTTATATCATTGACCCATTATACGGATTCCCATTATGGGATGAGTGACCACAAGCCATATACCATGTTTTGACCATGCCAAGCATGTCCAAACATAGTGTCAATGGCTCAAACATGCTTAAACTCCTATGTCTTTGGTGGTGGATGATTTCTCTCTGCTGCACAAAGTATTATAAACCATGCAAGAACGAACTCCTTTTTCGCGTTCTCTTTAGCGAACGGGACACATCATCCGAAGATCTTAATCATGTAGCGGCCTCTCAGCATCTTTGCACACTCTTGACACATTCATATACATTGTAATATACATCATGTTATGTGCGCATATGTAAATATATATCTACAGTAAATCAACATGGTACTCGCAAATCAACCATTTCAAATTTATAAACATGTCGTTTTTCAAACCATAGATTCTTATCAGATTTAGAGTATACAGTGATTATTGCGAATGCATTTTAGTGCCTCGTCGCATAGTATCCATACCATAACCCATCATTCGCATAGTATCCACACCATCACCCGTCATTTCCTGCCAAAGCCATAGATTTCTGATATCTGGCTTTGTCTGAACATATATGGGTGTATCCCTAAACTTCTATGGTTTATCCTTATTTTCCCATATTTTCCATATTTTCCATATTTTCCCTATAAACGTCACCATAAATTGGGGGTAGTATACCATGACTGACACAGCCAATGGCCACTGTGTGATCTGTACCAGGTGGCCCGACTGGATGGCATTGCGACGATTGTGGCTGGCTAGATTGGAGGGCTACATCAATTGTTATGTTAGATATGGCAACCTCCAAAAAGAGATATAAAATTATAGCCATATACCGCCTATATATATATACATAAATTGTATATACATATGTATGGAAGTTAGTGACAAGAGTGAGACATGTGACACGTCACCGTTCTATCTTTTTTCATGGTTCCTTGATTGAATCCTTAAGATACAGTCGCCATTCTTTCGTGTCCTTCGTGTTTTGGGTCACTGCCACTGTGCACCACTTTGAAGCCTTAAGAGTGGAAAACTGAGCACCGGTCTCCCAAGCCAAGAGGGTTTAAATTTTAAAGTAGCGGTCAACTTGGGAATGCATGGGTGGTTTATGGGACAATTCTAGGACAATTATGGAATAATTAAAGAATATCGTAATCATGGGATCGTATGGGATGAGTAGCATAAACATGCATAAACCATCCTCAACTGGGGTTATTGTTGGGTTATTGTTGGGTACTACAAACCGCAATCCAGTTATTGGATCCCCGTGGCAATTTCCACTCTAGAACTGGGTGACTTGTGCATAGTTTAAACGAAATTCTTAATGTATTGGATGCTATAAAAATGCTATAGAATGCTATAAAGAATAAAAACATTAAATATTTGGGCACCTTCACTCTAAAATACCCCTATCTAAAAAGAATTTCCTGACCCCTTTTTAAAGAGGCGTTTCTGAGGGTCTTCGAATTTGAATGAAGTTAGATGCACATTCGGGCATGAATTTGCTGGCAAGGCATTTTATTGCAGAACCAGTTTTCAATGTTTTTGTGCATTTTAAAGCCTGAGGCCCTATGCACAAAAGTTAGACCGCTCTAAAACTCCTGCACAGTATCACATAATGAAATGGAACCCCGATGTTATTGGGATGCTGTCGTAAAAAACCCTCGGGTTTTACCCTGGCGAATCTGATTCAAACTTTGGTACGGCACCCTCTTGCAGATGAAGAACATGGACTCCCATCAATGGGGGATTTTCCAGCCATGGTCCCTACCGGGTAATCGGGAAATCCTCCATAGATCCGCCAGCTTTTACAGCTCAGGTAAAGGCAATGACGGAGCAACATCAAGGGGGTGAACTACAACTGGCTGGCATGAACGCCCTGGAGAAGAGACTTAGCTGGCAGATTTTAGCTGGCAATCCTTGGGTGATTTCTATGGGTTGCTTGGTGGTTCTTATATAGATATGTTGGGTGGTGGTTCTTATAAAAACACCCCAACATATCTATATATCACCCAAGGATTGTTGAAACGACTATATTCCATCTTGTTTGGAATGATGATCCTCGTGTATCTTAGTTGGGGTTTTTCCACTACCAATGGAATGGGATGTCATCCCCGGGTTCAGGTGAATCATCATTTCCCCACTCAAAAATGAGCAAATAGAGGGCAACAAACCCCACGTTTTGCGTGGAAGTTTTGCCATATGTCGCAAGACTTTTTGGCATCATGATGTGAGTTTGGCACTACATGCTGGATATGCTGGCAAGGTTCCCACTGCAGTACTGCATTCCACGACTACTATTGCATTCCAATCGATTGGCTGACACGCCAAGTTTACTCTCGGCTCTCATACTGCTTACCCTCAAAAAAATAAAGCAACAAATGTAGATAGCCTAACTTTTTGGGGCGATGGAGAGAGAGAATCTACTGTAGATAGCCTGGAACAGCCACTTTTCGTCCAGTTGTTCCAGCTCCGGCGCGTTGCGTCAGGATGACTTCTGGCAATCCAATCCATACCCGAAGCATGGTGGACTCCCATGGAATCAATGCTGTTTCCAATGCGATGTCCCAAGATCTGAGCAAGGTGGGGTGAAGCACCAATTCGACCGGGGATTGTTCCTACCCTCTGGTGAACTAACATAGCAATGGAAAGATCCACCATTTTTAATGGGAAATTCCACTATTTCTATGGCCATGTTCAATTGCTATGTTAGTTCACCAGAGGGTACTTGAAAACAAGACCATCGGATTGGTGTTTCTTTGAAGGACACCTTTTTTTTTGAAAGACCCCGTGCAATACCACATGTCATATGTGACATGATATGAGATATAAAATGGATGTATATATATATATATACATAATATAATATAATATATATATATGTATGTATTTATACGTGTGTGTGTATGTAAAAGGTATACACAATATGCAATTGCATGAACATGTTTGGGCACACGCGAACACACATACACAACCATACACACACAACTCGTACAGAAACAAACCTGCATACACCACCTACATACAGTACCCACATACAGTACCTACATGGATGGACGGATGGATGAATAGATAGATGGATTCGATGCGCGGGTGTCCGTGTCAATGTGTAAATCCATACCGTTCATCGTGGGTATCACCGAACCTGCGGCGCTTCAGCTGCAGGCAGACTTGCAGGCAGCTGGGTGTAAGATCCTGTGCAACGTGGCCAAGCATGATGCCTATTGCCAAGAGATCCCTGAACGCAGTCCCAGAACCGGCTGGAACACGGGGCTTCAAATTGAGCTGGGTCACGGGACGGAGGAAGCTAAAAAACCTGAGCTTGATGATCAAGATTACTTGCCCACAGGCTCCATGTATTTTTAAGCACAGGTTTCAACAAAAATATGACTCAAATGTGGGTAGGATACGAGAAATCATGGAGCATATGGGCTAATACTCTGGACTTGGTACACCTGGGCACCCTCCAGTAATCAAACATGGCAATGGAAAACCCCCAATAGAAAACCTCCTTTTCTATGTCCCACTGAGCCATGTTTGATTACTAGTTGGTTATACATCCCATGGTCCCAAGATAGAATAGTTTTCTGAATCTTGGATTCCCATGTGAATCCCCATTGAAAGTCCCATTCAACCACCAGAAATCTGGTGCTTTGACCATTGGAAATTCAGTGCGCCCCAGGATGGTTGCCAAGTCTGGAGCTGCTCAGGCACTGGCGCAGAAAATCTGGCGATTTGGCGACTCTACCTGGATGTACTTGGTATAGGTGGACTATAACCCATAACCATCCATAACCCATCAACTCGTGTGTGTATCTGGTTGGTGGTTTCAAACATGACTTTTATTTTCCATCATATATGGGATAATATATATATATATATGGGATAATCCTTACCATTGACGAACTCATATTTTTCAAGATGGTTGAAACCACCAACCAGGTATATATTGTGTATATATATATGTGTATGTATGTGTATGTGCGTATAACCGATGGCATTCTATATGTAAGATTATGTAAGGGGGAGATAAGATGCTTATTACCCACTTCTTACTAATTGCGATGCACCCTCAATGACAGAGATATGGGGTAGTCTGACAATGGTATATATCCAATAAATGGCACTGTCAACAATGGGAAAATGATACTTAAACCGGCGGATTTAGGGGCACCCAAGTTTATTTATGGACAGACCTGCACAAATACGCTAATGCCTTTTCCTTATCAAAAGATTCAATGTGCACACCTGTGTGCACAGACTATTTATCCCGTACTCTTTTTGTTTCCTGTGGTGCATTCTGATAAACACTCCCCAGAGACCCTGATGGCAAGCATAGGAGTTGTTCCTGGAGTGGCGTCACATTCGCAGGTCAATGTTTAGGGGGATTGTTGAACATTGATGGTTGGCTCTGAGATTCCGGATGCATCGGTATTGCCTTGTGATTCTGTGTGGCATTTTGTTTAAGCATGACCCATGTGAGCACCAATATCAACGGGCACCATGAGCACCGGTGATGTTAGGGATGGGAAATGGGGTCGAAGCAGGCAGTCTTGGATGCGATGAGGGCACACGCATCCGATTCTGACATTCAGGAGCGTGGTTGGGGCGGGGGCCGGACATGGGGCATATGCCGGGCATAGCCATGTCCCAAAATTGCCCTTTTTGATTTGGGCAGAAACAAATGGGTTCATAGTATATAGCTCCCAACATTGCCACTTTGATTGGCCATTAGGAGCTCGGCTGTCACGCTCTGAAAGAGTTTGCAGCTTTCAACGCAGAGAGTGGCTTGGTGGAGTTGTGACTTGCAGTATGTGACCGCACGGCTGGACGGAGTGTAGCCACACACGGACCGATTCTAGATGATTTTTGGTCGTTTGAGGATTAGCTATGATTATATAATTAGATGGGGTTGCAATTTTCGCCACCAAAAGATTAAACTTTACAAAAACTAGTTTGTTCCATGCTGTTATCCCCGAAATAGCACTGCAAGATCCCCCTACTTTTCACACCTTTTAAGGCCACTTCTTTTCCCGGAGAATTAGCAGTCAGCAAAACCGGGGGGCTTCCAATTCTGGATAGGTTGGGATGCTTCGAATCGGGGATAGTTTGCTCACTTGTGTTCTTCTTCAACTTGGGGAGGGGGGGGTGCACCACCCCCCCCCAGCTTTGTCACTATAGCCATTCATAGTCACTGTAGCCATTCACAAAGGGGAGGGTGGGTCCACCACCCCCCCCCTCAGCTGCCGACAAACAAGGGGGGGGTGGGTCCACCACCCCTCCCCCTCAGCTGCCGACAAACAAGGGGGGGGTGGGTCCACCACCCCTCCCCCTCAGCTGCCGACAAACAGGGCGGAGTGGGTCCACAACCCCCTCCCCCCAGCTTCCAACGATCAGGAGGGAAGGCTCCACCACCCCCTACTCCTCATCTCGCAGCAAATCTTTTTTTAGATTTTGGCCTGACTAGAAGTAGAAGCAGTAGTAGTAGTAGTAGTAGTAGTCGTCGTCGTAGTAGTAGTAGTAGTAGCATAACACAAATTTACGCTTTGGAGTTAGTTGTTGATAGTAGTAGTAGTAGTAGTAGTAGTAGTAGTAGTAGTAGTGGTAGTAGTAGTAGTCGTAGTAGTAGTAGTTGTAGTTGTAATAGTAGTAGTAATAATAGTAGTAGTAGTAGTGGTGGTAGTAGTAGTAGTAGTACAAGTAGTTGTAGTGGTAATAGTAGTAGTAATAGCAGTAGCAGTAGCAGTAGCAGTAGCAGCAGCAGAAGCAGCAGGAGTAGTAGTAGTAGTGGTAGCAGCAGTAGTAGTAGTAGTAGTAGTAGTAGTAGCAGGTAGTAGTAGTAGAGTAGTAGTAGTAGTAGTATTAGTATTAGTAGTAGTAGTAGTAGTAGTAGTAGTAGCAGTAGTAGTAGTAGTAGTAGTAGTAGTCGTCGTCGTCGTCCTCGTCGTCGTCGGCGTCGTCGTAGTAACAGTAGAGTAGTAGAGTAGTAGAATAATAGAGTAATAGAGTAGTAGGGTAGTAGAGTCGTAGAGTAGTAGAGTAGTAGTAGTAGGAGTAGGAGCAGGAGTAGGAGTAGTAGTAGCAGTAGTAGCAGTAGTAGTAGTAGTTGTTGTAATAGTAGTAGTAATAATAGTAGTAGTAGTGGTAGTAGTAGTAGTAGTTGTTGTTGTTGTAGTAGTAGTAGTACACAGGAAGAACATGGTTCTGGCTTGGATCCGTTTCGTTTCGCTTCTTTTCCTTTGTGCCTTGTTATTGTTGTTCTCGTTGTTGTTCTTCCTTCTTCTTTCTTGTTCTTGTGTCTGGTGTCGTCTGTCTTGTATTGTGCCTTAAACATTACCCCACATAAATTTCCTAAGGCTGGTGGGGGGCATGGGGGGGAGGGCGCAGCGCGTCCCCCCCAAAGAACACAGGAAGAACAGCGTTCTGGCTTTGATCCGTTTCGTTTCGCTTCTTTTCCTTTGTGCCTTGTTATTGTTGTTCTCGTTGTTGTTCTTCCTTCTTCTTTCTTGTTCTTGTGTCTGGTGTCGTCTGTCTTGTATTGTGCCTTAAACATTACCCCACATAAATTTCCTAAGGCTGGTGGGGGGCATGGGGGGGAGGGCGCAGCGCCTCCCCCCCAAAGAACACAGGAAGAACAGCGTTCTGGCTTTGATCCGTTTCGTTTCGCTTCTTTTCCTTTGTGCCTTGTTATTGTTGTTCTCGTTGTTGTTCTTCCTTCTTCTTCTTGTTCTTGTGTCTGGTGTCGTCTGTCTTGTATTGTGCCTTAAACATTGCCCCACATAAATTTCCTAAGGCTGGTGGGGGGCATGGGGGGAGGGCGCAGCGCTCCCCCCCAAAGAACACAGGAAGAACAGCGTTCTGGCTTTGATCCGTTTCGTTTCGCTTCTTTTCCTTTCTGCCTTGTTATTGTTGTTCTCGTTGTTGTTCTTCCTTCTTGTTTCTTGTTCTTGTGTCTGGTGTCGTCTGTCTTGTATTGTGCCTTGAACATTACCCCACATAAATTTCCTAAGGCTGGTGGGGGGCATGGGGGGGAGGGCGCAGCGCGTCCCCCCAAAGAACACAGGAAGAACAGCGTTCTGGCTTTGATCCGTTTCCTTTCGCTTCTTTTCCTTTGTGCCTTGTTCTTGTTGTTCTCGTTGTTGTTCTTCCTTCTTCTTCTTGTTCTTGTGTCTGGCGTCGTCTGTCTTGTATTGTGCCTTAAACATTACCCCACATAAATTTCCTAAGGCTGGTGGGGCGGCATGGGGGGGAGGGCGCAGCGCCTCCCCCCCAAAGAACACAGGAAGAACAGCGTTCTGGCTTTGATCCGTTTCGTTTCGCTTCTTTTCCTTTGTGCCTTGTTATTGTTGTTCTCGTTGTTGTTCTTCCTTCTTCTTCTTGTTCTTGTGTCTGGTGTCGTCTGTCTTGTATTGTGCCTTAAACATTGCCCCACATAAATTTCTTAAGGCTGGTGGGGGGCATGGGGGGGAGGGCGCAGCGCCTCCCCCCCAAAGAACACAGGAAGAACAGCGTTCTGGCTTTGATCCGTTTCGATTCGCTTCTTTTCCTTTGTGCCTTGTTATTGTTGTTCTCGTTGTCGTTCTTCCTTCTTCTTCTTGTTCTTGTGTCTGGTGTCGTCTGTCTTGTATTGTGCCTTAAACATTTGCCCCACATAAATTTCTTAAGGCTGGTGGGGGGCATGGGGGGGAGGGCGCAGCGCCTCCCCCCCAAAGAACACAGGAAGAACAGCGTTCTGGCTTTGATCCGTTTCGTTTCGCTTCTTTTCCTTTGTGCCTTGTTATTGTTGTTCTCGTTGTTGTTCTTCCTTCTTCTTTCTTGTTCTTGTGTCTGGTGTCGTCTGTCTTGTATTGTGCCTTAAACATTGCCCCACATAAATTTCCTAAGGCTGGTGGGGGGCATGGGGGGGAGGGCGCAGCGCGTCCCCCCCAAAGAACACAGGAAGAACATCGTTCTGGCTTTGATCCGTTTCGTTTCGCTTCTTTTCCTTTCTGCCTTGTTATTGTTGTTCTCGTTGTTGTTCTTCCTTCTTGTTTCTTGTTCTTGTGTCTGGTGTCGTCTGTCTTGTATTGTGCCTTAAACATTACCCCACATAAATTTCCTAAGGCTGGTGGGGGGCATGGGGGGGAGGGCGCAGCGCGTCCCCCCAAAGAACACAGGAAGAACAGCGTTCTGGCTTTGATCCGTTTCCTTTCGCTTCTTTTCCTTTGTGCCTTGTTATTGTTGTTCTCGTTGTTGTTCTTCCTTCTTCTTCTTGTTCTTGTGTCTGGCGTCGTCTGTCTTGTATTGTGCCTTAAACATTACCCCACATAAATTTCCTAAGGCTGGTGGGGCGGCATGGGGGGGAGGGCGCAGCGCCTCCCCCCCAAAGAACACAGGAAGAACAGCGTTCTGGCTTTGATCCGTTTCGTTTCGCTTCTTTTCCTTTGTGCCTTGCTCTTGTTGTTCTCGTTGTTGTTCTTCCTTCTTCTTCTTGTTCTTGTGTCTGGTGTCGTCTGTCTTGTATTGTTTCCTAAGGCTGGTGGGGGGCAAAAACGACGACACCAGAGACAACAACAGAAAGAAGAAGGAAGAACAACGACGAGAATAACAATAACACGGCACAAAGGAAAAGAACAGAAAGGAAACGGATCAAAACCAGAACGCTGTTCTTCCTGTGTTCTTTGGGGGGAGGCGCTGCGCCCTCCCCCCCATGCCCCCCACCAGCCTTAGGAAATTTATGTGGGGTAATGTTTAAGGCACAATACAAGACAGACGACGCCAGACACAAGAACAAGAAGAAGAAGGAAGAACAACAACGAGAACAACAATAACAAGGCACAAAAGAAAAGAAGCGAAACGAAACGGATCAAAAGATCTCTCCCCTTGAAGGGGTGGAGGTGGGGGGGGTGGTGTACCCCCCCCACCTTGGATGGGCACAGCTGGGGGGGGGTGGTGCACCCCCCCCAACCTTGGATGGGCACAGCTGGGGGGGGGTGGTGCATCTCCCATGGTCTGAAGGTAAGCTGGGGGTGGTGGATATTTAGGCTTTGAGGTAGGGGATGGTGCGTTGTGCAGGAAGATGATACTAGCAAGGCTGGAGGGGGGGGTGGTGCAGCCACTTCTAGCTTGAGCGGGCTTGGAGCAAGGGTTGGGGGGGGGGAGGTGCACCTCCCCCTAGCTTGAATGAAAATGAACGCCAAATGGAGAACTCTCGAATCGGGGCCCAAAAAAGCACAGCTTAGGCCCAAGGGGTCAGCCCAAGGGGTCAGCCATAGTCAGCCACTCAGCGGCTAGGTCAGGAAGACATCTACATGCGGGGAGGTATTCAAGCAGTTCTGCGTGCCATGGAGACCTTCCCACAACTTCCAAATCTCCAGGTGCCGAAGCTGGTGAAGGGCCTGGATCAGGGAAGGGAATGTGCTGCCACCTGTGAAAAATCTGATAAGTGCCAACATCAGTGGAAGCTAGCGGGAGAAGACCCAAAAACTAGTCACAAAAATCCTTTTCCTAATTCCCCACCTGCCAGGCGAGGGTTTCTAGATTTTATCAACTGCTGCCGGACCTCAGCCAGACGCCGGAGAGAATGTCAGATAGAATGCCAGAAAGAATGTCAGAACAGATGCCAGATAGAATGCCAGAAGGAATGTCGGAGAGAATGTCAGAATAGATGCCAGAAAGAATGCCAGAATGAATGCCTGAAACGATGCGGAGAATGTCAGAATAGATGTCAGATAGCATGTCAGAAAGAATGCCAGAGATAATGTCAGAATAGATGTCAGATAGCATGCCAGAAGAATGTCAGAAAGAATGCCAGAATAGACACCAGAAAGAATGTCAGAATAGATGCCAGATAGATTGCCAGAAAGAATGCCAGAAAGAATGTCAGCATATATGCCAGAAAGTATGTCAGAATAGATGCCGGGTAGAATGCCAGGAAAAAATGTCAGAGTATATGCCAGAAAGAATGTCAGATTGAATGTCAACATATACATATATATATATATATGCATTTAAAAAATACAAATATATCCAATATGTACTTCCAGATGGTATGACAGAAACTATGTCAGAATAATGAATGTAATGTGACAGGGTCGGGAGCACTCAAAGAATTTATTTTTTTCACTTAGTTCTATTGAGCTTACCTGTGCTGGAAGCAGTTTGGGAACCTCGAGACACCGTCATGGTAAAGTGTATAGTTTTCAAATGTGTTATCTATGTTACCAGGATAGAATGATTTTTCCCGGATCTTATCAAACCTACTAGTAAGTATATGGATTTTGGGGTTGGCATACCCCCAAGATTGAATCATAATATTTAACACACCTACAGAAATGAGGATACAGCATGACAGATATAGTATTGAGACATTTTTTGGGGTTACCACATTTTATCACATTTTATTTGATAGTTACAACGATGATTCTTCGCAGCACCCCCCGCGAGAGGTCATGGGTTGTGGTGTGCTGCGAAACCTTGCGGCCTGCAATTCACAACAGCCGCTGAGATGCTAAGGGAAGGGAGGACTCTTGGGGAGGTCATCGTATGTTGGCCGTTGTTTAACAATGATTAATGGCAAGTGATGATGGGTTAATAATGGTTAATGGTTAGTGATAAATGGTTAGTGATACTATCACCAAGTTGTGGTTATCAACCATTATTAACCAGCACTAACCAATATTTAACCATCGTTGTTATTTGCGTCTAACGAGTCCCATAGATTGACGCTAATCATATTCCCATGAATCCTGTACTTATGGGGAGTTGGAGATACTGTAGATATTTCTACAATCATATATCATATATATATATAGGTATATAAGAGTTGGCAAACTTTAGTGGGATATTGTAGTTGGAGTGTGTCATAGTGTATGAATCCATTCCCCCAATAATAAACATAACAAACACTGGTGGATGAAGGGAAATTACACATTTTTGGGGACCATACAAAGGGGGTGTAACTGATATTACGCACAGACCCCGTGGTTTGCCCGGACTGCAACATTGAGGGTTTAAGGTTCGTCGTCTGGTAAATACCAAAACATTGGCCCTGCGCAGGTTTTCAGCATGTCGAAGGATAATGTTTGAACTACATTCTAGGGGGATGGGATTATAGTTGGAGATTATAACCAAAATTAACAAACTAAAATTTTTGGGTTGCCAATTGTGCATCCACAAAACGATCAATCAGCTGACCCCATCGAACTCAGCTCGCACGTCGATGGTACCCAGGCAACAAGCTGTAGTATCACGTGGTGGTATCCAGGCCTTCGGGGGATGCATCGAGCCCCAACATTGGATATATTGGATGTGTAAATAGATGGTATGAAAATGCGGTTCCATTGGTGGCCCCGCATGAAAATGAGGCGTAACCACATGGGGCGGAATGTTATTTAAAGGAAGGATAATTTGATGAATGTGTTGAAATGATATGTCTTGTGGGAGTGACCTTGGCCCTTTCAAGTTGAAACTCATTCTTGGATGATTTTTCATGGTTTGATCAAAAAACATGGGCCGCCCACGGTCACCCAAAGAAAACCAACAAAGAACAACGGTTTTTTTGAGGGAAAATCTACAGAAAACCATGGATTCTCCCATGAAATGTCCTGTAAAATTTCCCTTATCCAACCCATTCAAAGAAAAATCTCTGGAATGATGGAAATTGTAAGGGGCATCATTCCCATAGCTTGCCTTGTTTCGTTTTTTTCAGGTTAGTTTTATAGGTGAGTTCAATAGATTTAGCCCGAAAAATCACCCCAAAAAATCCACAGAATCTCCAGATCCCCAGTTTTTCTGGATGTTCAGCAGGTCGTCCTGGATGCTATGTCGGCGCATAAAGAGCACTCGTTGATGCAATGGGCTGGATGCTGGACCCTGCAGCTTGCCACGTGTATTTCAGCATCCTGAAGTAGAAGATGGATAATATGACAAAACATCCTCACACACTTGCTCAGAACTTGGGAATAATCTTTGAACATACATGAACATACCATATTTTGCTTCAGGGTGATGATATATATGATATGATATATATATAATATGCATACCTGTATATAGATATATGTATATTATGTATATATATATTATGTGTATACATATAATATATATATATACATAATATGTCTTGGGTAAAGGAGCCACTGGCAGCCGGCATCTATTTACATGTATGCATATAAAATCCTCCACTTATGAGCCCGGGTGGTTTATGATTTTCGTCAGATGGGTTGAAACTGGAGTCAAAGAAGAACCAGGCTGATGCCACGTTTTTTGGATTCTGTCATGGTAAGCTGCCCCTGGATCCCAAGAATCTTGGCTCAATCTTTGCTTAAGCATAGCATCCACACCCCACAAACATGGTGGAGTTTGAGGGACGGCATGGAGAAAGAGGACCAGTTTGTACTTGCCAACTGCCTGCATGTCATGTTCCTTTCGGACCCTCAAGGCCCCTGAAGAAAACGAAGCCCAAGACTCTTCTCAGGACTTTGCAGAGTTGAACCTATAAGGAACCCCTACCTTCTGATGTAAAGGCCCCCATGTGTTTCTGATTTTCCATGGCAAACCAATGCAAAACCAACTCATCGATTTCCAGCCATAGGTTCTGCTTGTGCGTGCACAATGCCGAGATGCGATCAGAGGTTTACGCCTATGGCGCAGCGCGGGCAGCATTGAAGGTGACTGTGACTGGTGACTGCCGTTGTCAGCGCCTGTTTTCAGGAACTTAGGAGGTGAAACTATTGGTAGGGTTATGTTGGAGCCCTGTCTGCCCTTTCTGGATCAACCATGGGCAGTTTACCTTCGTGCTTGCTGATGTTTTCCCAATCAGAGATTGAATTATATACATGACGATATATTTCCCTTTCTCTCTGTGGAGGTCCGGCAACATGTAGACTGCTTCGGTGGGATCTTGTCCTCAGAAACAGCTCCACCCAACACTGCTCGGTGTGATCCTTCATCGCTTCCTTTTTGCAGGAAACATCTGCAATACCACCAACTTCAGGGGAAGGGGATTATCATCATATTATCATCATATGTTTCTCCATACTTTAGAGACATATTCCCATGGCGATTTCGCCGGTCTTCCCGGTCTTCCCGGTCTTCCGGTCGCCTGGCAGGCTCTGGAAGCACATCGCTTAGAAGCACGAGTGCAAGAAGCCGGATGTTGGCTCCTGAAGGCGCGCAGAGAGCGTACCAGCCCAGCTGGGTGGTAAAAAAACACAAAAACATAGGGGAAAACTAACATGGATAGTCATGGATAGTTGATAGTGCTATCATAGTTTGATAGAAAGCACTACGCTATCCACTTAATTATTCGTTGTCTCGGCTGGTTGGTTGATGGTTTTTTTTGAACATATTTTTGCTGTGCGGATGTCAGCTCACCAGCAAAAGATATGTATGTAGACGTATGTGCTGGATTGTACTGGTGTACATATATATATATATATGTGACATGGACCTTTTGGTCTGACATGAAGGTGTCCCTGTATATTTGGCTGGTGTCAAAGGATTGGCAATGAAACATGGGAAACCCATGCTTGGTTCAAAACCCAACATGATTTGTTGTTGGATGAAATCCCATTTTCGCTGGTGTGTTTCCATGACCCACATACATGCCATTATTCTGATTGCCTTGGTTTCTATGACAGGAAACCCAAACCAGACTAGTGGCTGGGTATGGGTTGTATTTCTATATTTATTGGTTGATATCTGCACTGTGTCATTGACATTTCATGAATTCCCCAAACCATTTCAATTGATCTTAGTTGACCCATGAAATAGCTAGCGACTTTATGTGTTTCCTTATTTTGGTTGTGACGATAACTACATTTTTGGTTGAGTACCCTCTGGTGATCAAGCATATGGAAAACCACCCATTTAGTTCAATGAGTTGTCCATTTAGATGCCCATATTCTGGGATTCCCCAGCTAGGCACTTTGGATGACACCAGAGGGTAATACTTGAGGGTGCAGTTCGTCTTGTATCTGGATATTATCTGGATATTATGTGTAACCATAGTTGTAGGCTGTAGGCATAGGGGTTATATCCTAACTAATCGGGGTGAAAATCCCATGGTTCTACCCACATATACCACATGAAAACCCCAGTTGCATCCCCTCCATCTAAGCATAGATATATTCACCGTAAACCAAGGTAACCCAGTTACAAACCAACTTCGCTAAGTTTTTTTGGGCACCATTTTTTGGGAACTTGGAAGCCGAAAACATTGACCCCGCCAGCCCCGAAAAAAGCCATGCTGCCAAGGAGCTGGCAGAGCATATGGCCAGCTGCAAGGAGAGATATGCTGTATCTATGTTTGGGAAAATTTTGTACATATGTATTATATAACTATATATACATATGTACACACAATATACTGTATATATATACATATGTAATGTAATGCAATGTAATGTAATGTAATGTAGTGTAATGTAATGTAATGTAATGTAATGTATGTAGTGTAGTGTAGTGTAGTGTAATGTAATGTAATGTAATGTAATGTATGTATGTAATGTAATGTATTGTTATGTTATCTTATGTAACGTTATTAATGCTATGTATTTATGTATGCATGTATGCATGTATGCATGCATGCATGCATGGATGCATGGATGCATGGATGCATGGATGCATGGATGCATGGATGCATGGATGCATGGATGCATGGATGCATGGATGCATGTATGCATGTATGCATGTATGCATGCATATAATTGTAAATAATCGTTTTTTATATATATATATATATACACATTTATATATATATATACACATTTATATATATACATATATATATATATATATATACATATGAGCCATATGTATACATACATATATATATATATATATATACGTATGTATATACACATATATATATATTATATGTGTATATATATATGTACATATACATATACGTATATATATATATATGCATATACGTGTATATATATATATATGTATATATATACGTGTATATATATATATGTATATATATATACGTGTATATATATATATATATATGCATATACGTGTATATATATATAATATATATATATATATAATATTTAGGGAATGTTGGAAATGAATAGGAACTGAAGATTGAAATCCTAGGTTTGACATTTGACATGGACCCAGAATGGATAGGGGGCATAGCAACCCGCAAACGGAGAGATCCTAGTAAAATCCAATCCTGGAAAAGCGACAGTTTATGCTTTTCAATTGTGTTTCCACTTTTTTTGTGGTTTTTATTTGATTATCTACCATTTCAATTCAGATGTGTAGCAATATGGGGATGTGGATGTGGATTTCAATCCATCTAGTCCCTGGGGTAAGCTAGCAAAACGATATAGAAAACCCATGGTCGAACCCGTTCGGAACATGATCTACAACACAAATGGCGGCTTGTGCATAACTAATCCATGCCAATTTACTGTAGGGCATCAATGAATCTATCAATCTATCCCTTTGTCTCTCTCTCTCTCTCTTTGTGCATCTATATATCTATGTAGTTAATTATGTATATTATATAATATATATATATCTCTCTCTCTGTACAGTTTTATACAATTCTATACGCACACACATATATATATATATATGTATATATACATATACAATGACGCATGCATAATTATTCCTAGGTAGCCGGTTGGGGGATGTTAAATCAAGTTGAATCAGATTAAATCCATCCATTGGCTGCTTTTGCTTTCCGGCACGGACCTCCGATGCACAGGACAGGGCGACCTTCTCGGCTGCGATCCAAGCGGCATTGAAGGCGGTGGAAAAGTGCCCCCCATGTTTTTTTTCTCATTTGGGGATGGCCATCCCCCCATTTTCGTTAAGGTTTTGCTATACAAATTGTTTCTATTTTGAGCCATAGCCGTTTTGTGATTGATTTGTTTCATGTTTTTCAACATGTGTTTCTTTGCTTTTCGAAATTGAAACCAGGTACCCTGGGAATCAGGCGGTCGAGAAAGCAGCAAGGACTGCGTTGCAAAAACTCTCCGCTTTTGACAAGGACTGGACCTCTGGAGCCGAGACCGAGGGACCGAGGGATCACTGGATCACCACGAGTTCTACGGATTGATCCAACATGTGTCGACTAATCTCCGAGAGTAGATGGTGGATCAATCGACAAAAAAAGCGCTCTTTCCAAAAATTCCCAAAAATCAAAACCACTAGAATATACTAGAATCAACTTGATTTAAAATACTGCATGATTTTCATTGAACATCTGGGGTGTACCCGGTCGGTTTTAACCGCAGGAGGGTTGGGTGAAAATGGCATGTCTTGGGCGATGTGGACGTCTCGGGCGTACAGCCACGATGCGAACCCTTGAGGCCGGTTCGGAGAGCGGGTGATAGCTGGGTATCTGGGATAAAACATGGTCGAACCAAGAAAATGCAGAGCCTTGAACATTCAGATTCACTAGGTATCGGTATGAATTCCCGACTGGCTGTCATGGTCAACACCACTAAGCTTCGAAGTGCTGGTTTTGCTTGCATTGTGGAACAGTTTGGTTATATACATGTCTGAAGAGTTAAACCCAGATCTCAGATGGCTAGAACATGCTAGAACATGCTAGAACATGCTCTTCAGCATGAATCCTGATAAATTATCGAGACTTCACAACAAGCTCACTGTAAATGATGGCTGCGGCTAGGGGAAACCAAATCTCCGGCAGGCGATCCAGGAGTAAGCAGAGTGCACTGAATCCATCCGTTTCTTCCGTGGCAGTTCCCTTGCCAGTGGCACCGTGAGTTTTTAAACACCCCGTGGTCTTTGTCATTGAAAATGAATCATGCATCGGAGTTTAGTGTTGAATCAACGTTGAACTATGTTGAAGTGTTTTTGCTGAAAAAAAAGTCCCGAACACAGGACGAAGTATAAACTGGCATGGTGGACAGCCCATGTCTTTGGATGCAACCCTCCATGTGGACAGCCCAAGCCTAGCTCTGCGCCGGCTGCCATCCACTGCCCAGCCAGTTGTGGAAATGCATAGGCCTAGGCTCTCAGTGTAGGTTGTTGCTCCATCATTTCGTGTGGCCAGAAGTCAATGTTTCCAAGGCAGCGGTGTTTGTGATGTTCATGTCAAACCCATGAGTCTCCACAGCTTAAGATACTCTTGGCGAGTTAAACCTCATTTCTTCGTATTGAAATGGTGGCAGGCACCAAGGAAATTGGTGATGTCTATTGATTAATAGTGTATGATAAGATATGATAGTGTATGGATGTGCATGCAGGAGATGTACAGTATACAGTGATACAGTAATTATAACTGTGCAACCAGTGCAACTGATTCATTGATTCCAGACGGTCATTTTGTTCGCGGATTGGACGGGCTCGAGCATGGGACCAACACTCATTGCAGTGTTCGGAGGCAGCAGCTTGTGCATCTGGGCTGACGGATGAAAACCTTGGAGGTCAGCACATGGCACGGCATGTGAGCTACAGCCAGTTTCGATGATAAGTATGGATCCATTTTTTTTAAATATATTACCAGATTGATGTAAACAAAAGGTCACAAGGCATCACAAGGGTCTTATGTCTCGATCCACTTTGGCCTAGACCCAGTTTTGGAGAGATTTGGTGCTGAATGCCAGGGTAAGCTTAAGAATCTGCTCATATCTGCTCCATATTTGCAAGACTTTTGAAAAAATCGGACTCGATGTCCCTAAGAAATCTAAGAACAAACTCAGACACGCCGCTCCATGTGCTGGCGTGCGGTTGTCAAGCACGACCCGTTGGGCTGATGCGCAAACGAGCTGGAGACCTGTTGCCACCAGGTTTTCGGTGAGAAACTGCCGAAAGTCAGAACATCGATTTTCCATCCTGACCTTGGATGATAGCCTCCAGTAACTAACCCTTCATATTTCAGGGATTTTCAATGATGTTCCATGGATTTTCATAGATTTTCATGGATTTTCAGGGTGCCTTGAAAGAGAACGCAACGCACGGTTTCGGGATTCGTTCAGTCCACCCTACAATATATAGCATGATGATGTTATATAAAGGCTCAGAAATCATACAATACCAATCAACAAAACCAAACACATCAAAAAAACACATGATCAAAAAACTGCATAAATATGCGATCACCCTTGATATAATCCCAAAAGCACACAAGAACCCGCGATATTTTCTGTGGTGAACCTGTGGCACCAAACCTCTAATACCATCGTGCGCAGCTCAATGGCCAGTACACTCTGCTTGCCACACCTGAGGCAGACATCACTTCTTTGATGGTTAATGGATGATAATGGGATGTTTATGGACTTGGTCCTTGCAACCATTGGAGATTTTGGATTATGTTTTAAAGTTTTAAGCCACGTTTTTGTTCTTCAACTGATATACCATTACATGAACAAAATGAGAGGAATCAAGAAACGATCGCCTGTATCCTGGGGATGGTTTACGATCTCTGTGATGTCGCACTGTGAAGTAACTGTTGGACGCTGCTGGTCTGCAATATCTGCAATGCTTGTGGTGTCGTTGTGCTCCCGAGGTGTTTTTTGCCATCTTATTCACATGGCACAGGATGCACAGGGGTGAAGCTTGTTCTCAGGTTTTAATGGGGCCATATGTGTGGGCTCCCACCAGAGAGAGAATTGTAGGTTTTGGTCTGGGGAGGTTGCTGATCCTGATTGGCTTTGGCACCTTTGGGAGCACCATCTCTTTCAATTAACAAATCTTTTAATTACTGACGCGCAAGCCGCAACAACTCGGCATCATGAAGACCAACAGAAACGCCTAAACCACGGACTCAGATCACCACCCTGCTGAAACGAAAAGAAATTGGCTTGCAGCGAGTTTTCGTTCCAATTCCACCCAGAGCCGCTTGGTCATGAGGTCACGTAACATCAGGTGAGCATGGAAGCTCCTCGCCGCCGAGGAGCGGAAGATAGCCGAAGAGTGGTAAGAGACTCCGTGTACAGATGAAGCCTATTTCAAGGGGAGAGCTCTTTCCAAGCACCAGGAACATGGTCGGAGATGCTTCGATATAATTGCAACATATTGCAACTAATTATGCACATACATGCAAAAAGTGTATAATTACTCACACAAAACATATATTCTCTTGCAGTATTCTTCACCTAGTGATGCTGCCAATTTACATGACAAAGCGTATGACATGAGGTACACTCAGGCTGAACCTTGATAGAGTCAAGACATTCCAGATATGGTTGGACCGTGTTCCAAAGACTGCTCTCCATTTCTCCTGGTGGATCTTTGCTCAAAGCACTGCTGTTTTCGTTTTTGTCTGGCGCAGAAGGACCAGTAGGAGTGTGATCTTTTGATGTGGCATTTGGCGCCCATGCAGAGGGGCGTGCTTGTCCCTGAACATCACCAATATGAACCAAATCTGACAAACATATCATATCAATTATACAGTGAATTATGCAAACATTATTTACTGCATTTGCGGCGCTGCCACTGCTAACTTTGCCGACAGCAGGGTTGAAAATCTTTGTGGGCTCTCCGCGGATTCCGTGGCCTGTCTCAAAAGGACTGGTTGGAACGGCCAGATCCACCGATTTTGGTCGCTCCTCCCCAGAGGTTCCTGCCAACAGTTGCGAAGCAAGCACTTGGAGAGCACTCATTTTCAGGGTCGTGGCTCCGCGTGCCCATTTGCGGCATAGTGGAGCCAAATATTCTGCTGACAGATGCTGACAGATCTCTCGGGCTTAAGGCCCGGTTCACGGCTAAGTTTCGGAAGAAGTGGGGATCCCCGCCAAAGACCTGACCGATCCCGGTACAGCAGGCGGGTTTCGGGGAGATGTCTCATATTGTCGCGTCACCACACGTCTGAGATGTCAGAAACTTGTGGTTTGCCTCCCGCCCCGGTGTCTTTAGATGTCGGTGCTGGCTGGTGAGTCCTAGTTCGGGGTGGAGGAGGAGATGGCCGTTCCGCAACTTCATGGTTCAGCTGCTCCTTCCGGCACACTAGTGTTTCTCGGCTGGGGCAATTCCAAGTGCTGCATGTGCATTTGTCCAAAAAAAAGGATAAAAACGGGTAATTTTAATGGGAAAAATGATCATAAACTGTCATAAACCCATAGGGTTTTGGGGCAGCCCCCGGTGATATTCCTCCCATGCAACCGTTAATAGTTTATTACTGGACATTGGAATGGTGCTAGAAAGGTTTTCGTGATCTCGAAATATCTTCAAATCTCAGCTGATTCGCTGCAGGTCCAAGGTTTTCCCACTCCCAGCCCCATTTGAGCCGCCAATCTGAGGCTTAAACTTACCCCGTGTCTCGGCACATGCCGGCGTCCTTTCAGACCGTGTCTGTTTTGCCGTCAGGTTAGAGATGGTGTGCTGTTCTTTGGGCACTGGCAAGACCGCTTGTCAGATGATACCATGATTAATTATACATGATTATACCTTCATACCCGGGCAATCATTTAAGATTTGTTGTTTTGAACTGATCGCCCACCAGCTCCGGTTGTCTGAATTTCTGCGAGAAGAAATGGTTGTGATTTGACACTATTGGCCCAGAGGACTGCTGATAAACAAACTTGCATGAGCAGAGGGATGAAAAAGATCGCTGCGGCAGATGAGGGCACGATGAGTGACCTCCCATCAGAACTTGATGTGGATGTGGGGGTTATTCATGCATCACCATGCATCTTGATTTTTTGGCTGGTTAAATCATGTTAAATCCCAGCTTTTGTGGGTATCTGAAGTATATTACCATTTTTGCCCAGTTTCCTCCTTCTGGTGATTTGAATCACTATATACAATAAGGATCAATAAGGTGTTTTTTCTCTGCAGTCAATGGATTGGCTGAAGGGAAGTTCACAAGAAAGGTCGGTGACCCAAATTGGAGGTTTCCTGCAGGCTAGGGCCCCCTAGCTGTACGTAAGTTGAGTTATAACCTCCATCAACTATAGTTAGTGATATCTTCCAGCAAGCCTATACTTCACCAAGTTTTATGTCAACTTATCTATCCAGGGGGTCCCACCCTGTGTACATTTTCCTATCAGTTCCACCATGCGCCTATTGACCTATTGGGCTCAGACGCTCGGGCGTCCGTCGCGGCAACGGGCGTGGCGCCGGGCATGAGATGAGGCGGTCCGTCGGTGTTAGAAATTGGGGAAACATCGATGGGAAGTTGGAAAGATGGGGAAACATATACGGAAAATCATTGGGTTAATTCAAGGGAAACATGTTATATAAATTTCTATAATATTATATGGCAACATGTCAGCCAACAAAGTAAAAGTGATTAAAAGTGGAAGCTTCCAGTACTTTTTCCTTTTATCCAAGCCTGGAAACGTATGAGGACGCTCCATTGTTTTGAAGTTTTCTAAGTCCAGGACCTAAGGAGAGCACGGTTTGAAGGCCGAGAGGTACGGTGTCTTGAGCTTGTTGTTTCGCCTCAGGACATGGGTTAGTGGGTTTGCAGTAATTATATGAAGAGTATGAGGCATCATATAAAACTGATAGTTATAACACTTAGATGATTTTAAGAAAATCGCACCAATGTAGCAGATACTAGCAGATTGTCTCCTTGTTTTCCATGGAAGATCTCGATCCCTGGGAAGTGCCTAACAGGCCGAGTCCCATGGCAAGCCAGGCAGTGGGGAGCATCCATGAATCCCAACACATCCCAGCGTTTTTTTGCAGTGATCAGAAGGTTACCAGGCTGAATCGATAATGGTTACAACGGTTATATATATATATTATATTATATATATAGGTAATTATATAGGTGCCATAATTGGGTGGCAATAACCATACTGGTTATAGCTACCAGTGGCCACAATACCCCACAACCATCCATATATAACCATCATATAACCACAATTTCCCTTTTTCTCAACGACCCGCAGGGCCGAGCTGACATGACCCTGACATGACCCTGACATGACTGATATGATGGGCTTGCGAGGTCGTTTCATGTGGGATGTGTGCCATGGTCATGGTCAAGATTTGGATGATATACTGATGTACCCGGTACCCACATTTCGGGATGGTCATATTACAATTCCTAGGGATTTATACCAGATAAAATGAAGATGATGGTTGGATGGCCCATGATGGCCCATATACATCCATATACCATAATACCATATACCAAGTTTTGATCATCTCTCATTAATGGCACATAGAAACCTTATCGAAATCAGGTAGCTTATGGGTACTACTTGCGTCTCAGTATGTCTCAGTAATCTCTGACTGCCTGGGTGTGTGGTTTTGGATGGTTTTGGGCTCGAGCAAGAGGGCAAAAGAAAGATCGCGGTCGGACTCGTACTAACAACACTTTAGCTGGACATCAGCTGAACTGCCACTGGTTTGCACAGAAATCACTGGGACCCAGCGGCCCGAAAAATGGCCCTGTGGTCCCCGTACTTGTAGTTGTGCGAACCACGGGCTGTGTTGTATATAATTAATGGGAATGGGGTAGTCAATCAGTCAATCTATTGAAATTTATTGCATCAGAGAACCCCCAAACCAAACCAGCAACAACGCTATATAACGTGTTTGGATATGTGTCGCATTCTATACCGTGTGTTTGCATGGATTTTTGCAAATCCGAGGTAACCCGAACATTCTTTTTCCGACACTGAACAGTTTCAGAGTGGGATGATATCTCTCTTAATTTGGGCCCAATTATCACAAGACCGTGAAGTATACCTTGTGATTTCAGCAGGCACCTCTCAGAAAAATCGCCTGAGATCTAACTCGGAACCTGGAAAACTGCTAGGAACCTTACATCTTGGGAGATCAACCACTAAATATATTATAGACAGACTAGTGAAGGGATTTTCGGGGGTTCCAAAATGGTAGATTCGATTCGGTGCAGCGCTGCATTTCTGAGGCCATGTACTCCCGAGAGGATATCAACGTGGGCAAGCTTCTGAAGAGGTGAAGCTGCTGAACGATCTGAGGAAATTGCCTTTTAGAAATGATGCCAATGAGTAGATTGGACATTGAAATTATAGCTCGTTTGCCTGGTGCTAAAAACATCTAAATAATGCTTGATAGTGATGGTTGTCCAATCCGACTTGGGACGATTATCCTCTTGGTTTTCAGCCAAGCATCGAGCCTCTATATATATATATATATCCCTCAAAGTCCTAGGACCTCAAAAAGAATGGTCCTTGCCGAGAGGACCTGAATGGGTACATTCGCCGAGGGTTTCTCAGCATTGTCGAGGTTCCACGCGCCGAGGGTCCGCCGAGGGTTCGCCCAGGGTCCGCCAAGGGCACCTTCCATTTTATCATGATCATGGCCCCCATGATCACTGCTTGCGCCTTTGCAAATTGTTCTCGGTTCGGTCTTGCTTTGCTCTCGATCTGCTCTCGATTGCTCTCGATTTGCTCTCGGTTTTCTATATGTCCGAGGCTCCTTTTCAGGTCCCCGAGGCTCCTTTTCAGGTCCTCGAGTGTACTTTTGAAGTCTTACTCAGCAATGCTCTCGCTCGCTCTCGATTTGCTCTCGATTTGCTCTCGCTCGCTCTCGATTTGCTCTCGCTCGCTCTCGATTTGCTCTCGGCTGCTCTGATATATATGATCATCATATACGGGATCATTTTGGGGCATGTTTCACGAGATTCTAGCCAAAGCAGCATGGCGAGCATAGCCAAAGGGACGTTCCCAGGGAGGTCCGGGACCTGAAAAGGAAGGCGAATGGGAACATGCCGAGGGCGTACCTTTTCAGGTCCTAAGTGTCAGCAATTCCGAGGACCCTAAAAAGAGCGGTCCTGGACCGACAGGGTATTATAATATTATAATATAATATAGATAAGCTCAATCGCCAACATTTGTGTTGTGTTTGGAAGCCAACCTCCCAGATTCAGGAGGCATTTGCTGGTAAAGAGGCGGCAGATACACAATAAAGATACGATTTTGATATGTTGTAAGTAAAGTTGACAGCTTTATATACTAATAAAGGAATATGCATATTACAAACAAAGATGATTGATTAACAACAAAGTGTGTGTGTGTATGATTGTCAATATGTATATTATATTTATATTGTGTTTAAACAAATGCATGTTTATTCTATTCGATTTACATCATTCCAGCATGGCACCCACCAGGTTGCCAAAGGCAATTCGGAGCAAAGTCCTGGCGAAGGAGCACGAGGGGCGAATGTCAGGTCGATGTTCGCAGATTTCGCAGTTAGTTGGCCGTGTTTTATGATGTTTAAATGGAATTTAAGTAAGCAACATGAATAGGATGAATAGGGATGTTACCCTATCGTTATTTAACAAAGCTATGGAAAATGATAGAACATCCCCATGTTCAATAGCTAAATATAGCTAATGTATGCTAATGTCATGGACATGTCATGGTAAATCATTTATTTTCATGGGGCTTCCCCGGCTATGTTGTGAGTAACCAGATGGTAACCCGCCAGGAGTTCTTGGATGAGTAACTTGGCGGATTAAGCCATGGCTTTCCGTTCCGAGATGGCCTAAGATGAATATTGGATATAGGGGATATCCAATGGAAGATATTTGTAATATATATATATACATATTAATCATATATAGTATATATTATAATTATACATGTATCTGGATATATATAATAACATAACATGGACTGATAGATCAAAGAATTGGATGAAGGGAACAAGTACGGGAAGAGGATCCCGTGAGTCGCTGTGTGTATATATATATATATTGCATATCACATGAATTCTACTGATAGAAACAATCGCGTCTCGGCCCGGGAAGTTACATGTTGACGGGCCACTCATCGAATGCTAGGTGCTGGACTATTTTCAAGAAGTACGACGTGTCTTGGAAGCAGGTTTGGTGGGTGTAGGTTGGCGCAGCATTGCACAATAGTATATACTGTACACTTAATACACAGTATGGAAGCATGAATGTGTGAATGTTTGCCGCTAATAGACGCATGCTTAGGTTGTTTGCGAAGTCAAAACAGCTTTTATAGTAAAAGATTTCACTAGGTATCAGTATGATATAAACATGTTTTAGCATACGAATATGCAGTATTGCACCTGCATACTGCAGCAAGATCAACCATGTCGCACATATACATCTCCCCTTGCTGGCTTCAAAAAATCCTGAGGTCTTTCAGAGTGAGAAGCTTGAAGGCTGTAATCTGTGGAAGGCATTGTTGGAGGCTGCAGCGGGGTCTGGGTTGAGTAAAGATCATCAGCGGCCTGTGAGGCGGCCCCTCCATAGGTGGTAGTGGTAGTTGGAACATCTGGTGCTAATATGAGTCAGTTGAAGTCACTAAGTGGAGTTGGATGACATACAGCAGATTTATTTGGACATGGGTCATCATCATTGATCTCCCAAAATGGGTCAGTTTAATGAATGCTAGATATGACATGACCAATGACGTGCGGTCCCACACTAGCCAACCATGGACTCGAGGGGTCGTATCCCCACGGTCTTTTCGGGTGAAGTTTCCAAGTTTTGCTTGGAATATCCGCATGTTTGATGGATCTTGAAAGAAACCACCACTAAATTATAACTGCATCCAATTATAACTGCATTATAACTAAATTATAACCAATTTGATCCAATTTGGTATATTTATAAAGTGAATATCCCGTAAGTTGCAATCATCACCGACTTCAGCCACGTGCACAGGCTTTGCCCGAGGCGTTTTCTCAGGCGATCCTCAAGAACCAGTCGCTGGACTTCAATGACTGGGCATGGTCCACGGGTCATAGTTTAAGATATTTTGAGAACTTGGAAATCACAATTTTTTAGACTTTTTTTGATGATTTGGCTCATTTGGGTGGTAGTCACATGATTTGGATTTTAGATGATTTGGACCATTCCTGGTACCCAAGTGTGACACATGCCCAAGTATGGAATCACTCTACCGGTTAGTGCATGTTAATATGAATGGATCTGATGCACTCCTAAGCGAAGTAAAATTCTGGGCCATATCCAACAAAAAGGTTGCCGTTCCGGGCCTCAGTTTTGATCCTTAGGTATCTTCAAAAACACATTGGGCGCAATGGATTGCAAGCGAAGCAATGTTTCGGGAGTTGACATGGGGATACATCGTGATACATCAACACCTATTGTACCATATATACATATACATACGACTGGGAAACTCTTGGGGCATGACCCATAGCCGGCAGGTATGGTTGGTCTCTTCAACAAGATTCTGTCTATGCCTTCACTGGCTGTGGACGTGACGGTGAGCCTGTGGCTTGGACCATTTGAGGACAGTGGGCAGCGTATGCTTGGGAGGCTGCGAGGTACTTGGTACCTTTTCTTTTTGATTCAAGTGCCGGAATTAGATGATTCGAACAGTTCCAGAAAACTCCTAAAATACTGCTAAAAACATGTAAAAATTAAAACAGCTAAAAATTAAAACAGCTGGTTTTAGTTAGATATTTCCATGAGAGAAATCCATTGACCAAGCTATGTCACATCTGAAAGAACATGTGGGCCTCCAGCAACCTTCCATTCATATGGGTTCCCTGACTAGGCCTTTTTGTTTCATGGTGAGCTTCTCTAGTTCTAGGTCTCGTGGTGCTGTAGTTGTGGGTTTTGTTGGTGGTTGGGCCACTGTGCTGCCATAGCTACAATACAAAAGATGTGAAATCAAATGTTTGCTTGCTTCCTGCCTTTTTTTTAAAACATGTTCATGGCCAGCTTGTCTCGACCCATGGCGTGCTGTTTGGTCCGGTTTAGAGTGCCATGATGATTCCGACTTATGTCGTAGCTCTTGGTCCTGATACTATACATGATGCTATTGTAGATCCCCTATGTTGGTCATTTTTGTTGATTACCATGCGCTGTCCAGGGACAGTTTCCCCGTGGATCCCTCTGGCAATTTAACATACCGGGTGGCTATGGAAAATGGCCCCTGAGAATAGATGATCTAACCGTTAGAAAGGGCGCTGTTCCAGAATTTGAACATGTTCCCTCCAAACCCCGGGTTCGTCCACACTCAAACAACACATCCAAACAATATGATCTACTTATAACCAGAGGATGAATGAAAAACACTAGCTATACGCAGTGATTTTGACTTTAAGTTTTCAGGATTTAGGGTCTTAATTCAGGGTTTTAGGGTTTTAGGGTTTGTTGTTTTGGAAAGTAAAAAGCGTTAACCCTACGCAGGGATTTGAGCATTGCGAGATTCGCCGCGGGTTTCGCAGCGAACATGTTTAAACTGTGAAACTACCACCCCAAAATCCAACTATATCATAGATAGATATAGATAGATATAGATAGATATAGATAGATATAGATAGATATAGATAGATAGATATATATAGATAGATCGATAGATAGATAGATAGATAGATATCCCTAGCTCAAAGTTCCAGTAGCTGGATACATCACATCTCCAAGGCCATCTCCTTCATTAAGTTTCCCGAGTACGTCAAGTTCACGCTGGCCTTGATCCTGCACAAATATAGCCCTTTGGACGGGGTGTTGATCTCAAAAGATGACTCACCAGGGGATGTTAAACAGAAATAAATCATAACCCAACCATAAATATCAAATATCCATAATGTCCATTTATGGTCGGGTTAATGACTCAGAATATAAGTGATTCCTTCTATAAACAGTCATATCCCAACCATAAATGTGCATCAAATATCCATAAATATCATTAAATATCCATAAATATTATCCATTATGTATAACCTGGGGTTCAAGGGGTAGCCCCCTATGGACGACCATATATAAAAATGGTCCATCCCTGCGGGCATTGGAGCCTCGGAGCCGTGGCTGGGTGAGAAACCGGATCGCTTACCAACTAGAATAGTACCCGGCCTGGTAAACTAACAGTTTGCTATTGAAAATGGCCATTTAGTTCGTTGATTTTCCCGTTAATAGCATGATGATTTTCCATAGTTATGTTATGTTATGTTACGTTAGTTTTTTGTATGTTTACCAGAGGGTAAGTTCAGCCCTTACAATTGCATGAAGATGACCAACAATTGTGGGTCCAATTTCAATTGTCACCGAGTCACCCAACTCCAACATGGCCCCAATTGGAGGCGCCAACGCCAATGTCTTGGACTGCAAGATGGCTCTGAAGGCTCAGGAGAGCTGTAAAACCGCGCCTCGGTAAGGGGATGTACCCTCCGGTTCCCTCCGGTAAGAATAATAGCTGTCCCATAATAGTTATAGTAGTTATAATGATAGTTATTATCAATATTATTGATCACAACTAATAATAACTATTACTAATATTACCTTCTGGTAAATAAACATAGGCACTGAAAATCACCAATTTTTAATGGAAACTAGTCTTCCAAGCCCGACAACTGCCAGGGTCTATGTTAATTTACCAGAGGGTAAGAGGTGCATGAACCCTTCGCAGCGACTCGGAAATCAGAATGGGTGTGTCTAAAAATTGGCGAATGATGGCTAATGTGGTAAACCCACTTTAATAGACCACCCCCAATTTGACAAGAAATGCGCAATAGGAAACCTCCGAGATGAATGGTTGATCATCATTGTTTGCATTGAAACTGCTAATTTCTTGGTATAATATGGTATAATCCACTTCAGACACGCGAAAATGTGGCAATTCTTTCTTGATTTCACTTGGGTGAACAAAAACTGAATTGTTTTTCTTTGTTGGGGTGTGATTGCATGGTACGGCAATCACCTGCGCCGGCGCGCGTAAAAGGAGATGGACCACAGCAAACGTTGGTAGGCTCAGGAGCATCAAGGGGCTGGTCGGTGGAGGTTTCAGCATGAACTCAGCCTTCCTAGTCGTCCTACGGTAGTCCTGTTGGGAGTTTGGGTCTCTGGTCATGGCATCTTCATTGGTGCCTCAGATCTTCATCCTTTGTCGGAATTTGTCGGGCCATGTCGGGCCATATGACTTGACCAAATTCGATACTTACTTAATTAATCTGAATTTCAAGCAAACTCTTATCTTGTGTGGGCAAGATGTGGATCCGTACATGGAATAGATAGCTAGATAGCCAGATAGATAGACTGCGATAGATGGATAGATAGATTAGATTAGATTGGATTAGATTGGATTAGATTGGATTAGATTAGATAGATAGATAGATGGATAGATAATTGAGTAGCCTAGGTGAATAAGTTTCAAGTTTGCTGCTGGAATCCACCCCCCCTTCGAGGCAAGACCAAGGTGGTCGCAAGTTTGGGTCCCGCCTCTTGGAGTGAGGCGGGGCTCAGCCGCTGGGTGTGGCTGTAGAACTAGCTGGGGCTCAACAAGTGGCTAAAAGCACCCAAGACATATCCATTCATATACATTCATATCCTAAAAATGGTTGGCTGAAACAATGCAAATAGGGAATCTAGATGAATTTAGTATCAACATGTATCAACAATGTAGGGTAACATTTTGATGAAGGTCTAAAGGATTAGTTCCACAATTTTACGGGGGTATATGCTGCCCAGCCCCGAAAAAATATAGGGTACCTGCAACCGTCAAAGATGGCTTGCTGGGCTGGTCATTTTTCAACGCATTGCAGCCAATTGCAGCAGTCCCACCGAGCCATGGTGATCTAAGTGTAGGAGCTGATATATGGTGCCTCTTATGTGAGATTTCAATGGGTTGCCAAGGCAAGTGCAGGGACAAAAGAATGTGGCGCTTTGATGCACTTTCATTTGATATCTCACGTAGCTATCATGTAAAATAAGACTCACAGAACATGACAGTTTCATCAGCTTCCCATAGGAGATGATCCCCAAGATGATCGAAGCAGGCACTGTTCCTCGGCAGTTGGGATCAGTCAGATCTAGCTTTCGTCAGCTTATCCTTGTGATTGATGATTGAATTAATTAGCTATTGTCTACTCCATTCTTCTTGCCTAGGTGCATACCTATAAATATGTAAGTCTATACACGTATATACATGCTCATATCATACTATATACAGTATTATCCACATTCACACGCACACAGAATCACAATACACACACAGCTGATTTTTATCGTATGTGTATATATATACACATGTATACATCGGGATGAATCAACACTTTTTGTGTACACCAGATTTAGAGGATGAACATTCATTTGCCAGCTTTTAGGGGGCTCACTAGGCTACGAGGTGAACTGACCCCAAGGCCATACCACATACTAGATTCTATATATATATACATATGCATGTATACATATCTCCCTGTACAAGATTACTCTGACATACTCTGACTACATTGGTAAAGTTTTTGTTGTCTAAGTGCGCAGTTCTTGAATTCAGGTGAGGCCGCCGTATCTTACTTCTGAGTGCCTTTTAAAGGAAATATATATATATACGGTATATACATAATAGAGACATGCACGCATCAATATGTATGCATTTACTCGTACAATCTCATATATATATATATGCACACACACAGATGTATACATACATATAAAACACCATATGTATATATAGCTTATTCATATAAATAACGACGGTCGCTTCACGGTTCCAAGGACATTTTCCGTTTGAACTGCTCCCATCGTCGTGGTGGTGATTTTGAGCGCGTCTATCCACTGATTAGGCGGTCAGCGGATCGAATGGTGGGGATTGAATGGGGAATTAAGCATCAATCTATGGCTAATAATAATAATGCTTAATAGTTGTTAATAATTAGTGGTTAATAATAATGTTTGTTAATAATATTGATTATTGTTGGTTAATAATGGTCAATACCCTCTGGTATAAACAAACACAACTATGGAAAATCACAATTTTTCATGAGTAAATCAACGAACTAAATGGCAATTTTCAATATCTATGTTAGTTTACCAGATGGTAATAATGGTTAATACTGCAGGATTTTATCGACAATAATGAATGAATCATGATATAGATCTGCGGTTCATAATTATAGTGGTAATAACTATGGTTAATAATGGTTAGGCATCGTTTATGGCATTATGGCATTGTGCTTGCCACATTAATGCTGATACCATGGGGATAGAATGGAACGTTATAACGGGTATACTATGGAAATCAATCAGGAATACTATGGACTATAAATTATAATGGTGATATATGGGTGATACTATGGCTATGGATTACGTTAAGGCGGCAGTGGCTTTTCAGTGACTGCGAAGCTGGATTGATGTGGCATGCCCAGTGGCTGTAGATCAACTCCCCCTGGATCGGGCAGGAAGTATTCCAAGATGCTGGGCCGTCGAGTGGAAGTCTTGGGAGACCTGCAGGCAGGGCCGATTCCGGGGGCTTCATGGGATGATATGGGATCCGATTGGTTCAAAGGAACATCTGAACGATGTTTATCACCAAATCTGGGCGAATTCTGCAGATTTTCCCATCCGACTCTGGGACTCAAGGAAAATGAAGTTGGGACTCCTCAATTTTTTTTGTGCGGAAATGTGCTTTCCCTTCAAATTGGCCAATGCTGGGTGGGGGGAACAGCTTCTTTCCGTGTGTGTTAGGTCTCACTTCAACAGCTCGCGACTCAGGGCCCCAAGTTCCGCGTGGGCGAGTTGGAGGGCGAGCCGGTGATGTTGAAGGAAGGTGAAATTGTGGAGTTTGGCATTTGCAAGGAGACCAGGGGTGCTGGCGTGACTCCTTGGAACATGTTGAGGTGGAATGAGCTTCAGTCAGCCTGAGATATCCTGAGTTTTTGTTTTACATATTCATGTTTGTTGATGTTTGTTGATGTTTGTTGGTTTAATGAACATGTCTTGTCAAGCCGAAACACCTTTGTGTTTTTTCATGTTTTTTCGACATCCCCGTTGTGGTCAAATCGCCCTGTTGGTCAAATCCATCGCTCCAGGATGACAATGACCTCATCAAAGCGGGTCGTATCACCATGAAGCCCACGACTGAACAACTGGCCCTGGTAAAGGCCTGCAAGGTCGGAATCGCTGCTCGCCTCATTCAAAAGATCCTGACAAGGTCAAGATATGTCAAGATGATGATCTCCTAATATGATATGATCATGATATGATCATGATGTCATCATGATATCATCATGATATGATCTGGCTGGTGGCTTCAATAAATTCAACGATTTTTCTCCATCCTCATCTTTGAAGATATTTGTTGTCCGATGAGAACACCAAAAAAAGAGGTGCTTAACCACCCCCCGGTGATGATTTGTTTTGAGGGTCGTATTGAGGTTCCAACTCAACAGACTTGTGCGCAGACATGCAATGTGGAGCTGAGACAAAACCCTGAGGATTTGCTCATTGAGGACGGCATCATGAAGGCCACCCTCTTTGGATGCGCAAGCGCTCGAATCCCCTACAAGGGGCAGCACTGGGCTCAAGTTTTTGGGATAGCCAAACTGTACGAGCTCTGAAGGCCACTCATATGTATATAATTGTATATACAATTATATACACGAATAGAGTATCTTCATGCGATATTCTCCCAACTTGGTCTTAGTTTGTGTATGTTTTGCAGGCTGATTTTACCTTGAAACTGAATCAACATGGTCTTGTGGATCGTTTATCTACAACCGGGTGCTCAAAGTAGCCATTTCTCCGACGCTGACAGGTGAATGTCGTTGAGAAGCTCTCCGACACGGTACGCCCGTGAAGACGTTGGATGCGTTAAACGATGTAAATTGATGGGATATGAATGGATATGATGTCATAAACATCCATAAACATCCATAACCATGCATAAACATGGGAAAGAACAGATTCCATGGGGGGCACCCACCACTTCATGAATTCCCAGCATTCACTGTTGGCCAACTGCTGCCTATTGCTGCCTTTAAATACGATGGTTTTGTTCAGAAAGGCTAAGGCGGACACAGGTGGAGCCTTGAGTAATAGAGCTCTTGCTTCGGCGACTCACACGCCCATGAGAGCTTCCCAAGTTGAAAGGATACTCATCTGCTTATTGCGGTGATCCGTTGACTTGTAGCTATTGACAAGCTATACCAGCCATTGGGCCTCACCGCAGGAGTTGAAGGTGAAGATCATCCGTGGAGGAAAGCTGAAGGCACAGCCGAAGTCTGGCACCTGAATATGTTCGGCGTCTATTCCCTTAAGCTGATAGACATTGATAGACCCATGTTTGAGGATGACGATTTGCATTTTTTTTGTTGATTATTTGTTGATTGGCACTTGAGACTACAAACAACTCCAGTCTTCAGAGTGCTTCCGACAAAAATCGTCGGTTGGTAATCAACAAGCTATAGTCCGTTGATGTATACATGATACATATATCCTTAGTTTTTATGGGTTACCCTCAGGTAATCAAACGTAACATGGCTAGCTGGACATGTCATGAAATTTATCGACGATGTTCGCAGCACCTCCATTGAGTTCGGGGATTTCCCATCTTGCCATGTTTGATGACACTGGAGGGTACCCTCTGGTAAACTAACAGAACTATGGACAATCACCATTTTTAATAGGTAAATCAACTATAAATGGACCATTCTCCATGACAAACATCTGTTAGTTTTCCGAAGGCTACCCTCTGGTAAACTAACATAACTGTGGGAAAATCACCATTTGTAGTGGGTAAATCCACTATAAATGGCCATTTTCAATAGCAAACTGTTTGTTTACCGGAGGGTATATTAAACAGCGACATGCACACATTACCCTTGAGGCACGCAAGGGCGTGAACGTGCCGGACTGCGAGATTGACTGTGCGGCGCTGACCACCAAGGCGCGCGCTTAGGGTGGGTGGTACCCTATGATGCACCAAAAATGGTGGAACATGGCACATTTTGTTGATGATGTACGTATTAAAGATGTGGTTTTTGTTTTCCATGGGTTGGTTGTTATAATTCCATATAATTCCTCATTTTGTATATATAGACCATGAATCGATGATTAATTCCCTTAGCATAGTTACTGGCATAGTTATTATTATTCGTTATTCACCGTGATTAACCAGTACCCCATTATTAACATTTATTAACCACAGTCATAGTTATTGCCCTCCGGTGTCAGCAAACAGCTGGAGGATCCTCATTGAGTTCGATGATATTTCCAGCCATAAAGCTCCATTAGGTTAGGGTATTTTCCAGCTAGCCACGTTTGATGACCGGAGGGTAGATGGAGTTTTTGCTATTTTTTAGGGGGTGCTATACCCATATGCTCCATGTATGGAATAAATTATGTGTGAACATTTAGCCGTTTCAAAAAATCGCCCAAACATAGGTAAATCTACCATACATGGAGCATTTGGGATACCATCTATCGTCCTCGATGGCTATGTGTAAACGGGATGGTCCCACCAGCTGTGAAGCTGCAGGACATTGAAGATGCCGAGTATTTACTGCAACTGGACCCACCGGTGGAATATATTTGTGTGTCTTGGTGTATTCAAGTTCCAGAGTTCCAGGCTTCCTGGGATAGATCAGGGCGCTCTGCAGATGTCTCGGAGGTGAGGGAAAAAGTGCAAGCTACAAGCATGTTTCCTAAAATCCAATGAACATCTGGAGCAGAATCCTTAAGGAAAACAGACTATATTCATCTATATTATATATTTATCTATATTCAAAATGTATGTAAGCCAGCTGGTTCATGGTCCCACATCAAAAGCGGACTCTCGAGCCGCGCCTCGACGCCTCGAGGTGTCCTTTGCACAAAAGGGGCAGGACCTGCAGGAGCTCATCGACATCATGGACCGCCTGAAGATCCCAGCAGACAAGCGACCGTAGCTCGGTGCGGGACGTTGAAGATGTTCAAAGGTGGTTAGTGCGATGTTTGTGCGTTCAGGTATGTTCAGGTGTTTATCAATTAACTTGTTCTTTTTTTGTTCCATCTAAGAGCTATATCTTGTGGTGGTTCAAGCAACCACCAATCTGCCCAAACATCCATTCCTTTGTCAGAACCTTATTGGAACTCCAGTGCTTTTTTATTTGGGCCGTTAAGGAAGATTTGCCCAAAGATTGAGAAGCCGCAAGCCCTCACCAACATTGAGGGTATCATTGAGAAGTCTCAAGCATTGATGGTTGCGAGGCAGCCATGGGATGAGGGCCCCGGGGCCTGGTTTTTGTTGACCCTTGCGGCCGCCATTAGCAACTTGCAGTATCCTCCACCTTTTACAAACAGACCGGTGGTTTCGAAAATGTTCTTATTTCCCATGGTTTTCGGGATCATGATACTCAAACAATAAATGGATAGATGATGATAGATGATGATAATTGATTGATTATCGATGATTGACTATTGACGAATGATGATAGTGATGATGACGATGATGACGATGATGATGATGATGATGATGATTGATGATGATGATGATGATGACGACGACGACGATGTTGTTGTTTTTTGTTTTTGTTTTTTGTTGCTGTTGCTGTTGTTTTTGTTGTTGTTGCTGTTGCTGTTGTTTCTTGTTGTTTCTTGTTGTTTCTTGTTGTTTCTTGTTGTTCTTGTTGTTCTTGTTGTTCTTGTTGTTCTTGATGTTGATGTTGATGTTGATGATGATGATGATGATGGTGGTGGTGCTGGTGCTGGTGCTGGTGCTGGTGATGGTGATGGTGTTGGTGATGGTGGTGACGGCGACGGTGGTAATTGTGGCTATAGTGATTTTGATTATGATGATACTGATGATGGAAATGATAAAACGTGAATTGAAATGATAGACATGATATCATGGATTCTCATAGGATATCGACCTGTCTTTTGGATAGACAATGGATTATACCCAGCTGCCAGGGGTGACCTGGGCGTCGAGCTGGAACTGGAGCGTGTGCCCTTCGCGCAGAAGTTGCTCATCGCCCGAGCCAAGAAGGTGCGACACCGGGCCTCTGGGTGCCACTGGATGGCGGGCAATGGGACAATTCCATGATTTTTGTTGCGCAAACTGATCAAATATGGAAGTTTCCTAAAGTGGGGGTGCCCCTAAATCATCCACTCCAGGATTTTCCATTATAAACCATCCAGCTTTTGGGGATCCCCCAGTTTATGGAAACCCCCATCCGGGAATATATGATGGAATCTAAGAATCCATACCCGCAACAAACATATGGCAACGGGAATTCCTGCACGTGTGATGATGTTCCCCCAAGATATCCCGGCCCCATAAAGGCTGGCCTGTTCGTCATCAATGCCACGCAGATGGTGGCCACTGGGCATGACGCTGCAAGGAAGATGTTGGAGCATGTTTGAGGTCACACTCCTGAAATACATGATGTCAATAAACGGAAATTAATATGTTGATTTTGCAGAAGAACAAACATGTGCGCGGCTGTGCTGGCTTTGTTAAAATGGAATGGCGTGTGGAGATGTGTGGGGCCATTCTTTCTCCACCCAAATGGGTGTCTCAAATAATGTAGCTCTAAACCTAGTGGATTATCACCATGTTTCCTATTACTTGAACGTCAAGATAGCTTTTTGAAGATGGAAACCTATTCAACCATTGTCAGACATACCGACATACCACATATTGTTAATTAGTTATATATGTATCCCACTCTATGGTTTTCCGCATTGAAATCCCCATTAAACCACCATTTTACACCCCGAACGTTGGGCGATCTTCCGGGCCTCCGAGGAGAGCATGATCGAAAATCCGGTCCCCACGCGTGCGGAAGTCACAGACCTGCAGAACGCAGTGCTCTTCGGCAGGATTTTTCTTTAGCGGATTCCATAGCCCCAATGCTCCATGTATGGTCTATTTACGTACCATTGGGCGATTTTGAGGTTCAATATTCTATTAGGCTGATAAAAAAAGGAGGTTTCCTAAAATGGGGGCACCCCTAAATTATCCATTTATAGATGGAATTTCCATTATAAGCCATCCATTTTGGGGTACCTCTCATTTGTGGAACCACCCATGTAGATAATGTCAACCCCGGATTCATGAGCCATATCTTATTTGGAAGGGCATTCCCCCAATTGTCATCATCTGATTCCCAAATGGACCAACATATGATATGAGAGCTCATATCTGACTACCAATTACTAAATTATCACGTGTTTTTTTATTTGAGCATCATCTATTCACATGAATATCATGAAACCCCCCCGGGAAGTTTTGAAGAAAGGCGATGAACATCCTCTATAAATAAATAATCCATTCATTTTACCATATACTAAACGTATCCAAGCCCCACATATTTTCATTGATGATATGACAGCTCACGTGTTTTCGTCCTCCCCGGGGTTGGCCGGGCGTAGCAGGTTCGACGGCGCGGATGCGGTGATGCTCAGTGGCGAGGCGGCCAGTGGCAAATATCCCTGCGAGTCGGTGATGGCGGAGGCAGATGCTGTGCCTGGGATGGATGGATGACGGTTTTTTGGGCAGAGAGATGGGGTGAAATTGGGATGATATAGGGGGCATTATGGGGCCTAATATGGGATTTACTATGGGGTTCACCCCTTTTCTTGATTTTGAGATGGAGGATTTTACTCGAATCTATTTTTGGGGGGCTAGAGCATCAAACAACTGTGGCAACTGTGCCCATTTCCTATTGCACTACTTGTTGGGGCAAAGCTGCCACAGGGTGAACTAGGGTTAGCAACCTGGCTACGGGCATGTTTTGGATCGGCCTTTGCACATATCTGTCAATGTGTTGGGGTCGCAAGCTAGATCGTGGCTACGTATAAACCACCCTGATACAGCCTGATACTTGGATTTGTTCAGCACGAAACGTGCTGACGTTTATGATAGGAATGATGCATGAAGCTAAAATCTTTGCGTAGTTGATTTTGAGGTTGTACTCGTACCCTCTGGTAATCAAACTTGGCTGGAAAAAATCACAATTTATAGATATTTTAGTTTGGTGATTTCCCCAGCTAGAATATAATGGATTATAATGATAATAATGGATGCTGTTCCCATATTTTCGCATGCCCAATCATTACAAAGTAATCATTGAAAAAACATGAAAAAACATTGAGATTCTTAAAACAATCCATTTACTGCAGTTCCAGCCATACCTGGACCACATCCAAGGCTTTGGAGGCTGAAGCCGTCCGTGACTTCCTGAAACCACAGGCGATGTCCCATGTGGAGGGGGCAACTAACGATGCAAAACTAACACGAAAAAAAAATTGGAAACGAGGGGAAATGAGGGGAACAATTGGAAACGAGAAAAATCATCTAGCCACATCTGATATTTCTTTGGGGGAAATGGTGCGCACGGAGCTTTTGGAGTGGGATATTGTGGCCGGTGGCAGGTTCCAGATGGTTCCGTGGTGGATGAGGCGAACAAACCTCGAGAATTGGACGTTCCTTGAAGCAAGCTAGCCAGCTTGAAAGCATGGACCAACATTGCTGGCACGCAGTTGTCATGGTTATAATCTTAGGGTTTCCTTCCGGAATCTGTTTATGGAATTGTCATCGCGTCCTTCTGCTTGTTGTGGTTATGGTCCCTTGACAGGGCAAAATTTCGACTTCACCAGATCTCCCTGGCAGAGTGATTTCAGCCAAGGACAGTAAGAGGCAGATCCAAGTGGTGGCATCTTTGGGTCCTGCCTCGTGGAGTGAGGACGGTTGTGACATGGATCTGGGATGATGTGGTACACCCAAGATGGATCAAGATGGCAGTTTCGTCGAGTTTTATCGGGAAATTTATGATTATAGTCATTTTAAGTGGATACACCAAAATTTCAGACAAACCAGGCTTTGAATATCTTTGAATGATACCTTACCTTGAGATATTGGCCGATTATTAGCCACACGCTTGGTAATCATGTTTTTTTTCGCGCACACACAAACATTATATATAATTATGTATATGTATATATATATATATGTATATATGTATATATGTATATATGTATATATGTATATATGTATATATGTATATGTGTGTGTGTATGTATATTTATTTGTTTAATTAATTGTGTGTGCATATATAATTATATATAATATCATATAATTATACAAAATATACATCTATCTATACGATTGTGCATCTTGATTAAGTCTTGATTAGCACCTGCTATCTATTTGATTTGTACTGCTGCTGGCATCTCTTTGTGTTTTATGCATGATTTTCTTACGAGGTGTTAAAAAACGAGTGCTAACTCTCCCTGCAGGAGATGATTCCAAAGATGATCGAAGCAGGACAGTGGATGGTTGCGAAATCTGTGATAAGGAGTTGGTGCACCTCTGGAAGCGAATTTGGCAACGTGCCCTTTCAAATCCTTTCACAATCTTTCAAGATGAGCTTCTCATTGCTTCCCACGTTCATCATGTCAGGAAAAATATGTATAAAACGTGATCAATCTATGTTGACTTCCCGCGTTCCGAGGGCTCAACACAAGACGATGCTGCTCTGGCAGGAACGAACATCTTCAGGTTGAACTGCTCTCACCGCCGCGGGGGCGACTTCGAGCGGGTCTACCCGCTGATCCGAAAATATGCCAAGGACCCTGGGACCGGACCATACCCTCAACGAAGATAGAACCTACCAGGGGGTTGGAAGTCTACTTTCCACATTTTTCCACTAAACATCGATAACATGGGCTATTGTATGCTATTGTCTTGGTCTGTGCGAAGTCACTGGAGGATCTCTGAACCATTGACTAGTGCCACTTGAATTTTTTGATCGGTGGCTCCACATGGTTCCACCATGTTCCACCTCAGCGCCGAAGGAGATGGGCAAGAAGGTGGAATGCCTCGGTGACTTGCAGGCCGTCCATCAAATTCTTCGCCAAAGATAGCCTGGTTGATTCTGAATGGGTGCTATATGTTGCTATAGATTAAAATTTGTCAAAGAATCAATACCTATGATATTATAGCTATATACTATTTTGGTTGTTATAGCTATACTATTGTATAGTGTCTACTACCTCATGATTTTGGGGACAATTATAGCCCTGGGGATGGGCCAGCCATCTCATCTCACCGGTGTAGGGACCACCGGCTCCACCAGGGTCCCAAGTTCCGCGTGGGTGAGCTGGCGGGGGAGCCCGTGCAGTTGAACAATGGCGACATCTTGGAGTTTGGCACCCTGGCCATCTGCGCAGTTTTTAAGGGCAACTGGCAACGAAAAAAAAAAATCGAGCAGAGGACACCTCATAAAATTTGGTTATAACATGCGGTTGTATGGATCAAAATAGATCAACATGTTCTGACTGGATAATGTTGGACCAGAGCGGCAACTTGCCCACCTTGGATTCAGCGCCAGGTATCTCTAAAGATGACCAGGACCTGATTCGCCCGGGGCGTATCACTATGAAACCCACCATCGAGCAGAATGCCTTGGTGAAAGCCTGCAAGCCGGGCACACCTTTGCTGCTGGAAGATGGCATCATGGAGGTGGGAACTATGGAAAATGGACACCTGGATTTGAAGATGGTGTATCTTGTTGGATACTCTTTGAGATAGTTGCTGACTTCACATTTGACGTGATTTTATCATATTGTATGTAGACGTCATTACTTTTCCATGTTTCAGGGATGGGTGGGGATTTTCATCATGATGGGGAGAGGCTCCAAGCAGCACTATGAAACAGGTGAAAGTTATCGAGAAATGCTCAGAGACCGAGCTGAAGGTTGTTGCATCTTGGCAAGGATCTCTTCTATATGTCTGATGATATTTCTTTGATGGTTAGGGTCGTTGACTTTTTCATTTTTTGATTTTTTTGCAGGCTATTTATGGCTACTTTTGCCTATCAACTATCAACTGAGTCTCCAGTCTCGATGGCCCCAGGTGACTCGTGGTGGCAAGTTGAAGGCGAGAAAAGGTGTCAACGTGCCTTGGTGGAAACAGTGGAACTCTCATCGCTCTCAAAATTGATCCAGAATCAGTGGATTGGATTGGTAAAATCATGTAAAACCACGGGAAACCATCGGTTTTTACCATTAAATATGGGGGTTTCCGGGGTTTCCGGTTCCAATTTTCCCGTAGACCAATCCAATGACAAAAGCGCCTGATTCGACGGTTTTCCTTTTGGAGATTTTTTGGAGGTCGGTACGGTAGTGTCCCATGCGAGATTATCTGACAGGTGCCTGATGTGGAGATTGACTGCGCTGCATTGACCGAGAAAGACATTGAGGACAGCTGTAGATGGGAACATATGAAGGTTTCGATGAATGGGGATATCCATGGATATCCCAAAATGGATGGTTTGTAATGGAAAATCCTGTTGAAATGAATGATTTATAACCACCATTTTAAGAAACCTCCATATGGCTTTGTCTGAAAATGGGGTATCCCAAAATCCATTGGTTGATTCTCACTTTTCTCATAAGACTAAGAACATTAAGTAGCCACATCTGCAGGTACAGTGTACATTGGAACAGGCGGATTCTCAAACAGTTCCGTGAATTCTGGACATCACCAGTCGAAGTTTGCGGGGGATGATCCACAGGGCTGGGATGGGCTGGGTATTTTGGTTCTGATGTGACCTTCCGACTCCCCGGGAGGTGTGTCATGCAACCTGAATGGTGTTAAACCCTGCGGTGATGTCACTGGAATGATGGCTAGGATTGGGATGATTATCCCAAAATGCCCGAACTTTTCCGGCTGGTGAATCATGATGTGTTTTTCCAAGAATAGAGACAGGACAGTTGCGATGTGGTGATGTTTTGTTGGCCTTACATGGCCTTACCGGTTTTTCACGCCCACCATGGCAGCTTTCCTCCTCCAGGATGCAGAGTATTTGTTACAGCTGGAGCCTCCAGTCGAATACATTTGCGTTTCCTTCGCCCAGAAAGGCGGGATCAGTCTATCTTTGTCTCCCTATTGGGGCTACGTGCTCACACTTGCCAACACAGACACACACAGACACACACAGACACACACAGACACACACAGACACACACAGACACACACACAGACACACACAGACACACACAGACACACACAGACACACACAGACACACACAGACACACACAGACACACACAGACACACACAGACACACACAGACACACACACAGACACACACACACAGAATCAGAATCACACAGAATCACACAGAATCACACAGAATCACACAGAATCACACAGAATCACACAGAATCACACATATCACACATATATTTATATGATCATATATATATAATATATGATCTAATTCAAGATAATGTGATAGACTATGAAATGAAAATGACATATATAATATGCAATATATAGGCGATGGAGAGGGAGAGAGATCGATCGATAGATAGTTAGTTAGATAGATAGTTAGTTAGTTGAATAGATATACAGATACTTAGTCAGTTAGATAGATAGATAGATAGATAGGTATGGCAGATAGATTAAAATACGTCATGTCATATACGTCTAGGAGATCCCTCCCTGATTTCCCTTAGGACCCCATGGCCCCATGGCCCCATGGCCATGCCATCTTCATCCCACCAGGTCAAGACCTACAAGAGCTGATCGACATCATGGACCGGCTCAAGGTCCCCCAGGAGAAACGACCCAAGATCTGCCCGAAGATCGAGAAACCTCAGGCGGGATCATGAGACAACATGGTTTACATAATATTTATATATATATATATATTATATTTTTCCCGAGAGCGTCTGAGCGCAGGGTTCTTCCAATAGTGGGGGCCTGTAAAACATCTTCTCATCTTCACATCTTCTCTCACATCTTCTCATCTTCACATCTTCTCTCACATCTTCTCTCACATCTGCTCATCTTCAAATCTTCTCTCACATCTGCTCATCTTCACATCTTCTCTCACATCTTCTCTCACATCTTCTCTCACATCTGCTCATCTTCACATCTTCTCTCACATCTTCTCTCACATCTGCTCATCTTCACATCTTCTCTCACATCTTCTCATCTTCACATCTTCTCATCTTCACATCTTCTCATCCTCACATCTTCTCATCTTCACATCTTCTCATCTTCACATCTTCTCATCTTCACATCTTCACATCTTCTCACATCTTCTCACATCTTCTCACATCTTCTCACATCTTCTCACATCTTCTCACATCTTCTTTCATCTTCTCTCACATCTTCTCACATCTTCTCACATCTTCTCACACCTCTTGCCCTCTTGCCCTCTTGCCTTCTTGCCCTCTCCTTCTTTTCTATTTCTCTTTTGAAGGCGGGAGCAGGGGCAGTGGCAACGAGACGCCACGAAACGCAACCCTTTCGCACGAAATGAGGTTCGATCGTCAAAAACTGAAGAAAAAATACGAGTTGCAAGTGGCCCCGGGCAACCCTTTCGCACAAGTGGCCCCGGGCAACCCTTTCGCACGAAATGAGGTTCGATCGTCAAAAACTGAAGAAAAATTGCGATTTCCAACTTGTCCGCGCAACCCTTTCGCACGAAATGGGGTTCGATCGTCAAAAACTGAGGTAAAATTGCGATTTCCAACTTGTCCGCGCAACCCTTTCGCACGAAATGAGGTTCGATCGTCAAAAACTGAGGTAAAATTGCGATTTCCAAGTCGTGCCGCGAACCCTTTCGCACGAAATGAGGTTCGATCGTCAAAAACTGAGGAAAAATTGCGATTTCAAGTGGTCCGGCGCAACCCTTTCGCACGAAATGAGGCTCGATCGTCAAAAACTGAGGTAAAATTGCGATTTCCAAGGTGCAATCGCCAGCCTTTCGCACGAAATGAAGTTCGATCGTCAAAAACTGAGGAAAAATTGCGATTTCCAACTTGTCCGCGCAACCCTTTCGCACGAAATGAGGTTCGATCGTCAAAGCTTCTGTGTGTAAAAGAGTCTGTGTGTAAAAGCGTCTGTGTGTAACAGAGTCTTTGTGAAAAAGCGTCTGTGTGTAAAAGCTTCTGTGTGTAAAAGCTTCTGTGTGTAACAGCGTCTGTGTGTAAACGCGTCTGTGTGTAAAAGAGTCTGTGTGTAAAAGCGTCTGTGTGTAAAAGAGTCTGTGTGAAAAAGCGTCTGTGTGTAAAAGCTTCTGTGTGTAAAAGCTTCTGTGTGTAACAGCGTCTGTGTGTAAACGCTTCTGTGTGTAACAGCGTCTGTGTGTAAACGCGTCTGTGTGTAACAGTGTCTGTGTGTAAAAGCTTCTGTGTGTAAAAGCGTCTGTGTGTAAAAGAGTCTGTGTGTAAAAGCGTCTGTGTGTAAAAGAGTCTGTGTGAAAAAGCGTCTGTGTGTAAAAGCTTCTGTGTGTAAAAGCTTCTGTGTGTAACAGCGTCTGTGTGTAAACGCGTCTGTGTGTAACAGTGTCAGTGTGTAAAAGCTTCTGTGTGTAAAAGCGTCTGTGTGTAAAAGTGTTTCTGTGTAAAAGTGTTTGTGTGTAAAAGTGCCTGTGTGTAAAAGCGTCTATGTGTAAAAGCTTCTGTGTGTACAAGCATTTGTGTGTAAAAGCAACTCCTGTGTGTAAAAGGGTCTGTGTGTAAAAGTGTCTGTGTGTAAACGTATCTGTGTGTAAACGTGTCTGTGTAAAAGCTTCTGTATGTAAAAGCTTCTGTGGGTAAAAGCTTTCTGTGTAAAAGTGTCTGTGTAAAAGCTACTGTGTGTAAAAGTTTCTCACTATTTGGTCTTGATACTCCTCTTCTCGACTGCCTATAACACATCTTGCATACATCGTTTCTAAAATTGCGTCTCCATACTAACAAGAGAAGACCCTGCTCCTCTACGCTCTCGGGCCATCCGTCGTCTAGTTTATACAGTATATACTGTATATAATTAAATTATGTGTATATATGATATGTTTGAATGAGATTGAATAGTCACTTGAATATGTTTAGATGTGATGTGATTTGGACCCGATAATTGAAACTATCAGCGGTTTTGTCGACCCTGGCGGCCTGGCAGGCCTTCACCAACATCGAGGGCATCATCGCCAAGTCCCAAGCCCTCATGGTGGCGCGCGGCGACCTGGGCGTGGAGCTGGGCCTGAACCGCGTGCCCTTCGCGCAGAAGCTGTTGATCCAGAGAGCCAAACAGGTGGCGGGACAAAGACACTGGAGGGTGATGGTGAAAGATGTAAAAAAAAACAAATCCAGAGCAAAGATGATGAAAGATATAGCTATTCACACGAATTTTGGATCAGAAACCTATCTTCCACATCCATGTTCGTAAATGTTCGTAGGGATTCCACTGGTGAGTTTTGAGAGGGTGCAGTTGAAGCAAGTTGCTGCCAAGTAGGAAGATCGATGCCTAGCTGAGTTAACCCCCTGGGCCATTCTGGGTCCAGGTTTGTTGATCCCGGGCTGACACCGTTCTTGATTTTCAAAACTACTTTTCAAAGCAGCTTAGCTCCTGCAGAGATTAGGTGATACAATAATACATGATCAGACCAGCAACTGAGCTGAATCTGAACCATCCACGTTTCATCCCTGTGTTTATTTGTGACGCCGCAGGCCGGACTTTTTGTAATCACAGCTACGCAGATGGTTGAGAGCAACTCGACTTTGTGGAAGGAATGCTAGTGAGGAGGCAAGATGATAGAAAAACGGTTTAACGTATTGACCCGTTTCTTCGATTTGCACATTTTGCACTATAATTCAGTTTTTATCCAATTACAGCACTTGATTTGACAAGATTTGCTTGGACTTTGTAGTGTGCCTCAAAGCCTGAAATCCAAGGCATGATTGAGAACCCTGTGCCAACACGAGCAGAAGTCTCCGATTTGATGAAACTTTCCTGAAAGACTGGACGCTGACGGGGGTTTCATAGAACGTTTTTGCTTGGGGTTCCATGGGCTAAGACTGGAGCTTGCACAGCCATGGCATGGGCACCCATCGTTTACCAACTGAGCTATAATACCCTTAGGTAATCATCAAGAGTGGCAATGGAACATGCCACATTGATATCCATGCATAGATGTATTTCCCAGCTGGCCACGTTTGATGACCAGTTGGTTAGTATATACATGTATATACTATATCCCATTCTATTCATTTCTATTCCCATGTTTCCCCATTAAACATATTAAACACCAATTTAGGTCCCATTAAACTCAGATTTCAAATGGTTAAAACACCAGTTGGTTGGTGAACCAACCGCCAAGGAACGCCGTCTGGGACGGCACCGATGCCGTGATGCTCAGTGGCGAGGCGGCCACCGGCAAGTTCCCATGTGAGGCGGTCATGGCGGAGGCCTCCGCCGCGCGCGAGGCCAGACCCTGGGGTTTTTGGAGCTGATGAATTTGGGACGCTGATGATGGGTTAGATTGATGGATGTTAGAGGGATCTGGGGTGGCAAAGCCCAGCTTATGGTCCTCCTGTGTTGGTAGTGTGAAGGTGACTGTGTCCAATCCGTAGCATCTTTTGCTTCAGGGAATATAGGTGACCAGGCCCTGGCTAGCACGTGAGCCACATTCCCCAGCCTGAACCTGGTCCGTACCGGGGGAAGAAAGGGGGTGTGACTCATGAGCAAGTCAGAGCCTTGGAGAAAGACAGGGAGAAAGGCTGGACAAGATCATTGGCTGGGATTGGAGGTGAACGCCATCCTGGAGCTCAGCCTGTATGACGACCGTGGTGGACAACAAGGTCGGGGACTGCTTGTGCTTACCGGACGTGGCATGGAGGACAATGAGAAGGAAGGTCAGACATGGATTGGATGGTTCCTTGCCGTGGAGGACGATTACTACGCATGGTGGGTGTCAAATCACTACCCGGTGAAATCGATTCCATTCCATTTTTGTGCCATACAGGCCCACCGGTGCTCAGTCCCCACACTATACAGGGAGCCGATCCATGTTGACGTCTTTCGAGTTCTTCCTGGGGACTCCTACCAGGATTTGAAATGGATGGATGATGCAAAGAAGGCGCAGGCAAAGAGTCTGCTTGAGGAACGGCGGAGGGCACATCTTGGGTCTGGGAATGCTGCCCCCCAGTCTTTGGGGGAAGGCGAGCTCAGGCCTGGGGGTGCTGACGGTGCACAAGTTGAAGTAGGTCCTGAGGGGATTGCAGGCTTGGCTCAGGCCCTAGGTGGAGAAGGCCACCCTCCGGAGAAGTTGGCCGCACAGCCAGAGCGGAAAAGGCAGAGGAGAGAAGTGGTGGACACTGACAAGAAGCCTGATGATGTCAAGCAGGGCTTGGATGAAGTTCTCAGCAAGCGGAAGGCCCCAGTGCCAGCTGGAAGTGCTCTCAAGATGACGAAAGGTGACAAAAAGAAGAAGAAGTCAAAGAAGAGGAGTGACAAAAAGAAGAAAAGGGAAAGGAATGACAAGAAAGATGGCTCTAGTGGCACTTCCTCGGATGAGGATACAAGCAGCTCTGAGGATTCGCTTTTTCGATTGGCCGCCCTGCCAGAAGGAGTAGATCGCCTGCACCGGCTTCATCAGGAAAGACCGGGTGCTTTGGGGAACTTGACTTTACGTCGGTTTCAGGAGCTACTCAACCGCTCGACAGGCGGGGGATCGGCCACTCAGGAGCAAGACTTGCCGCCAGTGGCAAGAGCCTACCTGAGTCAGATATACCTGACCAGGAACTCGGAGAGCGCAATCGGCCTGCGGAACTTGCGAGAGTTACGAACTCTGGCGACCCTTGCGGACATGATCGCCAGCAACGATGCTCTCAGAGCATTGGACGTGGCCCTCCAGCGGATGAAGGCAATCGAGTTGTTCATCAGTCAGGGGCAATGGTCCCAGGCCAACCTGCTCGAGCTGATTCTTCCGGAGGACGAGCAGAGAGCTTGGTTCCGTCAGGAATTAAAAGCAGCCCAGCCGGAGCACAAGAGCGAAATGAGGCTGCAGAGGGATCAATGGCCAGCACGCCGGGGGCCTTGGGCCCCAGTGCGTGCAGCAGCTCCAGTGGTCGAAAAGAAGGAAGGAAACGAAAAAGACGAAACACCTCCCGGAAACGGAGGCGGAACCGGGAAGGGCCGGAAGGGCCGAGGAAAAGGAAAGAAAGGAGGCAAGAGATGGTGATTGAGGAGAGGAACCCAATTGGCCTCAGCTACCCTGCTTTGGAAAGAGCGATGCGAGAGAATGAGATTTCCGAGGAGACAGCAGTCAAGGTGAGGGAGCTCCTACTTGATGAAGAGGTCATCGGACTCCATCAGCTCCTACAGAAGTCAGTGAAAGCCAGTCCCAACTGGGTGAAAATTGAGTTCAGATTCTTTGAGATCCTTGCAGATGTCGCTGGTGACCCGCCCAGTGTTGTCAAGAAGCGGTTGCAGGAGCATTGCAGCTTTATTGAAGCGGAAAGGAATCCATCCGCCTCGCCAGCCCTATCTACCCTTCTGGGAGTTGGCAGCCTTCCACTTGGGGTTGATCCTCGGGTGGGAGAAGGCCGGCTCCTGAGGGTTGAACAGGGGGTCGAAGTGAGAGCGGCAGAGGTTGAATGGAAAAAGGAGGATGGTGTGTTTGTGGGGGCGCCCCACAGAGAGCATGGTTGCACCATCTATCACAAGGACTTTGTGAGCCAGCTTGGGCACGAGGCAGTCAGGCAATCATTGTCCGGCCAGAAGCTCTATGTTGCGCCCAATGATGTGGAGGGGGCCTTGTGGTTGATCCGTGAGTTCAAACTTGGTAAAGGACAGCACCTGAGCGTTGAGGGTTGGAGGCAGAGAATGGAACGAGGCTGCTCTCGTGAGATGTCGTTGAGTCTGACTGGGGTGGTGTTGAAGCTTGGAATCATGGATCGCCCCGGTGAGCTTGGGAACTTTGCTCGAGCTCTTTCTTGCTGTGCTCTGGAGACTTTTCAGCGACAGCCTGCAGAGCTCCTCCCTCTACCTCTGCCCGAGATGAACGATGAGGAGCGTTCAATTGAGGAAGCTGTCCATAGATGCATGAAAGGAGATGACGATGTTGGTGGTGCAAGATGGATTGAATTGAGAAAAGAGACGGAGAAAATTGGAAGAAAAGTATGGACATGTTTGCAATGCTTGGTGGTCAACTTTCTTTACTCCCAAGGGAGTGGTCACCGCATGTTGACGGAAGGGATGCTTCACAGCAGAACACCAACAAAAGCTCAGCAGGAAGCCTTGGGACGATTTTCTGAGATGAGCCGGAAGTGGCTGGAGGAGGATACCGGTGACAGTGTGAAGGCAGATACATGGGAAAATTGTTCAGAAGGCCTGGGAGACATGTACACAGGGCCGAACATTGGCAAATCGTACCCCCTCACGCTGGAGGCGATTCTGCCTACAACCCCGGGCTCAGGAGAGGCTGCTCGCATCCCTATGGTTGATGTGGTCAGTGACAGCGTGAAGCCCTATGTGGAATCTCCGGAAAGTCTCCTGATCCCTGAGGAGGAGTTGGTGGCTCCCCGCATCTCAGCGGCCGTGCAGGTGACTTCTCAGCAGGAGTGGAACAAGGTTGTGAGCCACCTTGTGGATGCAGGAATGCTGGAAAGAGAAGTAAAAGAGGAGACATTGAGATACAAGGATCAGCCTGTGAGAAATGGAGCCTTTGGAGTGCATAAGGCCTGGGTTCTGAAGGAAGATGGAAGCTGGCTGCGGACCCTGCGGCTCATCATCAACATGATCCCGGCCAACAGCTTTCAAAGGAGGATGCCGGTACGTGCCTCTGAGAAAATGGGCTATGCGCCTCTATGGGGCAATTTGTACTTGCATGATGATGAAGTAATCATCTGCTCAGCTGAAGACCAGAAGCATTGTTTTCACATCTACCGACCAGGGTATTCATGGAGAGGCTTGTTCACGTTGAACAAGAAGGCGGCTGGTGAGTGCTTCAAAGATGGAAATGATCAGATGAGCTATCCACGGGTGAAGAGCGCACCAATGGGTTGGAACAATGTGGTTGACTTCATCCAAGATGGGTTTGAAAACATGGCAAGGGAAGCAGGGCTGCCTCCAAACCAGATCATCAGGATGGGAGAGCCAAGTCCATTGGTGCCATTGGAAACCCCCAGGAGTTTCTTTTCGTTCTATGTGGACAACTTTGATCAGTTGAAGCTGGTCTGGCGGACAGACCAAGGTCTCTATGAGGGGTTCCCAAGTGAGGAACAACTGAAGTTGAGGGAGAAGATGAATCAGCTGACAGTTGGACGGGATCCAAAGAAAGCTGCTGAGGGAACAATTTCATGGAGCAGTCTGGGAGCCGAAATTGCTGGAAAGGAAGGTTGGGTTGGCAGTGCACGAAGCTTCCGAAAAGCGTTGCTGGGTGCAAACCTTGGGCTGCTGGTCGGGGGGAGGTCCGTGCCGACTCACCCAGCCTGCAGTCTGTGGTTTCTAAGAACATGCACTCGGTGCAGTTCTGCCGGCAACTGGCCTGCCTCTTCGATAGGCTCTATGTGGAAATGAATCAGGAGAAGCCACGCATCATGACAGAGCAGGCAAAAGATGAGCTTCTGCTTTTGAGTTGTGAGCTGCCTATGCACTGGCTTGACCTGCGATTGAAGGTGTCGGGTCAAGTGTATGCTACGGATGCCAGTCCTGAGGGTGGCGGAGCTTGTAGTAGCACCTCGCTGAGCCCTTGGGGCAATGCCCGCCTCCAGAGCATGTCGCATGAAACTGAAGGTCTAGAAGGAGGCGGCACCCGCAACGCCTTGGTAGTGGAATGTTTCGCGGGCATGGGTGGCCTCAAGCAGGCCCTGGATCTCCTGGGTTTCGAGCCAGCAGGGGTGATTGCCATTGACAATTCCCCGGAGTGCAGTCGGATTTACCGGCAGCACTGCCGCCATGCCATTTGGATCCAGGACATTACAACGATCACTGAGGCACAGGTGATAGAATGGCGGAGGAGATTCCCAAAAGTCACACAAGTCATCTTGGCTGGAGGATGGCCCTGTGTAAACCATTCCCTGTTGAATGTGCACCGGCAGGGTGCAGAAGGTGCTACGAGCAAGCTTCTTGACGGCATGCTCCAAATTCGGCAATGGCTCAAAGAATGCAGCAGGAAGCTCAACCTGCCTGAGTGGAAACTGGTGGAGATGTACGAGAATGTTGTCATGGATGATGGGGACTTCAAGGTGCAGACGAAGAAGATAGGCTTCCTTCCATACTTCATGGAAGCGGCTCAGCTGGGCCGCTGTAGGCGACCACGCCTCTATTGGCTGTCAGGAGTGGACATCATTCCTGGAGATGACTTGAAGGTTTTGCAGAGGGTCATTATGCGAGGACATGAATATCATGTCAAGGAAGTCAGAGTGGATACAGAAAGGCCGCCTCTGGAGTGGTTCCTGGAGAAGGGTGCTTCCAAAATGAAAGGCCCTGAAGACCCTTTCGCAACCTTCACGAGGCCAATTCCACGTCAATCTCCTCCGGACAGCCCTGCTGGGCTGGACCAGGCCTCAGAACGAGCGAAGAAAAGATGGCAAGGAGACAGCTTCCGGCTGCAGGTGTATCAGTATGAAGAGCGGAACCTGGTGGTTGACAAGAACGGCCCTCGTCGCCCCCTTCCCGAAGAACAACTTCGAATGATGGGGTTCTGCTCGAACCATCTGACAGCCAAGAATCGTTTGAGCAATGATCTGAAGGGGCAAATGATTGGCAATAGCTTCTCTGCCATCTCAGTCGCCCGTCTCCTAGTTGGACTGGTTGCTACACCAGAACAATGCAAGAACAAAGATGTGACCTTGCTGCTATGGCAGGTCTGGCAGCAAAAGGAGCAAAAAGCCCGGCAAGAGGATAAGCCTTGGAAGATAAGGTTTTCAAGCGTGGCTGCAGGGGCACCCGGGGCGGTGAGTCTCGTTCACGAGATCTTGCCGTCACCTGTCGCTCCGTTGCGGTCGCTCATTGACCCACAAGGATGGCTGACCGATGAGGAGGCCTTGAGCTACCTCCTGGCCCGAAATGGAACTCATCGCAATGCCGAAATCAGGGTCGATTTGGGAATGCCCTATGCTGTTGGCGAACTTTGTCGACAGAGCGTGGATCCCACACATTGGGTGTGGAAAGTGCTCCTGTCATACGCCTGGAAGGAAAAAGGGCAGCACATCAACGTCTTGGAGTTGGTGGCTGTCCTCGACCTGCTCCGGCGTCAAGCTCGAGATCCAAAGTTTCACAGCCTCAAGATGTTGACCCTGGTGGATAATCAGGTGGCACTGAGCTGCATCTCTAAGGGACGCAGTTCCGCCCGAGCACTCCAAGGACCTCTTCGGAGGATCAGCGCCGTTAGCCTCGCCGCTCACTTTCGATTATGTCTGGCCTGGGTGAAGAGTAAGTGGAATCCCGCTGATGGGCCCTCGAGGTGGGCCAAAAAGAAACGACCCAATGCCTAAGCAACAAGTGCTTGGGCGACGTGGCCAGTTCGAAAGGAAAAAGGAGAGGCAGGCGCTGGGGTGCTTAAAAGATTTAGTTGTTGCTAAGGCAACTAGAGAAAGGTATCTTGAGGCGGTTTCACGTTTTCTTCTGTTTCTGAAGTGTCACTTGTACAGTTACCCCACTAGTTTTTCTCTGCTTGATTCAAGGGTCTCAGAGTTCATTGAATCCTTGTGGCACAATGGAGATCCCAAATCTTATGCTAGTGATTGCTTGTCGGGGCTGGGGCATTTTGTCCCACAATGTAAACGCTGCTTAGTAGGGTCTTGGAGACTACATGGCAGTTGGACAAGAGCTGAGTTACCGGCCCGTGCTCCCCCTTTTGTCCCGGTCATGGTCTATGCCCTGGCACAAGCTGCTTTTGAAAAAGGTTGGGAAGATCTGGCAATTCTTGTCTTGCTAGGTTTTGACCGGTATGCACGATCAGGTGAGCTTTTCTTTGCTCGAAAAGGCGACTTCACATGGAATTCTGCTAAGACCCGTGCTGTCTGGTCTCTTCCGCTTACCAAAAGTGGGCAGCGAGTGGGAGCACATGAGTCTTTGGTCATTGATGACCCCTGGTTGGTAACTGCTTTGGCAAACTACCTGCGTGCTTTGGCCCCTGGTGACTATTTGCGAACAGTATCTCCTGGTCTTATGCGTTTAAGGTTAAAAGCGCTGCTTAAGGATTTGGATTGCCCCGAAGGCTACCAATGGTATTCTCTCCGAAGGGGAGGTGCTACACATGCGTTTAGGGTATCTAATGACCTTTCGCGAGTCTGCTTTGTTGGCAGATGGAATAGCCTTAAAACGGCTAGGATATACTTGACGGATGCTCTTGCCCAGTTGACCAAAATCCAACTGGAGCCACCAATTAGAGCCAAGCTGTTAAGGTTAGCCAGAAAGGCTCGACCTCGCTACTCTTTTGACCTGTGAAAACCTTTGAGAACATGTGAAAACCTCCCTCCCACCTCCCTGCTGCCACAAATTCCGTTTTTTTTTTCAGGCCATCCCATCTCTCCTGTGGCAAATTGGCTTGAGCCTATGCTACCTTTTTTCTCAGCAGTCAAACTGCTAGGATAGGGGGAGGTGGACACCGGTGTCAGGGTGCTTCTTTTTCTTGTCGGTAAGGCATGGGCCTTGAGGGAGGGCACCCTGTTTGGCTTGCTTGTTGTTAAGTTTCACTGGTGTGCCTGGGGACCGTCTTGCTCCCTGCTGCAAAGTGTGTGGTCCTAGCTTCTGCAGGGGCTTTGCTAGCAGGGTGTGTTTGGTCCCTGGTTCCCTTGTTTCTTCAATGACATACCGTCATGTCATTGACTTGAACAAACTTTCTTCAGAGCGCAGCTTTGTAAAACAAGGATTGGCTGAACCTGAGCACTAGCTTATGGTCCTCCTGTGTTGGTAGTGTGAAGGTGACTGTGTCCAATCCGTAGCATCTTTTGCTTCAGGCCTCCACGTCCCCTGCCGCCACCCAGGGACTTGGACACCGGTGTCAGGGTGCTTCTTTTTCTTGTCGGTAAGGCATGGGCCTTGAGGGAGGGCACCCTGTTTGGCTTGCTTGTTGTTAAGTTTCACTGGTGTGCCTGGGGACCGTCTTGCTCCCTGCTGCAAAGTGTGTGGTCCTAGCTTCTGCAGGGGCTTTGCTAGCAGGGTGTGTTTGGTCCCTGGTTCCCTTGTTTCTTCAATGACATACCGTCATGTCATTGACTTGAACAAACTTTCTTCAGAGCGCAGCTTTGTAAAACAAGGATTGGCTGAACCTGAGCACTATAATTATTGTTTTCGAAAGTAGTACCATTTGGTTATTTAACATAGCCATGGAAAATGGCCCATTTATAGATGGTTTACCTATTGAAGATGGTGATTTTCCATGGCTATGTTAAATAACCAAATGGGTAAGCCTCTTGAATCTTTTGAAGGCACCAGACGCAGTTGAAGGCGCTGGATGGTTATGGAAACTTTGGGTGCAGCGATGGCCCCTGATGTTGGCAAAAGGTTAGCAACTGAATGTAACGAGATCATCGAGTAAACTTCACTATATAGCGGGATATACATACCTACATTTATATATATATGATGTTATCTATATATATATAATATGGCTATGGCTATGGCTATATATATTTATGATGTATTGGGATATGGATGTGCCATACAACTTGATGTGTCCAGCACAGACCTGATTTATATCCGTGACAACTCACTTAACCTCAGCTATCATCCGAGCAGCTCTGTAGCCTAGTAGCAGGCCGAGACGGTGAAGCATCGACTACAGAAAGCCTGCCCTTATGTTGTTACTTGGCCAAAAGAGTGGAGCAAGATCTACCTGTTCGCCGGAGATTTGGACAAATTGTGAATCAGCTTGACTGGATCATGTTCAGAGTTCTGTTGGATTCTGTTACTTAGTGACTCTCGCATGGCAATGGAACATGTCCTATAATATTGACACCCATTTTGGGTGTGCAATTGCAATGTTTCAGTGCCAGAGGGTAAGGCGCATATGATCTTTTTCTTTCAACATATTGTCATTTTTGGGCATGTTTCAAGCACATGTGGGATGATGATCATACAATTGACATGAATGTCACCTCCTGGATCAACAAACCCCCCTGGGCTGTTTGATTGTGGGGTACATGGGGCACCAGTTAGGTATCACAAATAATCTAACCCTCCTCCTCATTAATCAACCAAGGTTTATTCATCGGCCGTTGGCATTAAGTGCACACTGTGCCTGGGGTCAATTATATAACACAGATACGGAGAATTCATGGTTCCCGTTCGGAAAGTGACCTACACAATTTCTGTTTTCCATGTATCATTATATCTATGTTAATTTACTGATCATGATGGTGAATTACTCCTTAAATACCCCTCAGATTCCAAAAGTTGGATATATATGATATATCTAATTGTTTCATCCAGGTTAATTACTCCAATTACTGTTGATGTTATATTTGGAGATATATATATATTATTTAATTATATTAATCCATATTACTCCATATGTTAATCCCATATTACTAATTAGATCCAATGAGTCATTACTCCAATATCCCCCAAGGCCATCGAGTAATGACTTGCACTCCTCCAGGCCATCGACAGCAAGCTGCCGCTGCGTCCGCCCCGCGCCTTGAATTGCGGCATGGCGCTGAAGCGTCAGGAGACGGACCACAACAAGAGGAAGACCAAGGTGCCGCGCCAAGAGCTGGTGGAATTTACCAATTTTGGTGGTGGAGTTTACCAGCCCAAAATGGGGGATTGAAGCAAGAAATGTGGCAGCATGGCGATATCGCTTGATATCATGACGATTATCTGGATAGATCTGGATAGATCTGGATAGATCTGGATAGATCTGGATAGATCTGGATAGATCTGGATAGATCTGGATAGATCTGGATACACCACCTCACTGCGGACTGCGACGTCACTGGAATGATGGTTAGGATTAGGGCAAGGAATTATGCACAAATAGCTTTTTCCCTTCCCTTCAGATAAATTAGTTCTATTAGTGGATATAGTGGAGTGTATACTTATTATATATTTTCTTTGGATTGATGGTTACAGTAGTAAACGACTTGGTAGAGAATTGGTGGTAAGTAAATAACTGGGGAATAAAATGGTTACATCGACTTTTTGGTCACCACGATAGACATAGGAGATATCTGTAGGCAATCATCAGTCACCTCTTCAGGAGCCATGCCTTGATTTTCCTGTCGAATTCCCCAGCTTTTCCCTGACAGGTGGTCGCCAGCCTGGGCCCTGCTTCTTGGAGTGAGGAAATGATCCCCAAGATGATCCAGGCAGCTTGGTAGGAGGGAATACCCAGGATGCTGTACCTATATCTATATTTATATATAGCTATATCCATAACATTCCATATTTATATATCTATATCTATATCCGCAATTATCTATGTCTATATATCTATATATCTAAATATTTATTTCTACAATTATAGTTCTATATCAGTATACATGCATGATCATGCATGCACGCAGAAATGGACGTACAAAACTAAATCACATTGACATGTATATATATGTATATATGATATTATATATGCATAGTTATGCATATACATATGTACTTGTATATGTGCATGCGTATATATATATATATATATGCATGTATGATCGCAAGAAGGACACTACCAGGTGAAATAAACAGTTGAACGTTAATTTCTTTGGTGAAATCTGTTGAAACTACAGTAAAGCTCCTAAAGTGGACCGCTTTTTAAAGCACGTCAAATGCTGGGGTCTAGTGGGATTCATCCACCCATCATCCACCCATCATCTCTCAATCCATGGCTCCATCCATTGGTCGAGGCAGGTGCCGACATCTTCCGCTTGAACTGCTCCCACCGCCGCGGCGGCGACTTTGAGCGAGTCTACCCGCTGATTCGTCAGTCGGCCAAGGAACTTGGAAAGAAGGCGGGAGACGGGGGGTCAATGTCTATGATGGGGATGTAATTTCATAGCAATCTATACAATCCACAATTGGGCTTTTGATGAAATACCCCGCCACGAATTAAACGGTATAGTATCATATTTTATTTGCATATAAATCATCCCATGTAGGGATATGAATATGTACACACCATCAGATCGCCACTACTATTGGGGATGGCTTAGTTTAGAACTGTGGACCCTCCATTATGCCCAAAAATGGCAACAATAAGCAATCCCAGATTTCACCAGAAATGGATGGTATAGACTGTATAGACCTTCCCCAACTGGAGGTTCACTGCATTGCTGGAAACGCGCTGACATGACATCCGAAGCTGGTAAATTATCAAAGGACGCTTTGATCCAGATTCTGCGGGAATTTGGGGATGATATCCTCTCAAAGTCCAACGCTATATCCGGAGCCGCACTGTCGGAAACGTCATCTATAGGTAGACATCCGACCTGTTTCTGACTGCTGCCTTTCAGTTATCAGTTGGTTGATGTTTTTTTTTTTAAGGATCACCCCATTATCTCCTCCAAGATATCTAGAACTGGTTGGTGGTTTGGAACATGAATTTTATTTTTCCATCTATTGGGAATGTCATCATCCCAACTGTTACTCAGTCCATCATTTTTCAGAGGGGTAGGTCAACCACCAACCAGATTATTATTAACCATCATTAACCATATAATAACCATATATTAACCATTATTAACAGTATATCAACCACCACCCAGATCAAGCACCGAGTTCGCACAGGTGGAGTGTTTGGGTGACCTGCAGGGTCCCAAGTTCCGTGTGGGCGAGCTGGCCGCGGAGCCCATCCCACTGAAAGATGGCGATGTCTTGGAGTTCGGGATCTGCAAGGTCGAATCCGGGAAGGAAGATGAACATGGATGAAGCCCATAACATCCCATAAACCCAAGAAGGGTAAGTGACAAGCATAAGTTATGTTTAAGTTATGTTTAAGTTATGTTTAAGTTAATCTAGCTTTGAAACTGCTCTTTGGTGATGTAATGAATGTAATATGGCTATGGTTGGGAAATTTTTGCACAGAAAATGGGCAAAATGGGAAACTCATCGAACCAAATGGATCCAATTGGTGGGCGCAATCCATTGCCAGGTTGAATTACCGGATTGCATTCTTTCTTTCCACAATGTTTTTAACAACATGTCATATATATATATATACACTATATATGCATATGTATGTGTATGATTGTATGATGTTATGTTTGTTATGTATATATGTACATAACTAGATCACAACCCCCAAACAAACGCTGCCAGGACGACAATGACCTCATCAAACCAGGGCGAATTACCATGAAACCAACGATCGAGCAAAATGCCTTGGTGAAGGCATGTAACTTGGCAGGAGCCGGCCTGGCCTGGCCGATTATATATATATATAGTTATATGTAGTATTGTAAATATGTATTTTTTAATTATTATTATTACTATTATTGTTGTTATTATTATTTATATATATTAAATAATATATATATATATAATATACATATATGTGTGTGTAGGAATAGTCATATGGAGACTTTATCATGAATGAAATGAGTTTGCAAAAGTCGTATCTGATGTTTAGAGATCTCAAGTTGATGGTATCTTGAGTTCCCACACATTTCGAGGCTGCCATAGCCAAGGCACGGTCGGCACCCCCTTGCTGTTGGAAGATGGCATCATGGAAGTGAAGGTCACGGAAAAGATCAGTGACACCGAGCTCAAAGTCAGAGTGGTGACTTGCCAAACCTCAAGTCGTCGGTTGGGCCCACATGGCTGGGGACAGTGGAAACCTTGGCCACGGGCAAAACGATGGACTGGCATATATCAACCCGAACCCCAAACATCCCGGAATTAGACGCTTCATGATGGTACAAGAAAAACAATACAACATATGGATTGGAGGACTTCAACATCTGGACATGGGCCACATGCTGGCGCCTCGAGTGTTTGAGGTGCGCGGTGGCAAGCTGAAGGCACGCAAGGGTGTGAACGTTCCAACGGTGCAGATTGACTGCGCTGCGCTAACGGAGAAGGATGTTGAGGCCGAGGGAAAGGGGCAAAAAAAGGGGCATCAGATGGCAGTCAGATGGCAGGGAAGAGTTGAAGAGCTGATATCTTCAGCTTACCCTCAGTGTTGCTGCAACATCCAAGGCTCTGGGAATGTATTTAAGTGTCATTCTCCTGCCGTACATTCAATTCCCACAGGGTGTTCGTCATCGCAGTCATTGAGTGCAAAACAGTGTTGCTGAGATACTGCAATATATGCATATATCATTATAGACTTACTATATTTATGCAATACTTGCCTCACAGATCCTCCATCAAGATCTTCAATCATCACTCGTTCTTCCCAAACCTTGTGGATGTTACAGTCAGAGACTGGCTTTACCATTTATATATTCTTTGATGGCTAGTCCCCATGTTTGATCATTTTTGATGGTTACTACATGTTACTACCCATTTCTGTTGGTGCATCCCCCAGCATTTTTGAGGATATACTTGCAGATCTTTCTGCAAGTGCTCTCAGTTTATGGTAAACATATGTTTCACTGCCTTTACCCTCTGGTAAACTAACATAGCTATTGAAAATGGCCATTTATAGTGGATTGTCCCATTAAAAATGGTGATTTTCCATAGCTATGTTAAATTACCAGAGGGTAACATACTGTAACCCCCTTGGAACCCCCCTTTGATGTTTGATCCGTTGCCGAGTTGCCACCGGCCGCCAGGACGCTGAGTTCTTGCTGCAGCTGGACCCGCCCATCGAGTACATTTGCGTGTCCTTCGTGCAGAAAGGGCAAGATCTTCAGGAACTGAAGGGACACCGAGGGACACCGACCGTGCTGCCATGAATCCATTAAGGATTAAGGATCCTAAAATGCGGAGATAACATAATAGAACATGTATAAACGCATGAGAAGCACATGAGATGATCAACACGTGATGTTTATACATCAGCCTCTGACCCTCCTCTGAGCCTTGTTTGAGCTTTGCAGGGAGGTTTGTATTGGTTCAGCCAAGGGCTAGATCCGGTTGCAGGAGCTCATTGACATCATGGATCGCTTGCAGATTCCTCAGGCCTGACTGTATGCTGGTCCAATGCTGGTGATTTTGTTTGGTTTCATGTCCGGGTCCTTTTTTATTTTCCTTTATTATCCATAGCTCTTTTGGATGATGACACTCCAATTTGAGTATCTTTGTTTGATATGTTTGAAATTGGTTAAACTCTTATGGCTTCGGGGGTTCGAACGGATACGCAGTTCCAAGCGCGTCCGGATGATTTCGCCACAGGAACGCCGACCAAAGATTTGCCCAAAGATCGAAAAACCTCAGGCCTCGAGGGTAGTTCGGTAGTTCAATTGACAGCTGCACAATGATATAAAAACATATAAAAACCATATAAAAACTCTTTTGAAACACTCCTAGAAACTAGAAAACCAAAATTTTGTTATTTGATATAGATATCATATTGTATCTATTACAGTACGTTTGAGGGACCATTTTGGGTGGTACTTTGAATATCACGCCCTGGTAATCAAACATGTAAGTTGGAAAATCTCCCATTTATAGATTATTTGCCCATGACATTTGCTATTTTTGGGTGCTTTTTGCGATGGAGATCTGTTGGATTAGAAGTTTTTTTAGACGCCCTGCCCTGGAGGCGCTCACCAACATTGAGGGCATCATCGCGAAGTCGCAGGCGCTAGCCTGAAACCCTGCTATGGCGGCTAATCATATTCCATCATATTCCCACATGATGGAACTGTTGTTCGAAATGGAACTGGTCAAAGTTCACAATCTTCATTGTCAAATATTCCGACGGACATGTTGAAGTATTTCCTCAAATCGAATCATAATTCTATTGAATTTCGATGAATCTGGTTGGTAGTTTGGAACATTTTCTATTTTCCCATATATTGGGAATAATCATCCCAACTGACGAAGTCATATTTTTCAGAGGGGTAGGTCAACCACCAACCAGTGAATAGATGAGTTTCGAAATAACAAAAAATACAGTGAAACCTGGCGACTGATCTCACAGGCCCTGATGGTGGCACGTGGAGATTTGGGTGTGGAGTTGGAGTTGGAACGCGTGCCATTCGCGCAGAAGCTGCTCATCAGGACGGGAGAATCCTCCCCAAATGGCCGTATTTCATTGATATTTCGGCTTTGACTCAGGTCAGTGAATTATTGTAATTCAGCCAACCTTATTATTATGGGATACTATGGGTATTTATGACAAGTTGAGTGGGATGTTGACCAACGAATCGTATGGATGGCCATGCATCAGGAGAGCCAAGGATGCTGGTCTCTTCGTTTCTTGGCAGCGTCTTTAAGGGTCTTACATGGGTACAACATGGTACAGCAAGCCCCCCAAAAAAGGTTGAGTTGGTTTCCAAACTTATATTATATACAATAACTAGGCCAACGCTATAACTCGGCTAACTGGGGTAAATGGTGGATATCTAAAAATAGTTTGATGGGATGCGAATCAACTTGAAACTGTGGGGGCCCTTCCTGTATCGGTCAGCATCATTTACTGGATGCTGGGTCCATTGGTGCTCCAATTCTTACCCATACCCATATCCCTCCCTCAAAAATCCGTCCAAATGATCCAAAAGTGTTGTCCATGTATCTCGCAACAACATTTTTCCCATTTTGCATAGCATGTTGTTGCATTTTGACCTTCATTTGCGCGTGACATGTTGAGGTCCCACAGAGGTCCCACTTTAAAGTAACCTAGGTATGCTAAAAGGTCTCATCAGTGAGGTCACTGCTGGGTTTTGATGTCAGGTGATCAATGCCACACAGATGGTGGAGAGCATGATTGAGTATCTTGCCAGCATTACCATTGCCCACACTTAGCACTTTGTACCAACATACCAGATGATCATCTATGACGCCTGAAGGCGGTTTTGGCGGGATTTGCCCAGCAAAAGTTGGGAATTTCATGGAATTTCCTCTGGTTCCTTCTGATTTTCTGGGAATTTCTCCGTAGTCGCCGTACCTCCACAGGACCTCCAGCAAGTCCCAGCAAGTCCCAGCTATCCAGCCTCTGAGGCAACCCATCCCGACCCGCGCCGAAGTGTCGGACCTGCAAAACGCCGTGTGGGACGGTGCTGATGCGGTGATGCTCAGTGGCGAGGCGGCCAGTGGCAGATACCCATGCGCCTCGAAGCTGGAAATGGATGGAAATCTGGAAATGGCTGGGGAGCCAGCGGAAATGGGCACCAGTTACCCCCTGGTAAATTAACATAGACCCTGAAAATCACCAATTTTTAATGGAAACTAGTCTTCCAACCCCTATCTGCCAGGGTCTATGTTAATTTACCAGAGGGTATATTCTGTTTGTGTATGTTTTGTGAATTTAGATGATTTTTTTAGTTTCCAAACATGTCTTTCCACATGGGGACAGATTTGTGCGGGCGGGTTGGTTGAAGTGGCTTCCAGACGATGGAATGTTATCTTGTGAGATTTGTGAGTAAGCTAAACGAAAGAACAAATAGCACAAAAGCAAGAATCTATATTGCCTGTATACTCCGCTGAACACTTGCGCCAAGAACTGCAATTCTTCCTCGCTGGAAATGTGTCACATTTTCTCAAGAAATGATCTCAAATTCATTGATGAACCCTCCAGAACCAAAAAAATGTCACTGGATTGGTTGACGGGAAAATCTCCAATATCTACAGGACAACTTCAGGAAAACCATAGTTTTTCCATAGTTTTTCTATAGTTTTTCCCATGAAATCTGGTGTTTTTTCCATTTGTTTCCAATTTTCCCTACCAATCCGATGTCGAGGTGAATCCGTCATGGCGGAGGCGGATGCGGCCTTGGAGGCGGAGTCGGTCTCTTGGCGGCTACGCCATGTGACGGTCAACGAACAAAACCATGGGAAAAACATAGGAAAACTGTGAGGTACTCGTAACAGATGTATAACTTGATGTGATTATTGTAATATATTGTAATTAGTTGACTTATGATGTACTTTGCTATGGCTATGGTTTATTGAGTAGTTCTCTGAAGTTTGGTGGTTTGGGACGAGGCTTTCCCTGGATCCCAGGTGAAGCACCTCTTGGTACCGCAGGTCTTTGACGACTACGCGGCTCGGCACCGATTTCCTGGTCGAATGTGAGGGGAGTTGCCAGCCCAAGGGTAGTCCAATCCTACTTGAACTGCAGAAGAACTGGTGGCTGATTTGGTCCCCACAATGGTCATATGTATATATATATAATACCCTCAAGTACAAGGGTTCTAGAATGAGTGACCCCCAGGGGTCTGGGCACCCAGGGTCTAGAATGGGTTGATCCCAGTACTATAGAACCTTCTGACCTCCCATTATAGAACTTTCAACTTGTTTAGAAAATCCCTTGACGTAAGGGTTCTACAATGATGCTAGCCTGCTAGATGACTGAGGTCTAAAATCATATCTTGTGAAGGGGTCCTTCAATTGTTGAAATACATGTGGGCTAGTTCTGGAGTGTGGATTCAGGGAAGCCCAACCTGGTTTGCCTTAGTTTATCACAGTTATGAACAATTCTACATCCTGTATGATCCAAATAATTTTGCCTTATGATTTTCCTGGGGTCTAAAATCATGTCACTCAATGTCTTGGGGTGATCACCAACATCAGAAGATGGTGGATATGATTTTAGAACCTGGAGTGTGGATTCAGGGAAGCCCAACCTGGTTTGCCTTAGTTTATCACAGGTATGAACAATTCTACATCCTGTATGATCCAAATAACTTTGCCTTATGATTTTCCTGGGGTCTAAAATCATGTCACTCAATGTCTTGGGGCGATCACCAACATCAGAGGATGGTGGATATGATTTTGGAACCTGGAGTGTGGATTCAGGGAAGCCCAACCTGGTTTGCCTTCGTTTATCACAGTTATGAACAATTCTACATCCTGTATGATCCAAATAATTTTGCCTTATGATTTTCCTGGGGTCTAAAATCATGTCACTCAATGTCTTGGGGTGATCACCAACATCAGAGGATGGTGGATATGATTTTAGAACCTGGAGTGTGGATTCAGGGAAGCCCAACCTGGTTTGCCTTAGTTTATCACAGTTATGAACAATTCTACATCCTGTATGATCCAAATAATTTTGCCTTATGATTTTCCTGGGGTCTAAAATAATGTCACTCAATGTCTTGGGGTGATCACCAACATCAGAGGATGGTGGATATGATTTTAGAACCTGGGGTGTGGATTCAGGGAAGCCCAACCTGGTTTGCCTTAGTTTATCACAGTTATGAACAATTCTACATCCTGTATGATCCAAATAATTTTGCCTTATGATTTTCCCGGGGTCTAAAATCATGTCACTCAATGTCTTGGGGTGATCACCAACATCAGAGGATGGTGGATATGATTTTAGAACCTGGAGTGTGGATTCAGGGAAGCCCAACCTGGTTTGCCTTAGTTTATCACAGTTATGAACAATTCTACATCCTGTATGATCCAAATAGTTTTGCCTTATGATTTTCCTGGGGTCTAAAATCATGTCACTCAATGTCTTGGGGTGATCACCAACATCAGAGGATGGTGGATATGATTTTAGGACCTGGGGTGTGGATTCAGGGAAGCCCAACCTGGTTTGCCTTAGTTTATCACAGTTCTGAACAATTCTACATCCTGTATGATCCAAATAACTTTGCCTTATGATTTTCCTGGGGTCTAAAATCATGTCACTCAATGTCTTGGGGTGATCACCAACATCAGAGGATGGCGGATATGATTTTATAACCTGGAGTGTGGATTCAGGGAAGCCCAATCTGTGTCGAATGCTGGAATAGACATCGTGTCTATATTTTTTTGCTTTGTGATGTAATGATCGGTGTCATCTAACATTGCCATTGGGTTGAAGCAAATAGTTTCATTGAAATCAATGATCCAACACATCCAACAGCATGGTTTCCAAGCAGAGGTTCTAGAATGCATTACCATACTAGGCCACCAGCTTCTAGAATCATGTCCTCCGTTCCTCTCTGATTTAAGGTACCAAAAGTGGATATGATTCCAGACCCCTTCCCCATACCTGAATTTTTGGTCTAGAATGGGTATTTCTATTTTCAGGGAAACGCACAGAGGATAGGATTTTAGATACCACACTGGGGTTCTAGAGTACTATCCTTGAGGTCCCTAGCTTGTAGTTGAGGGTATTATATATATATATACATGATATATATTCCATAATGATTAGCATGGTTACAAAACTGTCATAAAGCTTAGGATCTGATGTCAGCCTGAGGTAGTGGATGAAGCCAACAAGCCGCGTGAGTTGGACGACAGCAAGAGAAGGAGACTTGGATAACACACGAGGTTTGGAATAGACTTCCAATGATTGCAATGATTTCCATACTGTCGATGGTTGCGAAATCCTGCACCCGTTGATAGATGTTTTTTATCCCATTATTTATAGGGTTTCAACCATCCAAGGTGGTGCAGGATTTCTTCCATCCACAGTATGCAGTATGTGGGCTGCTTTTTTGAGAGGGTCCACTCTTGACACAGCTGATTCATTCCATGGATGATGGCATGGAGTATTCTGGGATTGGGAGTTGGTTGAACATGTCACTTTATGTCAGTGTGAAAGGGTGCTCAGTGCTAGAAAGCAGTAATTGTCCTGAAAACAGCACAGATCACCTTTTTTGCAGAACGCTTTTTTTCTTGTGCTCGGTGGGTGGTTTTTTGGCAGACATCATTTGTGTCTGGCTGGGCTCGCAGGACCAAGGTGGTGGCAAGTCTAGGCCCATCCTCTTGGAGTGATGACATGATCCAGAAGATGATCCTGGTGCGGCGGCCGAAACGCGCCTGGATGTGTTGGGAAAACAGGCAACACTCGAAATATGGCCGGTAAATAGTAGTCAAACATGGCACGACATATCGATCATGATGCTATTTTAATAATACTATAATAATCATCATAAAAATATAGAACTATATAATAAGTAAATACATATATAGAAGTACAATTTCACAAAGAACATCATCAAACGATGTAATTAAACTATATCCATATGAACATTTCCTGAGGATCTACTGGCCATTGATGGGTTTGTCCAACTGAATGATCAAACCCAGGTGCAACTGGATTTTTCAACTAGGTTTTTCATGGCTTGGTTTTTGCGGAAAACGACATGGAAAAATCAATGGGTTTCCAATGCTTTTTACCCTCAAATATTGGGATGAAACATGATGAAACATTTTTTCAACCCATGGGTTTCCACACCTTGAGGAACCAATGGATACCCCTGATTTCTCAATGGATAGACACCCTTCTTTCCGTACAACAATTAGAAGGTAGGGCCTCAGCCTGCAATTTGTCCCTTAAAGACTCTTATATCAGTATATCATATAGTCCAATCCGATTTCCAAACCTTCAGGGTCTATCATAGTTTATCATATGTAGTTTATCATATGTAGTTTATCATTATTTTCCATCATCTTCACAACAAGATGCCATAAATCACCCGGCCCCGACGCTCAACCCGGGAGGCGGGCACAGACATTTTCCGTCTCAACTGCTCCCATCGAAGAGGTGGGATTGGGCGCTTTGGACGATGTATCGGCTATCGCGGCGATGCTATGTTATCTACCGTTAATATCAGCATAATAACACAATGGCAATGACTATAATTAGTAGGATATGTGTTTAAAAAAAAGAAAAATGTTAAATTTGAAGAAACCTGTGTGATATGTGCATACCTTTGGATGACAAATAGCTTCATTGAAGCGTTCTTAGGCTCTGCCTGTTGCAGCGGCAAGGCACAATGTTGTGCCTGCTGACAAACCGCAAGTGGAAAAGATGGTGCCCGGGCGATGTCCCAAGTAAGGTATGGGTTAAATATGGTTAAAACATATTAACACTATAGTTCTATCAAAATGGCCAGAAAGTGGGTTTCAAATCTGTGTAAGTTCGGCATCTTCAGACCCGAAGACGGGCACTCCAATGCCACAGGTGGTGACTTCGAGCGAGTTTACCCTTTGATTCGCAAGCACTCCAAGGACAGCTGGATGCAAAATGGACCCTTGATAAGTGCAATGGTTGCACAACACTAATTACTTCCGATGATGATGATGATGATGATGATTTAAACACCAATTTCGCGATTTGCTGATCATGATATCATAATGATCAAATGTCATCACCCTGGATCAGGTCACAAGGCTTCCGTAGGACTTGGCCAGACGATGCCTGCAGGAGCTGGGTGTGAACGTGGCATGCCTGGGCGACTTGCAGGGCCCAAAGTTCCGCGTGGGTGAGTTGCTCGGAAATCGAAAACCGGGAAGGGTACAGTATCCTGGCATATCCTGGCTGTGGCAGGCCTTTCAGGATTTCATCATATTTCTAAGTATTTTCTAAGTTCATCATTATTCAATATGATTCATCATTGATCATGTCAAACGATTTTACAGTCATTGGCTGTTGATGGCTCTTGTTTTCTTGGCGCAATGGTTGGAGAAAAATGGAGAAAACATATCGACAAATTCGGGCCCTGTAAAAGTCAGCATTACCTCAACATAGGTCGCGCATGGCTCTGATGTGGTGGTGAAATCGCATCGGCAGCTGAGGTTGGCAGCTGATCCCATTCCCTTGAAGAATGGTGACGTTTTGGAGTTCGGAAACTTGAACGAGCTCAACTGGTTGGGGTATTAAGTTATTAAGGGTCAAACGTCTCAACTGCAGTCAGAACCTGACAGCTTCATTGGTTCAAAGCCCATTTTGGATTCACCTATTGAATCCACATGATCTGTCTTTCATTGAAACCGATGGGTTGGGGATGGCCAGATATGGCCAGATATGGGAGGATGTTCAAGACATATACCCCCAACCCTCGCTGGTGATTGAGGAATTTGCAAGGACGACAACGACACGATCAAACCAGGGCGCATCACCATGAAACCTACCATCGAGCAGAACTTTGGCCGCAGATGGGGATTTCGGTGGTGGCAACCACCAGGATTTGGGAATTCAGGATGTTAAAGCATCGCAAATTGGGATGCAATAAAGTTGATGCCAGGCAAAATTTGTTTCGATTTTTTTTTTTTTCTGAGTTGAGTTGTCAGAGGCGCCACAGCGGTGCCACAGCTAAGGAATGCCCTTGTGGAGGCGTGCAAGGTGGGTACAGTGCTGCTGATTGAAGATGGATTGATGGAGGTCAAGGTCACGGAGCACTTCAGCTGCGTTGGTACAACGGAGTCGTTCTCGTTTGCAGGTGGTAAATCAACAACTTAGGGAGACTGGGTTCCAACCCAAGTGTTTAAGTGTGAGAGTGTGATAGAATGTGAGTCATGTAGAACTTATGGATACTTTAGGTATTTCACAGAATGACATCATCAGACACTGATCATAGGTCATTGAGCATGGCATGGGCATGTCCAATGGCAACCTAAGGAAGATCTCCAGCACGGAGCTGAAGGTGGAAGTCATCCGAGGTGGCAAATTGAAGGCTGGACATGGCGGGACAGCATCAGACACCGGCAGACATTTGTTTCACCACGGCACGGCACCAGGCGCGTAAGGGCGTCAACGTCCCGGATCTGGAGATTGACTGCGCTGCCCTGACTTCAAAGGAGAGCCGGGCTGGGCCAAGACATTGGGTCTCAACTCGTTTTGTCCAGACGACATCATGGGTCACTCACTTAGGTGTAGTTGGCACCGGCAGTTTCTTTAGTTTTAGTTGACCCCAGCGGGTTCTTCTTTCTTATATCATAGTGATAATATGCATAACTGCATAACAATATATTATATATTTTTTAATATTCATATCTCTCATTATGTACTATTATGTATGTATTTCTCTCTCTCTCTCTGTGCACATGTGCCTCCAAGTGCCTCCAAGTGTGTCCAATATATAATAATATATATATATGTATAATATATATATATATGTGTGTGTATGTATTTTGCTGCAATGGTGCGCAAGCAGCTTGGTGGTTTGGGTTCCTTGGTAGGAATCCGAATCCGGAATTCTGAAGATTTCCCAAAGGTCCCAGACCAAGCCGTCAGGACATTGAGGATGCGGAGTTCCTCCTCCAATTGGACCCACCCATTGAGTACATTTGCGTGTCCTTCGTGCAGAAGGGTCAGGATTTGCAGGAACTCATTGATATCATGGAAGCTCAGCCTGGAATTGGAGCTGGGATGGCCTGGCCGGTGGCATGACCCAGCCCCATATTTGGGGGTGTTGTTCAACCAACTTAAGCGGGGTTATAGTTCACCATAAGTATTATATATACCAACTTATGGGGGGGTTATAATCCATGGTTCTACCATGTCATACCCTTTCCCGTTTCCTCAACTGCACCCCCAAGTGTCGAATTTCCCACCCTGGAGTCCTGGAGGGTTTTCCTCCTGCCCCAAGGATCGTTTGAAGATTCCGGCCGAGCGGAGACCTAAGATTTGCCCCAAGATCGAGAAGCCACAGGCAGCTGTGGGCATTTTTGTCATAGAAAACATGAGAAAACATAGATATATTGAAAGCCTGTGGTTCCCCCAGCCAATCATGTACAATGGTGGATTTTCCATATCTATGTCAACTAGCAGTAGGGTAATATACTTTTGGTCATTCTTGGGGTGCCCATGCATGGACTGGATTGATTGGGGTATACAAACATCACCTTTTGACCATCCGTGACCCATACCTGGTACGTGCCTAGCTGCGCTAGCTGGGAGGCCCTGACCAACATCGATGGCATCATTGCCAAGTCCCAAGCCCTCATGGTGGCCAGGGGCGACCTGGGCGTGGAGCTGGGCCTGAACCGCGTGCCCTTCGCGCAGAAGCTGCTGATCGCACGTGCCAAGCAAGCGGGGCTCTTTGTGCCTGGGCATGTTTGGAAGGGGTTCCAGAAAGGGCCTGAGATGTACCCATTTTACGACTTTGAAGCCATTTTTTGGGAAGGATCTTAAGGGTCAAGATGGGTCAAGCTTTTGGGAAATGAGGATGGAAGCAGCTTTCGAGCCCGTTTTGGAATACTGGAGGAGGCAACTTTGTGTAATTAAGCTTCCCCAACATGGTGAATCAGTCAACATCAATGGTCTTTGCCACAACATTCAGTTGCAAAAAACTGGCAGCAACAGAACAGGGTGGGGTACTTGTGGTAGCAGTTCCACGAATAAGTGGTCACAAAACCATAGTCATACGGTGTATCCCCAACCATCGCCAACCTATGGGGGTTATCACCATGGTTATAGCCATTAAAAAAAAACCAACTTGACCCCCGAGTACTGTGGCAGGTGATCAACGCCACCCAAGTGGTGGAGAGCATGATCAACAACCCAGTGCCCACTCGCGCGGAAGTCAGCGATGTTTGCAATGCAGTGTGGGATGGTGCGGATGTCGCTTGGCTTCACTATGGTGCACCTCGTGGCACCTCGTGGCAGCAGGATCAGGCGGACATCCTGTGAAAATGAGGAGTTGCACTCCTCAGTTTCAACATGGTTCAACAGTGGAAGTACAAGAAAATGATTCAGAATTGAATGGTGTATTCAGTTCTTCGTGATTTTATCATTTTGTTTATCCATGGCATAGATGCATGTCGCGAGTGGACCCTGTGATGCAATCCCAAGAGTAGAGCAAGCAGAAAACCACCGATGTGGGAAAGGACATAATTTTATGAAATCATGTTCTTTCCTGGTATTTGTAAATGCTACTACTGGTTGGTTTCATCCCCTGCAAAATTTGGCCGGTGTTGAGTGGTGGTATGTGCTGGGTGATTTTTTATTGAATGCTGGCCGCCATTCGCAAATGTTGTTCCTACAATTCTTCTTTGGGGAAAAAGAGGCAAGGGCCCTAGAGGGGATGGTGAACACCAAAGTAATTTTCCCTTTTTGAACCGGGTTGCTGAACTTCAAGTGAGTTCCATATTTTTATGCGGGATGGCTTGAACACGCCTACACTTCGCATGTGCTTTATCAAAATTGTTAATTTACCCAGTTGTAGAAGGGATACACGCAGATCCTTTCCCAAGGACCAGCCACCTGTTTACAAGGTGATGCCCCCCCCAGTTGGTTTGTCCGGCCCACTCACATCCACTATACGACTATGATGTCCATAGACCATCATAGACCATATTTTATAGCAACCCCAAAACAGATAGAAATGTTGGACACCTGAAAATATGAGTCAGTTTTTTTTTGCCAGAATCTACAAACATCTACAACCTCCAGAATATTTCCACTGCTCTTTTTGAGGCAGTCATGCTGTCCGGAGAAGCAGCCAGTGGCAACTTCCCTCTGGAGGCGGTCGGATGCTGAGAACTCGGCCGTGGCAATGAGAAATATAATATAATTAATTATTTAAATATATAGATATTTACATATACAATATATATATATATATCGATATCATTTCGACATACATCTATCTTACTGGATATATATAAGGCACCAATAGACAAGATAGCATATATAGATATTATAATTTACACACACGCACAAACACACATATACATATGATTGATCGTATGTGTACATGATATATCCCTTCAAGATCTATTGATGGTCTCCCTGTCGCGTCTCAGGTCATGGCCGAAGCTAGCGCCGCACGTGAAGCCGAGTCTGTGAAGCACCGGCTGCGACGGGCATGTCCACCTGTGGAGTCAGGTGGAGGGCCCGGATGAGCCTGGCATTTTGGCACTTTTTACCCATGAAAAAGTGGGTTTACCGGTTTACCCATGAAAAATGTGGATTGAAGCCTCACACGTGTGGATTTAACACTGATAAATGCGGATTTTAGGCAGTAAACGATCTGGATTGAAGCCAAACATGTGGATTCAAACGCGAACAAGTCTGATTTAACGCGTTCCATCCAGCAAACACATATGATACAGTAACCGCAAAACATGCCCGTAAGAACTAAACATGGTAAGTTGCCCGACAGAAATTTGAATACGAGCATGAAATCGAGGATCTTCGAAATGACACATTCAGCCGACGTTGGGCAGGCGACGTTGCCCCTCCCATGCTGCATGTGAACATGGGCAACAAGAAGCAGGCAGCCGTGGCGCAGGGGAAAATGGACAGTTTGGAACATCACCATAGCATCGCTGGATTACTGCGAAAGTTTGCACGTTTCAAGCCCATCATGAGCCCATCATGAAACAATTTGATGTTTTAAGACATGGGTTCCTCTAGATTCTAGATTTTCTATAATTTTGCCGCTTAAAATCATCCACGTTCCTCTGCATTCCTCTTCTAACTTCCAAACAAATCCTAGGAAGTTCACTTGAACGGTTTGTGTAAACCCCAGCGTAACGAATTCTGATCGCTGATGTGGCCTCTTTAGTCTCAAGTCTGGCATGCTCTGTGCCAAGTGTAGGCAGGCGACTCCTAGGTCTGACGATACTTGGTGTTTAGGGTGCAGTGCCACTGAGTCACTCAATTCTGAGCTGAGTGCTCACTGGCATTGCGAGGGGTTGAGAGCCCTGAGCCACGAGGTTGTGGTGGGTGCCGTGCGCACTGTTAGATCGCTGAGATTGATCTCGAGCGGTCTGAAGAGCGCTGAGGATTCTCGTGCTGCTCTGGAAAGGCGTACACCACGGCCACTCCCTGCACCTCGTGGGCATTCAGTGCCTCCTCCTCCCCCTGCACCGCCGAGGGTGCCTAGGGAGCCCAAGCGAGAAGAGGAGAGTGAAGAAGGAGAAGAGCGCGAATCAGAGGAGGAGGAGGCTGCCGTAGGGGCTAGTGCCAAGTGTGACCCTTCTAAGGCACCGCCTGAGCCTGAGCTTCCACCTAGGCATCAGCAGTCGGAGCGAGCCCCCCAAGAAGGAGGACGAGGAGAATTCCATTCAGAACATCACAGGGATAAGAAGAAATCAAAGAAGAGAAAAGATCGAGACCGAACCAGAACTAGAGGAGGCAGTAAGCACCCTCGGTTGTATCGGGTATTGGAAAATCCAGACGTCCAAGTTCATCGACGCTTACCACCCAGCTTCCTGGACGAGCGCCCCTCGCTGGAGCCTCGAGGCTCCGTTGCTAGAAGGAGACGATGACAGTTGTAGAAGAAGAGACAGGCGCAGAAGAAGGAGTTGGAATACATTATTCCTTGCAAGACAGAGAGACATGGGACAGCCTTGGGCCTGTGAGAGGCCAAATCCTGGAGGTGTATCTTCCGGACTGCATAGAGGGCGCCCCCGACATTTGGGCGGGGCTTCTGGTAATGCAGGTAGAAATGGACAGCACAGGAGAACTCTTTGCCGAGGTCAAAAGCTTGGGATGTTCAGATGCACACTACACAAAAGAACTTTCTTCTTTGTTCAACCGGCGAAGGGGAGTAGTTCATTTCTGCATGTCTTCAGACTGTCTGGAAGAGATCAATGGGTTGCAGGTTACTCAAGTGGTCCTGCACGACCGAGAAGGTTTTCACAGGGCTTACATGACTCATGCAACAACGCGCCAAGTGAACAAGTGGTTGAACGAAGACACAGCTCCTGGGAGCCTCGGCAACACACTGATTCTTGGAGAGGCGCGTGGTGCAGACACCGAATTAGATACGGGACCTGCAGAGCGCCCAGGAGCTTTGAGGAACGCCAGAGACCCCAGGGTGAAGAAGGATCAAAAAGAGGGAGAAGAACGAGAAGGAAAACCACATCCTGGAGATGCAGACAAATTCAGAGACGAGAGAACAGACAGGGGCAAAGCAGTGCCTCGCACGCCCCCTGGGCTTTTAGATGCAGATCAGAAGAAGAAATTGAGGGAGAGACTCGCCGCCGCCCGGGCCAAGATGGCTTCTGGGGGGCATGGAGGCGCTGGCCACCCGGCCGTGCTGCCTGGAGGAGACGGTCCACCCAGGCTGGAATCTTTGTCGCCCGGCTATACCGCCTCTGTGCTGGAAGATCAGATTGCAGCAGAGATGGAGGATCGCCACAGAGGAGAGGGCGCAGACAAGAAACCAGAAAAGAGAGTCGAGGGGCCTGGAGAGAAAGGCAGGGCAGAGAAGAAGGCCAAGAAAGACCGAAGAGACGCCGTCAAGAAGGCAGAACCGGCGGCTATAAAAGACATTACTACCAGCAACTTACAAGATCAGCTGGCTCTGAGAGCAGCCACAGTGGCTCAAGAACGTCAGAAGAAGAGGCAGATAGAGAAGAAGAAGGAAGACAGGGATCCGAGCAAAGAGTTGTTGAGGATCCTTACCAAATCCCTCGGCAAGAAGAAGAAAGAGAAGAAGAATGGCAAGAAGAAGAGAAAGAAAAAGAGGGGTTCTGGAGGAGGAGATCCAGGGGGGGGCCCAGGGAGTTCCTCGGGGAGTGGGGAGACGACCTCGAGCTTAGGAGGGAGCTCCAGAGGGTCCTCTTCGGACAACGAGAGCAGTTCGGAGGAGACCAAGCTCGAGCCCCCGTTGAAGAGGAAGTCCAAGGAAAAGCCCGGATCAGTGTTGCAGCTTCTTGTTCAGCACGCACGGGACCAACTCGACCAAACAGCGAAGGTCAGTGTCCTGGAGAAGACTGCAGATCCCACCAACATGGGGATCAAACTGGCCAGCTATTTCTCAATAGTGGTCCGGCCACAGATGGGCCAGGCTATGGGCCCCCTTCGAGAAATGCATATGTTGACTCAAGCCATGGACCTTCTTCGGCAAGGACAACTGGGACTTTGCGGGGACGTCCTCGCGGGGCGTTTTATGTCGCTCCATCAGAGTGCCCTAGACGGCAGCTGGAGCTCGGCGAAGTTCCTGGAGCTGATGCCACTGGAAGATACCTCGGCCGCAGGGTCAAGTGTGATCATGCAAGCCCGCAAGCACGCGAAGCTCGCGGCAAAGGTGGCCAATCCCGACTGGGTGTGGGGAGCTGGCAAAGCAAAAGGAGGAAGAGGCAAGTCCAGCTCTTGGCAGGACTACGGAGGAGATGCAAAAGGCAAAGGCAAGAAGGGAGCAAAAGGCCGGGGGAAGTCCAAGGGAGGCTGGGGTGGTGCGCAGGGCTCGGAAGACCCAGACACTGGGAAGCGCAAGGAGAAGGTGCCCGAGAAATAGGAGGCACGGGAGACGCTCTGGCATTTGCCGTCGAGCAGCCTCCCCAACCGAATGGAGTTACAGATAAAGGGAAAGCGATGAGTTTGAAAGAATCCATCGGCAGTTGCCGCAGCTTTGCTCAGGTAGGCTGTGTCTTGTGCTGGTGGATCATTGCTGGAACTGAGCTCATTTTGGTTGAGAAGGCTGCAGTGAGTTTTTTTGGGTGATTTTCTGCAAAGCAAGGTCGCCGACGTTCAGTCATACCAGAGCAAAAAGCGCGGTATGATTTTTCCCTTGAGGGAGGGAGATTTGCATGAAGTTGCGTCATTTTTGAGGCAGGCAAGGCTGGAATGTGTTTTTGAGGATAAACTGGTGGAGGAGTGGTCAAGCAGGGCCTGGCAATACGTTGTGTTTTGCTGCTTGAACCGCTTGGCTGGAGCCGCGGCTTGCCCCCTGGAAGGCCGCTGGACTCTGTCCGAGCGTAGAGCCGCTGCAAGCATAGCTGGATATGTTGAGTCTAGGTTAGCTAGAGACCACCGCGGAGCTGGATTGTCCGAAGAGGCCTGGCAAAAAGACCTGGCAAGCCGACAAGTCGGATATGGAGGGGAAGAGGTTTCAATTTGTCATAAGCTGTCATGGGAACAAGTTCTTCCGGGGCTTCCCCCTGAAACTCATGGTGGTTGCGTGGACTGTTTGGACTGGGTTGGACCAAGAACTAGGGAGTTTCTCTTGTCACCCCAAACTTTGGTCAAAGACGTGGCAGAAATTTCACTGCCTGAAAGGTTGGGAAAGGTACATGCAGTTGAGGGTGACATTTTGAAGATTGCGTGTGAGTTGGTGCGTAGAAGAATTTGTACTTGGGTTCCTCTGGATAACGTCTTTGAAGTTCAAGGGAGAAAAATCTTGAATGGACTTTTCGGTGTTGCAAAAACCACTACGCTGGATAGCGGTGCCCCAGTCCTGAGGTTAATCATGAATCTTACTGGCTCAAATTCAACACAACGTCAGTTATTCGGGGGGTGTAGTACATTACCCATGATCACTTCCTGGCAATCAATTGTGATGGACGATGGCGAACGTTTGAGCATGTTTCAAAGTGACATGTCTTCTGCATTCTATCTATTTCGTTTGCCGTTATGCTGGGCTCCATATCTTTGTTTCAATGTTACAGTCAAGGGTACAGACGTGGGATTGATGGACAACAGGTTATTTGCACTTGGATGTTGCGTTATTCCAATGGGCTGGTTAAATTCCGTTGGGATAATGCAAGAAATCTCAGAGAATTTGTTGAAACATCAAACTTTGACTTTATCATCGCAAGTTGCGAGAGGGAGGCCCTTGCCACCATGGTTTACGGCGCTACTGGCAGAAGCGCGGTCTGACAACACTTGCTGGTGGCACATCTACCTGGACAATTTTTGTGCGGGTGAGCGTTTGGGGGCCTCCTCAGCCACAGATTGGGGAAGACAATGCCATGAAGCAGCAGAACGGTGCTGGCGTGAGGCCGGAGTGATCTCATCTGAGAAAAAGCGGGTTTCTGGAGAAACTACGGTGCAAGAATTGGGGGCTGAGATAAATGGTGAGCTTGGAACTTTGGGGATCAGCACCGCCAAACTGGAGAAACTATGCTTGACTACGCTCTGGGCGTTGGCCCAGTCAAGGCTAGAACGCAAGACAGGTCAGATTATTGCCGGACGGTGGATGTTTGCACTGCAATTCAGGCGGCCTGGGATGAGCCTGTTACAAGCGGTATGGAAGTATGTGGGAGGAAAAGAAAAAGCAACTGAGAAGCTGTTGAGACAAGTCAGAGGGGAGCTCTTCTCCTTGGTTTGCTGTGCGCCTCTATTTCAATGCAACTTGAGAGCAACAGTAGCCCCTCTGGTAGTAGCTTCGGATGCCTCAAACTCTGGAGGGGCTGTAGGGGTTTCTGAGACTTTGACTCAAGAGGGAAAGGATTTTGTGTCCACTACAGAACGCATTGAGCGAGGGATCCCATGCAAGCCGGCACCAGTACTACTGGTTTCATTATTCAATGGGATAGGAGGATGTTTTCAAGCCTACGACATTGCAGGGCTGCTTCCAATGGGACGGATTGCCGTCGAAATCAACGAAGACGCTAATCGCATCACGGCCCGCCATTGGCCAGGTACGCTACAGATCAAGGACATTCACACTATCACGCGTGGCGTTGTCAGAGAATGGAGTGCTCGCTTTTTACAGGTAGCGGAGATACATGTGTGGGCAGGCTTTCCGTGCCAAGACCTTTGCGGAGCTAAGGCTGGGAGAAAGAATTTGAAGGGGAAGAACAGTTCACTTTTCTGGGAAATTCCAAGAGTGGTGAAACTGATAAAGGAGGAATTTGGAACAACAGTGGTGGTGAAAGAAGTCCTGGAAAATGTCCAGTCCATGGACAAATCAGCGACGGAGGAAATCTCTAGGGCATTTGGTGCATGGCCCTATGGACTTGATTGCGTTGATGCCGTGCCCATGAGACGGCCTCGTTTCTGTTGGACCACAGAGGTGATCGAAGGAGTCATTCCAGGGGTTGTGGTAGAATCAAAGAGCTATTGGAAACAGGTTCAAGCTCAAGCGGAATATCCCAAGACTGAACAGTGGATTGACCCTGGTTTCAATTGGAATGGAGATGGGAAAGACGTTGTATTCCCTACTTGCATGCGTAGCATACCAAGACAAGCACCACCGCCTAAGCCAGCGGGGTTAGAAAAGTGCTCGGAAACAACGGTCCAACGCTGGAGAGAAGACTCCTTTAGGTATCCCCCCTATCAATACCAACCTCAATACCTGCTTTGTTCTGATGTTTCATGGCGATTGCTCAATGCAAATGAGAAAGAACTTTTGTTGGGGTATGGTTGGCAACATACAAAAACTGCATGGAGCGCCTCGCGAATAAAACAGAATAGGGTTGGTTACAGTGATGTCCGCAACGGTTTGTTAGGTGACTCTTTCAGCATTTTCTCCTTCGTGATCCTGGCAGTGGTTTGTTCAAAGCGTTTCCTCCCTACAATCCCTTATGTGGTCCTTGCGGGAAGAATGGGACTGGCCCCAGGGTTTAGAGCTGCTTTGAGGTGTAGTGCCCCTTTGGCTAGGAGACTGCAGTATGGCTTTTCAACACAGGACGGAAGTTCCATTTCTGTGCAACACCTCAATAGGCTCTTGTTGAGAAAAACCAATCATACGGGGTCAGATGTCAGAGTCATTACGGGGGAGATCGTGAATGCCAAGACATATCCGCATCAGTCAGTTGCAGCGCAGTGGTGGCATTGGAGAGAAGTTTTCAGTAAAAAGTGGGGTCACAAGCAACACATCAACTGTTTGGAATTGGAATCCATTTTGATGGGGGTGAAATACCAAATTCTACATCACCGAGTTCTGGATATGAGAATTTTTCAAATCAGTGATTCGTACGTTGCAATCAGTGTGGTTAGCAAAGGAAGGTCTAGCAGTTGGAGGCTCCAGAAGATTCTCAATAAGGTTTCTGCTCACCTGTTGGCATTTGGGTTACAGTTAATTCTTTCTCACATTGAATCAACGGAAAATCCCACTGATGTTGGTTCAAGACGGTATGGTGGGTAGGCTTATTGCAGGACGTTTTTCAAAAGCGGAAAGAGCGCGTCAGCGCTCAAAAATTCATTTGGATGATGCCGCGCTGTCTTTAAAGACGCAGCAGCGGTATTATTGTGCTCTGAGGAAACTATTGCCTACCATCGAACGTTGCAAATGTGCGGATGATTTGGATGTAAAGATATGTAACTGGATTCGACATATGTGGAAATCTGGAGAACCGTTGTTATACATTGGAGATGGTTTGTGTGCCATGCATTTCTTTATGCCCTGGTCAAAAGGGAAAGTCCCAGGAGCCTGGAAGTTGTTTGCAGTCTGGAGAAGATTAGAGGTCCCATCACGGGCCCCACCGCTGACTTGGGATTTAGTGAAAAGTTTCAGTTCTTATGAACTGTCGCTGGGACGACATGAAATGTCTTCTTTACTCCTCCTTGCTTTTCATTGTCTCCTCAGAACAGGAGAATTGTTACAACTGTACCCAGAAGACATTTTGCTTGGACGTTCCCATGGAGTACTCTCGCTCAAAGGAACAAAGTCAGGAAAAAGAAATGCAGCAAATGAAAGCATCAGTATCACCAATGAACTAGTGGTGGAATCTTTACGTTCACTGCTTAGCCACCGCCAACAATGCGGTGGCCCAAGCCAACCACTGTGGTCATCTTCTCATGCTGCCTTTCGTTCCCGTTTCAAAGTCCTGTGCGAAAGGTTTGATGTCCAACATCACGCCTTTAGACCCTATTCGCTCCGACGAGGAGGAGCAACAGACCTCTTTCAGAGAACAAGATCCATGGAGTGCGCATTGCTGCGTGGACGTTGGGAGAGTAGCGGAGTTGCCCGAATTTATATCAGTGATGGTTTGTCCTTCCTGCCTTCCTTGCGTTTCACGCCTAAGACCCAGTCTATGATGAAGCGTTTTTCATACGATTGAGGACATTTCACTTTTCTCTTTCGCAAACTGCTCAAGCAGTTCAACTTCACTTGCGTGAGGGCGCGTGGAATAGCTGGACTTTTTGTCCGTGCTTGGAGTTTTCTTTTTGCGATTTGGAATCAGAGCCTCTTCCATGAAGCTCACGTGAGCCTTTACCATAAGGCTGGATAACAAAGAACTATTTTTGGTCTCTACCATGAGACAACTTTAGATCTCAAAGCTGATAATCTATTGGCACGAGACAAACGTCTCACAGCAAAGCCTTCAAGTTGGCGACAGAAAAAAGAGGAGCTGTGTGGTGCACACAAGGAAGTTCACTTGAACGGTTTGTGTAAACCCCAGCGTAACGAATTCTGATCGCTGATGTGGCCTCTTTAGTCTCAAGTCTGGCCCATCCAACTCCCTCCCTTTTTGGAATAGCTGGACTTTTTGTCCGTGCTTGGAGTTTTCTTTTTGCGATTTGGAATCAGAGCCTCTTCCATGAAGCTCACGTGAGCCTTTACCATAAGGCTGGATAACAAAGAACTATTTTTGGTCTCTACCATGAGACAACTTTAGATCTCAAAGCTGATAATCTATTGGCACGAGACAAACGTCTCACAGCAAAGCCTTCAAGTTGGCGACAGAAAAAAGAGGAGCTGTGTGGTGCACACAAATGTTCATGGCGTGTGGATTTTTTTTTAAAAAATGGATCACGTTTCGGCAGGCAGATGGCAGATGTCTTGGTAGATATTCCATGGTTTTCCATTCCAGACCATTTTTTCTCCAACAAACATTATTCCCATAATTTTCATGGCAGATGAACTTTCCATAAAGATTCTCAAACATCATTTGTCTGCCATCCCATCTTTACGGTTTCTCCAACAAACATCACCATTTTTCCACTGTCCTCCCCCGACAAAAAGATTAGGATTTCCCGCAAATCAGATTAGTGGACTGGAACCCGCAACTCCAAACGATTCCAAGTCCAATCGATTCAATTTCAGTGAATATCCCGAAAAAAGTGAGTCACATATCACATATCCCCCACCAGCCCCTGAACTCCCTGGACTCCCTGGGAGCCAGGAAACCAACGACTCCTTGAGGAAGACCAAGGTGGTCGCCTCCTTGGGCCCGGCCTCCTGGAGTGAGGCACCGAGCTGGATGGAATTGGGGGGTACCATGACTTGGGACACTTCCGTTGGATCATGACCCCCTCCCATATCTATCTATATACTGTGTATCTATATCAATCTATCTATATATATATATAATATATATATGTATATAGGTATAATAAGATAATAGTTTTAAAATGCTAATTATATTGTATACTGAATATTATTATATATAATGATCAGTAGCCATGGGATCTTCAGTGGGGAATGACTATCTAGTGGTGAATGGGGATGAGTATAGGATGATCAAGAACAGAACGGCTAGGAGCATCCGATCATGGGATGATGGGACGATATTGCTTCGATATTCTTGGGAGAATGACGGGACGATTATAGGATATGGATGGATATGGGATAACTAAGTGACGTTGTTGAAACTTTACATGCGCAAACTTGTAATGATATGATGCTGATAGTGACACGCAAATTGCTGGTCACTGGGATGGTTTGCTATTGGGTTTGCCACACTACGTCCGAACCAGATACAATATGATATGCTTCATAGGTGTTAGTCACTGTTAGTCGTATGTTGCTATTTCAGTATTCCTATATGATAGATGTGCCATCATTGAAGTAAAATCGACGCGAACTCACCATGGTTTGACAATGTTTCACAGAACCACTAGCTGCTCAGCCGACTATCGCCAAGATGATCAGATGATCCCCCAATATGTTCTGGTTGGTGGTTTCAAACATTTTTTTATTTTCCATGGGACCATGGGATAATCCTTCCCATTGACTAATGGATTTTCCACAATATATGGGATAATCCTTCCCGTTGACTAATGGTTAAAACCACCAACCAGTTTTGAAGTTTTGATGAAGGGTTATTTTCTGCATATCAATTTTCCTTCACAGCATCCAACTGACCCAGCCGTTCAACTCTATGGTTTCCGGTCGATTCCCAAGATCCTCATGGATAAATTTCAATGGTCTCACGGCGATGTCCTTGGAATATAGGGTGAATAGAGGTTAGTCAGGGTAATTATCCCCAAATCCCAAGTGACGTTCTTTCAGGCTGGCGAATGATGATAATCTATCCACACACTACATATATTAATCATATATTATACACATATATATATATTATGTAAAGACAAATGTAATTTCATGTCCTTTCCTTTTTCAAGGAAAACGTTCAAGTGACGCCAGGAGATGATTCCTAAGATGGTGGCTGCTGGCACAGACATCTTCCGCCTGAACTGCTCCCACCGCCGTGGCGGTGATTTTGAGCGCGTCTATCCACTGATCCGCAAGGCGGCGCAAGAGCTTGGCAGAAAGGCAGGGATGATGGGGGTTGGAGGATCATCCCGCCTAGCAACTGAGTACTCACAGTCGTCATAGTTGCTTAAATTCATATATTATCATATATAATTAATCACATAAGATCATACAGAATTATACATATGTATATGTGTGTGATAACCCCCTTAGGGACTTACTAACCACGATTAAGACATCCTACGCAGCATCATCCTCCAAGTTGGAGGTTAAGGGTTGAGGGACGATGGGGATATGAGTGGATATGAGTGGATATGTATCTACACGTGTCGTTTATATATATATATAAATACATCTATATTGTCAGAACATCCGTTGAAATGACATGCTATTGTTGCCCTTTGCATCCATTTAAATGAACAACCCAAAGATTGCGTTTCTGATCCACAAAAATCATGGGGTTGGGGCTCACACTATTGGTACCATGTTGCCATGTTGTAATTTAGCATTTCCATGAAAATAGCAATGGTTAACAAGTAAATCAATTCCTAAAGGATTCGTCTCAGCACATGCCTGTCCTTCCCCTGCAAGAGAACAACACCTTTGGAACAAGAATCATCTCTCCTCCTTCTAGAAAGAAGGGCTGATGAGATTTTGGATGTCTAGATCTCTTAATATCTTAATTCTTGTCAACAAATGCAGACATGATTTCTTTCCTTCCAAGCCTCCCAATTTTTCCACAAACTGCGCAGGTGGAATGCCTGGGCGACCTGCAAGGTCCCAAATTCCGCGTAGGAGAGTTGGCTGCAGATCCCATCGAGTTGAAGAATGGCGATGTCTTGGAGTTTGGCATTTGCAAAGCTGCCTGGCTGCAACAACTATGGCAGCTGCTACAGGCATCTGACAAAGTCGTACCTGTTTTAGGAAAAAAACGTTGTGCCTTGGGGAAGTGTGTTTCGCAAAAGTCGTGCCTTTAGCAAGAACGCATAGGAACTCTGGAGTTTGGATATGTAACCCGTTTTCTTATGAGATCACGTAGCTGATCACTATTAGCATGCAGAATTGCAGGTTGTGGGTATGTTGATTAGTTATAGGTAAGATGGCGTTGAGCTGGTGATTTGATGATCGGTATCCAATTTCTCGAAGATGGAGCCATGGATCTACTAGTACTTAGCATCCCAACCACATGATAGTATAGGTGATTATAGGTGCTTCTTTTCTGAACTATGCACAGGCTGGTGAGGCATAGTGGCCAGGATGTGGATAGATTCAGCATTTCCTGTAGGTGGCAACATATGAAACCCTGAAACCTTCAGAGATGAAGCATCTCAAGTGAAGTAGGTGCCCCGGCCGTCTCAGTCCCAGGATGACAACGACAACATCCGAGAAGGCCGCATCACCATGAAGCCAACGATCGAGCAGAAGGCCCTGATTGCTGCCTCCAAACCCGGTATCGATCTTCTCCTCGAGGAGCTATGGCGCAGCCATGAGTTTTTCCATGTCCCATCCCCTGCCCATCCCATTTGTGCTGGAACACCCCCGGCGCTTGCGGATGTTTTGATTGTTTTGCAACGCGGGGTGCATGTTTTAATGCAGGATGGCATCATGAAGGTGAACGTGGTGGAAAAGTTGAGCGACACCGAGCTGAAGGCACGCTGGCACATGCTGGCACTGGGAAAGTTCACATGCTGCCTGGTGATTTGGTGGACAACCACCTTTTGTTGTTTGTGTGTTATCCTATACTATACTTTATGTCTCGTTTTAGGCGGGGGAATCCCTGTCAACATTGAGGTTCCCTCCTCCATTTGATATGTTCACTGTTTTCACTGCTGAGGTCTTGACCGTCTTAACCTTTTCCATCCTTTTCCTCCGTTGTAGCATCATAACAATCCCAACCCCCAAACCAAATTATTTTCACGGGAACAAGTAGTGAACAATCATTGTTTGAGGCTGGCCATGCCCATGCCCAGGTCCAACTGCCTGTCGGGCTGTGATTTTGCGCCCCAGGTGAAGGTTGTGCGAGGTGGCAAGCTGAAGGCTCGCAAGGGTGTGAACGTCCCGGATGTGGAGATCGACTGCGCAGCGCTCACAGCCAAGGTGTGCTTGGCTGGTTGGGTTTCAGTCCAAGTCAGATGTGACTGGATGGGACGAGTTGAGTCCTGCTCCCAAAATATCCCGACATTTCTTGGTGCTGTCCAATCCAACTGCCAGGACATTGAGGATGCGGAGTTCCTCCTCCAATTGGACCCACCCATTGAGTACATTTGCGTGTCGTTCGTGCAGAAGGGTCAGGATTTGCAGGACATAAAGATAGATTCAGATTCAGTCTATTCAAGCAAGGATTGGGAAGGGAATGGAGGGATGATTGGACTGGAGGTCACCAACTCACTTCATGACCCCTAGGCCCAGGGGGACTGCACGAAGATCCTAGAAATTATTGTAAAGAAACCACATTTGGCTGCTGCTTGGTTCACTATGTGTTCCTTTGGAAAAGTGGGACATTAATTTAAATAGACTAGAGTTCATATGAGGTCATTTCCGCCTCCCAAATCTCAAAGATGTTGATTCCACAATGGGGAGTTATGATGCGTTGAAACCTACAATCAGACGCACCATGTGTGGTGAATGAACATCCTGTGCCACCTATTTTAAGCCATGGCCACAACGAGTGTCCCGCCCAGGGAGGCGCAGGGTGTTTTTTTTTTTCGCCAGGAGTTGATCGACATCATGGACCGCCTGAAGATTCCTCAGGATTTTCTGGGTTGTAGTGAGATCACCCTGGTTTTTCCAGGTTTTTCCAGGTTTTTCCGAAACCACCAGTTGGTATGCCCCGTGGGTCAACCATTTTATTCACCAGTGGGAAATCGGTGAAGTTCAGTGGAGAGAAACTCTCAATATAGGTCTGCCATCGGATTGTCTGAAAATAGGGACCATTTCATCCATTGGTTAAGTTAATCATTATAATCCAAATTGTGTAATTGAATGTAATTGATATTTATAACTGTTTATACGTGTGTAATCGTGTATATATATATACGTATACATGTGTGTGTGTGTGTTCTTTTACTTAGTTACTTGTATTAGATGCTATTAGATATTATTAGATGCTATATCTGCTATATCAGATGTTATTCGTTATTATGTCTTTATTTATTTATTCGAACTCTTTTTTAAAATAATTTTTGAGATACACAATTGTATGTTGCCAGGAGAGGCGCCCGAAGATTTGCCCCAAAATCGAGAAGCCGCAGGCGCGGTTGCCAGGGTTGACAGGTGTTGACACCGGGCAACATTCGCAACATCTACCAGTAAAGCAACATAGCTATGGAAAAACACACACACATACACATATTATATATATACATATATATGGTTGGTGGTTTGGAACATATTTTATTTTCCCATATCTTGGGAATTTCATCATCCCAACTGACGAATTCATATTTTTCAGAGGGGTAGGTATACCACCAACCAGATATATATATATATATATGGAAATCCATGGGTTTATGTTCCATATCCCTATTTTTACTGGAGGGTAAATGGGCACAGAATGGATGAATGGGTCCAATCCGACAGCATGCTTTTTCGCCAACATATCATGGAGTTGTTCAGCACTTGGTTCAGCTAGTACATGTGATATCGATTACAGCCCGCCACTGCTTTGCATGAAGTGTCGATTTCTATGAAAGTGCTGTTTGGCGTTCTCACTTGGACCATGGGTTTCAAAAAGGATTGACCCTAAAAATTAGAGGAGTCAGGACCCTCAGGCCCCCCAAAAATGGTCAGCCATGGTAGCCATCTGTGGGTCACAGGCCCTAAGCAACATCGATGGCATCATCGCCAAGTCTCAAGCCCTGATGGTGGCGCGCGGAGATTTGGGTGTGGAGCTGGAGTTGGAACGCGTGCCCTTCGCGCAGAAGCTGCTGATCCGCAAAGCCAAGGCACCGAGATGGGCAGAGTGCTCGAATGGGGAGATTGGATATTGAGAGAGAGAGAGAAAAAACAAAAAACATGTTTAAACATGCTTAACCACATGTCCTTCGGCACGTAATGTATCGTAATGTGGTAAATGATGGTCAATGCTATAAAACATTTGAGTATAGTCAACCTTCAATCAATTGGGGTCCATTATAAAAGGTCCCAAGTATATTGGAAATCAATGTAGCATACAAATTGATATCAATTGAGGATGATTTATGCCTTTAGGCTTTGTGGACACATTCATCCATCCCTGATGATGATGGCCACCACTAAACCTTATGTCCCCTATGCCCCTAGTAAGTATACCATCATTCTCCCACAAATAGCCGATCATCATCCCATAACCCTATGAATTATAATCATTTCATCATCATGCCATGAATATCCCAATATATCGTATCCAATGAATATCCTATCAATATCGCATAATGCTGGGGGAACTATCCCAAAATAGCCGAACATTTCAGGCTATGTAAGTTCTTGTAATTCATAAATATCACACAAATATATACAAATATCAGATAAGCATGACATACATATCACATAAAAATCACATAGATATCAATAGATATCACATTTTTATATCGCATAAAAAAACATGATACCCGAAGATAACATCATAATCACCCCCCCATCTCGGAGGATGCCGGGCTCTTTGTGATCAATGCCACCCAGATGGTGGAGAGCATGTGCCTGGGCGCGGTTTGCGAAGACACACTGTGCGTGTCCCACGTTTGAATGTCCCATCGTGTGCATATGGATATAGAATTACAATTGAATTATATATATATATACATACATACATATAATATATATATATATATGTATATATGCATGTGTACCAAACCATCTAATTAAATTGTGGGTCATCATGGGTCATCCAGATTGATATGCAAATATGCAAATATAAATATCAGCGTATTATACTATATAATTCCAGTTTGAACATGGTTGACATATTTAGACACAGCAAAACATACGACACACACATATCTATATAATATATACATAGGTATAAGAATAACAGTCAGGAGTGCAACGTAATATTGAATATCTTTTGAATATATCAGCACCTTAAATTTCAGGTCCTATGTTTTGACCTATTTCTTGTAAGATAAGCTCCTGATTTTAAGGGATTTTCCAGCTGGTCCTCCAAGGATCGAGAATCCCGTCCCGACACGGGCAGAAGCCACTCGACGCCTAAGCCAAGCAGTTGCCATCGCCTAAAAGGATCCCAGTTTGAACAAAATGGACGACACCAGAGCTTCGCACCTGTTGTGTATGTATGTATATATATATATGACGTCCAGCTGGTAGATCATTGTAGATCATTGGCAATCCACTCATATGCGAAGCTTCCCACAGGTTCCTTAAGGGCAGCTTGGCCGCAGCTTGGCCGCCATAACTTAGGTTAGCGACTTGCAGAACGCCATTTGGGATGGTGCAGATGCTGTGATGCTCAGTGGTGAGGCCGAGGATCTGCGCCAGAGCAGAAATGAGCACCAAAGACCCACAAGAATACACTGTACCCTCCAGCAAACTTTGATAAATATGGAACAGATACAATTATCATGAAACCCATGAATAACATAGTAGACACCACCAAGCATGGTGAGTAGCACCGGCCACTCCTGTTGGTCAAACCATTTGTTGTTTTTGTTTTTGTCCAACAAATGTCCTATCCATCTTTGGGATGAGCATCGATTGTCCACCAGTCAGTGACCAATAATAGACGGGTTGAAACGAGTGGATTTACTGTATACTTCTATTCATTTCGACTGGGCTTGTGAAACCCCTGCCATTTCTTTAAAACGGGTCTGAGGGATCCAAAAGAGAAAGATAGAAAAGCAACTCTTCTATTTTCATGATGATTTGCCTTTCTATTTTTTCAAGGGGGTGATGTTGTGAATCTTTTTCCTATAGGGTGAACCCTGCTGTTTGATTACGGTTAAGAGATTGAATGGTAACTTTAGCATTTCACTGATATGTTTACCTTTTTGGAGAGATTACTCCAAGTTAAGTCCTGTTGCCCTATAGTGCATATAACCTGCATATATAGACATACACATTTACATACGTATATACATATACATAAATAGATACATGTAAGCACTTGTAGACAGATGGTCAGATAGTTAGTTACTTTGAGAATTCATGAGTTAGTTACAGCAGATACTTAACGTTAAATAGTTTTATAGGTCACATATGATTACATAATGTTATGTATATAAATGTTTCTTTTTTTAAAAACATATATATACATAAATCATCTGAATAAATAGATCAATGAATATATATATAGGATTATAATTACTTAGCATATCCCATATATCATATATATATAATATCAAACTATTATCTAATTACATATCTGTATCTATATATATCTATATCTATCTATATTATTAATATGTATGTTGACCCAGCATCACTAGGTCACTAGCTCTTCCGCCAGGCCGCCAGCGGCAAGTTCCCCTGCGAGGCCGTCATGGCCGAGGCCTCGGCGGCCTTGGAGGCCGAGAGCGTGCCGTGGTCGCCTGGGACGATGGCTGGGAGCCATCGAAAATGGCCGGGTTTTCCGCAGGTTTTCAGGAAAATCATGGGAAAACCATGGGAAAATGATGGGAAAATGATGACAATCCGAGTTTTCTGGATTTTGTATGGCACGTTTTGTGATTTTGTTGTTAGAGCTCCTGGAAAAAAATAAACATTTAAAAATCCAAAGTTGATGCGAATTTTCATGGGAATCATCATCCAACAAAAGTTAGTTATGTCATTTGTTCAGGGAAGAGATTGGGCAGCATGGGAAATCCATTTATTCACAGGATATTTAAAACCATCTACACGTGGATGCTTCAATGGTGAGCCACATCCACAAAACTTACATAATAGATATTGTATAATAATTGGAGGTAGCATTTGCCGGATAGTGTGATGCCATTTTCTGCACCAATGATAGATTACATGATTCGTAATCATTGTGGTTCATCATCAATTCCAAGTGTAAATGGTAAAGCCAATGATTAAAGAAACCCCAATGACTTACCATGTGGAAGTGGTTGTAAACTATATTGTGGACTGTTTATTACAAGTATGTCTTATATAATTATCCCATATTTTTTCCAGTTATCCCATCATTGTCCCACAATTATCCCTTAATCATCTCAAAACTATACCATAACTATCCAAGAATTTCCTCACATTTTCCCAAGAATTTCATCGTTTGACTTGTTTTTCACCCGCCCCCGTGGTGCCCCGAGCCAGCCGAGCCACCCAGGTCAAAGACCTGCTCCAGCCGCGTTTGGGCGTGGACTACTTCTGTGACGAGGGAAACAAACCCAGGGCCACTCGGTGGAAATCTCCGTAGAGCCATGAGAAATACCCAGCTGTTGACTGGAGTAGTGTAGGCGGGGGACTTAAACAGGTTGATCTGGGGCATCATTGCAACCCCGAATCGTTGGGGAGTTTTTGTTCCTCAAAAATACGGAGACACATGGAAAGAAGTCTCAAATCAGGAGAGAAAAATGGTATTGACCAACTTCTGGGAATTGGGTAACACCAGCGTGTCCCCCGTTGTTTACCTTGGGGGGATTCCATCGTAACTTGGCAAGTGTGAAACTAGAATAACTATGGATATGTCAAAACTCATCGCGAAAACGGGAATAGTACTGAGCATTCCGTAGTCTATCTACTTCAAGATGATTATATATATATATATCTATCTACAATATCTATATATCTATATTTTTATTTATATCTATAATATATGCCCCAAGCGTAAAATTATATGGGCTTAGCAACTCACTGGCACCTCCAATTGTTGAGTTGTCGGGGCGCCTGTCACCCTTGGTTTGTGGGTATCAGTGGATGATAGTGGGTTATGGGATGGTTAACACTCCAAAAAGGATCAAATTCACCAGGTGGTATGTTACTTGGTGGCTCACCCCGGCGAGCAAGTGGGTTATAACCCCACAACAAAAGTGGGGTCAGTATAAGATGTATAAGGTTATAGTCAGATTAGAACTAGGATTATAACCCATTTACTAACTGGGCAAGTAATCTTGCCCATTTTGGGTTAGAGGATGGTTCCTTTCCCAGTCGGACAACCTTGGGCAGGAGATGGATGATTCCAAGCGCCGCACAAAGGCCCGGGAAATGCCCTGTCATGGAATGCCATGGAATGCCCAAGCCAACAATGATGGGAGGTAGGAAGACGGATACCCTAACATAGACATGGAAAATGCAGTGGAAACGGAGGATAAATTGGATAATCCTCTATACATTGGGGAATTGTGAATTGCCAGGTTTGACCACTGGAGGGTATAAACCACAGGCCATCATAGGATCGTTTGGCCACTGGGCCGCTGGGCTTGTGGTTTGGGGAAGATGCCCGCAATGATTTTTGCCTGGGTAGGAGTAATTACCGTAACTTACTAGCCCACAGCAATGGATGTGTTTCTGAGCAATCAAGGGGCACTTGTACATCCATACAACATCAGTTGAAGTAGATTGAAGCAAGTTGAAGTATTTATCCAATAAACATTGTTGTGGCTCACGAATGAGCTACCAGAGCGCTTCCAAAGAATTGATAACAGCAATGGGCTGGTGAGTGAAGGGCCGGTGAGTGGCCAACGATACGAATCGTGGTTAATCTTTTCTTTTGAAGGGGCTCATGGATTTTCCATTGCCACGTTTGATTACCTGAGGGTGTGATAGGGTATGTGATATATATAATATATATATTTCTACATAATATATAAATATACATGATTAAATAAATAAATAAATATATATATATGAACGGGGGCGAGGTTGTTTCGGGAAAATTTGACGTAGCGCACGCATTGGATTTCACCATTTCGTAATTTCGTGTATTCAAATTGAATGCTTGGGAAGAAGATTTGGCGCCTGATTTTAATTTTGGAAATCGGAAAAGCCAGCTGTTTTTTCTTAGTGTTCAAGAATTGGTGCCTGATTTCAACCAGATCATTTTTTTGCGACTGCAACTATGGCACCTGTAATCCCAAATCAGCTCAACCCCGCTAGTAATTATATACATACATAATACCCTCTGGTAATTTGTCACATAGCTATTGGAAATGGCCATAGAAATAGTGGATTTTCCCATATTTTCCCATTGAAAATGGTGATTTTCCATAGCTATGGTACATTACCAGAGGGTAAACCTCCATTTTCCTATGGTTTTCCTATGGTTTTCCTATGGTGTTCCCATTAAAATCTCCATTTTCCTATGGTAAACCCTCAGTTTAGATGTCATATGCGGCCATGGTATCCCGGCAACGCTTGGGTACCCCTTCCAGGTCGTGGCCAGCTTGGGTCCTGCATCCTGGAGCGAGGAGATTTAACGCGCGATTGGAACGGCAATGAATGGGTTTTTAACCACCTGCTGTATGCTTTATATATGGGATATAAACATATATAATTATATATGGGATATCTCGTATGTAGATTATGTAGGGCTCATACATAGCTATATCCCAATAATATCCAATAACTAGTACTTTTTTTGAGGGACATATCATGATTTATATTAGATGTAAGGGTTATAAGTCACTTACTGGCTTCTTTTAATGCACCCCCAATGTAGAGAAATCAACCCCGATTTATAGACCTGTTCAGCTTATCATCCAGGATTCCTCGTTCTCACTGATACTCGTCGATCACAGTTCGCTCGGTCTGTTGAGTGCTTCAACCCAACCAAGTCTTTGGGACATTTTGGTGACTATCCCATATTAGTTCAGATGCAATTAGATCACCTAGAAGTCAACTCCTGTGCAACAACTCCTGTGTAACAACTCCTGTAGGAGATATAACTCCTGTAACATCTCGGAAGAAGGTCATGTTTCGCAAACCGGTTTTTCACTGCCATATCACTGCCCCTGCCCCCTTAAGAAAGAATTTGGAAGAACTTGAGAAGCAGGAGGTTGGTAGGAGTTTGCAGATACAACTAAATCACCTAAAAGTTAACTCCTGTGTAAGAACTTCTGTGAACAACTCCTGCGTAAGAACTGTATGTGATGTATATGCAATTGATTGAACTTGTAGATGATGTACTTGTTGCCCCTACGCGCTGAATAAGTTGATGTAGATGCTTTGGAGATGTAGATGAAGTTGATGTAGATGATATAGATGTAGATGTAAAGGATGTAGGAGATGTAGATGAAGTGAGAAGTTGAATTTGGCATCAGTTCTTTGGGAAAAAAAGCCCTTCATAGCCTGGCTACATATGCTACATCCATGAAAACTGACCAAATCTGACCAAGTACTGGGAAGATCCTCGAAGACACACCGGATTTTGAGATGTCCCTACGATGACGTGTTCTACGGGAATAACCTTCACCACTAGTGATTCCGAGGATCTCATTCCCCAAAGCATACGCTCAAACTACGTACTCATACCATTGAGTTGACCATGTTGATTGTTATTCTTTGGCAATCAAGCATGGCTTGCCGGAAAATCCACCATTTATATATATATATATAAACACATATATATACATACATATATATATATACATATGAGTGTGTATATATATATATATATGATACATATATATATATATATGTGTGTATTATAGAGGTGAACTGCCCATTGAAATGCCATTTTCCTGCAGAGATTTCCCCATGAACGGGGCAGGAGATGATTCCCAAGATGATCGCAGCGGGCACCGACATCTTCCGCCTGAACTGCTCCCACCGCCGGGGCGGCGACTTTGAGCGCGTCTATCCGCTGATCCGCAAGACAGCGGCAGAGATGGGCAAGAAGGTGGGGGAAATCGCAACCAGGGGGGACGGATGATGGAAAGATCCGGTACAGCCATATGATATGATGGCAATATGGGGTGTGAAAAATATTGATCTATAGATCAAAATGGCAACTTTGATGGGGAAAACGATGATTTGATATGATTTGAACATATTTAAACTAGGGGTACATATGTTACATAATGTTACATATGTTACATATGTTACATACTCTACTTTTAGTCAAACATCCCAAAGAGCCCAAAGAAAAAAGAAAGAGCCTTCAGACAATCAGAAAGCGTGGCATCCTACCTCTCTGAGCCCAGGTGGAATGCCTGGGAGACCTCCAGGGTCCCAAGTTCCGTGTGGGCGAGTTGGCAGCTGACCCCATCGAGCTGAAGAACGGTGACATCGTGGAGCGGATCTGGCATGTCTTGGGCGCAACGGGTCCAGCGGGTCCAATGATGGTAAAGTCATCATTGGGGTGGACAATGCGCAAGACACCAGGCCTTATTGTTAAGATGTTTGAGATGTTTTGAGATGTGCTGTCTGCTGTCCTTCCCAAGATTTTGCTCAGAAGGCAGATAGGATCAGATAGGATCAGATAGGCCAAAACAAAACCCACTTTGACTATGACTTCCAACTTGCAATCCTTAAAGACGAGCCAGCTTTGGTAACCCTCCCTTCAACCCTGAGCATCCAGCCCAGCCAGGTTTGGCATCAGTGTTGATGACAATGACAATATCCGACCGGGACGTATCACCATGAAGCAACTCTTGGCATGTTTAAGACATGCGTTTGTGTAGCCAGGCTACTTCTGTACTTCATATATTATAATAATAATTATACATATATATATGTGTGTATATGTATATATATATATATCATATTGCATGATATTGCTTGTCTAATTATTAGACGTATTTGAGATGGTCATTGAGCCCCAAAGATTCCCATGATTTCTCGACATTTATTTGGAGATCGCCATGTGCTATATTGCAGTTTGATCATCCCGTGGCGTCATTTCAGATAGCAATTTGAACCGTCCAAGAATTGGTTGAAGCTTCCAAGTATTGTGCTGAAAAACAACTGGTTTCGCCATGGGTTTTCCCCAGCAAAGCAAGCCCTATCACATGGGTGTTCCCGCGCAAGGCCCACGACCGAACAGAACGCCTTGGTGAAGGGGTGCCAGGCTGGGCTACACCGCCCTAATTGGGGTATACCGTATTTCTCCCCATTTTTTTTACATGGGGAAAATGAAGACAGGTGGGTTGCTCATTGTTTCTCCAAAAATCTGAACTTTATCCTGTGGCCACAACTTTCATAAGTTGAAGGTCGCCAAAAGAACTTTGAGACCATCCATGACTGGGGCAGTCCTGTAACACATCAAGCCAGTTCAAGCCAGTGTTTTTGTTCCTTTAACCCAACTCACTAATTGTCACATATGGCTTTGTCATGGTTTGTCTGAAAATGGCATACCCACTCCATCCCCATCATCCACTGAATCATCAAGTTCACCCTTGTAAAACGACCATTTGGGGCTATGCCGGCAGCCATTTCTTCAGACACATCCGCATAGATTCGGAGTGTTTCCTGGATGTGGGTCACTGCGACTATCTAAACGTTGCCGCAGGTTGGAACCACTTTGCTTATTGAAGACGGCATCATGGAGGCCACTCTGGTAAAATCATAGCCCAACAAAATCTGGAACAATTGGACACCTGGAAATAGTGGGGAAAACCATCAATTTTACCATATTTACCATCCTGGAAATACCCTTACATGTTTTTGCGGGGTAGTTATTTATAAACATGAAATACTAGGGAAACCTGGGCTTGATGGGGAATTTAACCACCCACTATAGCCAAAAAATCTGAGGAAATCAACTGGTGAAGCGCGGTTTAGTACTTTATTCGTACATGCCCCGGTTTGACAGTCGGTTATAGCCCCGGATAGAAATGGGGTAAGCAGTGTCATTCCAGTTGTGACGAGGCTTATAACTTATTATAACCCACTTACTAACTGGGACAAGCCACCAAGTAGGTATATATATATATATATATAATCTAATGACCTGAACATCATTTTCTTGCAGTGTATAGTGTATAGTATCTAAAATTGGCAATGGAAACTAGATGGGTAGGGTCAAAGTCATCAACTCCCCCAAAATGAATGGTTCAAAGGAAATGATATCAAACGATGACGGCACTTGTGGGCCCATTGATGCCAGAGCATCATGTCAGCAAAATTACAAGGGTGTAAGAAAGATAAGAAAGCAACATCTGGAAACGGAAGTGGTTTTTCTGTTTTCCAGATGATTTGGCTTTAAACGATGTGGCCGGACCACTATTTCCATCTCTCAGTGTCTAGGCCCGAAGAGGCAAAAAGGTGACTTGTGGGAGCTAAGGGGCTTCTAAAGATCTGATCTGTCCCCAGTGGTCACTCTTTAGTCTTCGCTAAATGATGCTAAATGAAGCTATATCATCCATTATCATCATCTTTCTTGACGAGGTACAGGTACCTCAACTCAACAAGTATTAGTTCTGGTCACATCTGGTCACTGGTTTAGCTGTGAGGTTGTGGTCACCGAGAAGCTGAGTGACACCGAACTCAAGGCATGGAATAAGGGCAGCTCTAACTGGGAATTCCCCGAACTAAATGGAGGTTTCCTGAAATGAGGAGATATCGCAAAATGGATGGCTTATAATTACTTATAATGGTAATTCCTACTAAAATGGATGATTTGGGGTTACCGGGTACCTCCATTTTAGGAACCCCCCAAATGGAGCTTCAGTTCGCTGGGAACATCATCTATGGAATTTTCCATGGCCGCATCTGATTCTGTTTGATTACCAGAGGAGATTAGTGACATGGTAACAATCCCATACGGATCCATACAGGGCTTCTTTCAGGTTGGTGACATATTGCATTTTCATGCATTTTCTAGAGACATGGATGATCGTACTGCATCTAGCTTAACTATATGCTTAACTTCATGATACTTCTACAATGTGTTTCCGCGATGGCATGTCTCAACTCGTTGGTCTTCAGCTCGGATTCTCGGAGTTCGGTTGTAGGCTATCATGAGTTGATTGTATTTCCTCAAGCTTTCCCAGTTTCATGTGGAACCAACAAGAAATTCTATCATAAAGGGGATGGTTACTAAGCCACTCAATTTTCTTGTCATTTTGTTGGGAATGGTTCATAATTGGGTGAACCACACTATTCCAAGTCTCCATTTTTTATCAATTATGATGATTATGAATGATTATGATGGGTTATACCCACATGACTAGCCATTGATCATTCATTCCTAACTCCTAACCATTGTCAACTGCTATTAACCATTACTAAGCCCTGCTATTATCTGTAGATGTCGATGCTTCTCCCGGGAGTCACAGGTGCAGATCACTCGTGGCGGAAAGCTGAAGGCCAGGAAAGGCGTGAATGTGCCAGACATCGACGCTTGGCTGCGTCCAGTAATGGAGGGACGAATTGAGTATCCCAACCAGGTGCGTTGTGAAAAGGGAAATCAACCATTTTAAAGTAGGGAAGTCGGACTGTGTGTTTTGATGACTACTGACTACTGTATCTACTGTATTATTTGAACCAAATCATCAGACATTGATCACGTGAAAAATTAGACGGTGATTACTGTGGAAAGAGCGGGGGCAAGAACGGTGGATTCGATCATATTTTTGACATGCAAAGGTTGTGGGGGTACCTTTTGCGAGTGGTCCCTGTTGAGAAATGCACAAGAGGATTGACCAACTTCCATGATATGGGCAGAACAAGTCTAGTTTCAACATTTGGGGCATGTTTTGGACTACTCATGACATTCACATATGAGATCCGCTCTAACAGAACTTTTCAATCCGAGACATAAGTACTTGGGCAGGGATGTATTTTAGATTTCATTAGGTTTCATTAGATTTCATTAGAAGGCGGAGTCCTGTATATATGCAGTGAAATCGCTTTCCTGCAGCTTAGTGCTAGATTTGCGCTAGTGTGGCGCTAGATACTTTATTATTATTCAAGTGAAACATAGTCAGGCCCCATGCTTTCTTTCTCTTTTGCTTTCTTGCACCTGTTGTTCTCGGTCCTGCTTGTGCAACTTCACAAAATCGCCTGACTTGTCATAAATCCCATCTCTTTGAGCTGCGCCGCCGCTTAGCTTTCTTTTTGGCCAGCATCAGAAACGTGCGTTGTCACATATGTGAAAACATGCAATTACTTTTCAAGTTTTAAGGGCTATGCTAAACGCAACGTAATCACTTCTGGCGGTAGATCCGCGCTAGATAATTGCCCCAAGAATACGCAGTTGCCCGTTGACCACCGCCGTGCTTGAAAACGCAAGAGCACTGTTTGCTTCCAGCTGGTAGCATCAACTGGGATGTGGGCCACCGAGTCCAGTAGCTCCAGCAGCTCCAGCGAAAGCCGCACGCTACGTTTGCGGTTTGTTGGAGTCCTGTAAATACGCAGTGAAGGTGAGTCCGAATCCGGGGAAAAGGAATTTGGAGAAGACCTCATACATACATATATGTATATATATATATATGTGTGTGTGTTTTCTTTTATATATATATATTATCATATATAGATATCTATACATAGATACACAATAAACTTTTTAATAAACGGGAATATCGTTGAGATCAATCCAATCGCCCAACTCTCCCTGTGGAGGAGGCCAGGGGGTGAAATTGTTTAAACCTGGGTGAATGCTATCGCCCTCTCTTGGAGGGCAATTTCATAAAATTTCCCTTTGTGAAAGAAGCGCGAGGAGCCCACCACCTATATTATGGTGAAGAATAATACGAATATAATCTCATCTATACAGCCCAGCATCTATACTATATCATATAGAATTACATAGTATTTACCCTCTGGTAAACTAACATAGCGAACTGGAAAATCACCATGCTATCAATGGGTAAATCCACTATTTCCATGGTCATTTTCAATAGCTATGTGACAAATTACCAGAGGATAAACTTACCCTCTGGTTATTTAACATAGCCATGGGAAATGGCCCATTGATTTATAGATGGTTTACCTATTAATAGCATGGTGATTTTCCAGTTCGCTATGTTAGTCATAACCAGATGATAAGTTGATCTACAATCCCCTTTAACTATAGATATATTATATCACCAGTTATAGATGGGTTATAATCCTATTAACTATATATAGATATATCAGTATTATATCACCAATAAACCATATATGAAGAATAATGCGATCCATATGATTCATGCTGCCGTCCATCGTACCCAGGAGATCGACTGCGCCGCCCTGACGGTGAAGGATATTGAGGAGCCCAATTGGTCAACCCCTCTTAACCGAAATTTGGGTGAGATTTGAACCATCCAAAAATGGTGGTTTAATGGGATGGAACCGTCCAAAATGAGGATTTAATGGGATTGTACCATCCAAAATGGTGTTTTCAATGGGATTTTACATCGAAAATTGTAATTTAATGTGATTTAACAATTGGTGATTTAACGGGATTTAACCAGCGCAGATATATCCATTGCAGGTGTGGAAAAAAAACTTGTTCAAAACACGCACTCCCGGGATATCCCATTCTGACCAAAACCATAGTTACAACCATCCATTCTATCACACTTTTGCGCACTCTTCTCACTGCATCCGCAGCCCGTTTTCCCTTCCAATCTACACCGGGGCAGGATCAACATGATCAACCTGGAAGTTTGGGGCTCCCATCTTATCTCATCGAGAGTCAACCACCCCTCATGAGCCCTCATGGTTAAGATTGACCCCCCTCACAACGTGATTGAAGGTGGTTGTTGGTGATGAATAAGTCCCTGATCATCATCATTTTGTTTGTTCCCATTATGTAATTGGTTGTTGATGGTGGATGTAGTTGGTGATGAGAGCTCGCCCTTACTATTCCATTATATTCTATTGGGGGAGTGGCCGAAGCGGGGGGGTTGGTTAAATCAGAAACCCGAATCCTCATCCTGATCTTCATCCTGCCAAGTCAATTTCCCTTCAGGATGCTGAGTTCCTTTTGCAGTTGGACCCTCCGATCGAGTGCGCTCAGTTTTTTGAGAATCAGGATGCCCCAGGAACTCTTGTGAAGAAGAATCTCATCTATCTGCTTTACAAAATGCACATCCTACAAGGGGGACTTCCATATGCACAGGTCTACTACTCCTTCACCTAGGGTTATCCTAGGATTTCTGGGGTTAGTATTTGGGAATCCCCATCCATCGGCGGATGCACGTTGCCACCCATCCTGGCCAGGTACATTTGCGTGTCCTTCGCACAGAAGGCACAGGATTTGCAGGACTGACCGATCCATCTGTCTATCCATTTGTCTACCTATAGACCCTCCAAGTAGGCATCAAAATGGTGTGTTACCCCAGAGTTCTAGTATTTTCACCATGTTTTATCATGTTTTACCATTTTTTATGGGCATTCGGAGGCTCTAGGTATCTACCGGTCGTGTTTCCGAACCAGGAGCTGATTGACATCATGGACCGCCTGAATATTCCAGCAGAGCCGTTGCCTTAGAGTTGCGTTCAAGGGATCTGAGTGGGCTTTAGACATTGCACAATAGACTAGACACATGTTCAATGGCCATTTCAGGTACCTATACAGTAAACTGGAGGCACCATACCAAATAAAGCCATATTTTGGGGCATATCCCCTTGTATAGCCCACACATAGGCGCCTGACATGTAGGTCTTTGGAAGGAAAGTCTGGCTGATTTTGGGAGATCATTTTTTTCAATGCCCAAACTCATCAGCCGTTGACCATTCCCCAAAACAAAACATTTCAGCGCACGAAATCACACTCGTCGCACTGAGGAAACGACCAAAGATTTGCCCGAAGATTGAGAAGCCCCAAGCGCTTACCAACATTGCATCTCGGTGGTTTCAAGGTGTTTCAAGTAAGTACTGAGTATGTGGCCATAATGAACTTGATTACCTTCCGGTTTCATCAAACATGGCTAGCTGGGAAACCCATGAAAAACCCATATAATTCAAGGTTTGAATGGGAAAATTATCAATAGTGGATCTCCACTTGCCATGTTTGATTACTGGAGGGAATGGTGGTTTCAAAAAGATGCTGTTCTTCTTTTTGTTTTTGTTGTACATGGTCACCGCAAACTGTGCATCTATTTGGAGTTCTCGCATAGGAATAAAAACAATTAAACACCCAACCCCTGCATGTTGCGGAAACTCTCGTTTTGGGAGGTAGGCCAATCTTGCAGAATTGGGCCCCTGCAAGATCCACCAACATATTCCAAAAAACCGCAATTAAATGCGATTGACATGCTCGATTTTGAGTCATGGAAATTGAATTCATTCCAATCACGGTTGATTCATGTTGATTCCAATGATTGATTGGATCAGGGGAAATCGACAGGAACCCAGCAGAATTGACCATACTTCGAAAGCCCATGATTTTTCCGTGGGTGTTCTCGTTAAGACACATCCGATGATATCCGATGATTGATTTTTGGCCATCAAAAACATGGTACCCTCTCGTAATTTAGAGCAGACATTCGAAGAGCTGAGGTCGCCTTCAGTCTAGCTGAACTTGACCAGATGGCCCTATGTTAATATACCATGAGCCGCCAACTTTCATGGCAAAAACATGCAAAAACCAAGAAAAACACATGATTTTCTCGGCATTTCTGAAGCCAAAAAAGGACGGAATCATCGAGAAGTCCCAGTCCCTGATGGTGGCCCGGGGTGATCTCGGAGTCTCGACATCTGCAAAATCCGGAGGATTGACACTGAATTGACACCAGAAATGGGTCCGAATTGACCATGAACAGGGTAACAGGGGGTTCAATTAATTATTGGGTTTACCGTTTACCACATGAATTTGCCCTAACACATTTGTATGTTGAGAGATTGTGGAATTTGAGAAACGTTTGCCGCTGCAATCAACTGTGAGCTACGGGCACCTGCCTGTTGGTACATCCCCGGCTCGAGTTCGGGGTAGGGTAAGGGTGGACCCTGATGCTTGTCTTTCTAACCCTCAAAGGGACCTTAAAGCAGTCGACAGTTTGCTGTGGAATGTCTAAGAATTCAACATGGAGTGTTTATTTCAGCCAGTTCCAAAACCTTTGGTGGATTCAATTGCTGAGGCTGCTGAATGACAGCACCAAAGAGAAATTCCTATTTGGTTGTTTCAAACCTTTGTCGTCATCATGATCTCCAGTGGACAGTTGTTCTCAGTGGGTTGCTCAACCAGCAACATCGGACTATTTTCTACCGGGTTGCTCCAAGCCACTGCAATCAATCCAATATTGGTGAAATTTACCACTATATTTACCCAGTTCTCCCCCCAGAGCTATCGTATCTGGATTCCAGGGTGTTGGGCGCAACTTGTTTGAAGCGCCAAACTTTCGCACACTCCCAGGGGTGGAGCTTGGATTGAATCGCGTGCCTTTCGCGCAGAAACTGCTCATCCGCAAGGCCTTATTGTTGCAGAATTATTCTTTGAATGTGAGACAAACAAACAAATTGACAAATAGACAAACACGCAAACACACACACAGTCAGACACACAGACACAGACACAGACACAGACACAGACACAGACGCACACACACACAGACACAGACACACACACACACAGACACACACACACACATGGTACCAGTTTCAGGCCCATGAGTGGAAAGCTGTACTCCCAGTGCTCCCCACTCAATGCCGCAGTACCCTTCTCAGATTAAATACTATCATACTAGCGATCCAAGACAGACTCAGGATTTCTACTGAACAAAAATCCGACACTTCTGAGGGGAGTATTTGTGGAGTTTTCCCGATATATTTTCATATTGAGGCGAAGGGATTAGCTACTTTCACAGCAGGCCAAGCAAGCGGGGCTCTTCGTGATCACGGCCACCCAGATGGTCTGGAGCCTAACAAACCTAATGGCATGTGATGGCACTTGGACATCGGAACGAGGTCATGGATTGGGTTCCACCATGTTTAACCCCGACGAATCCGTTGTGGAACGTATCCGTAGTTCAACGAGTCTTGGGGATCGTCCAAGCAGGGTTGATCATGTCAACATGTTTAAATCTACCATGATTGGTAATTAAATCATGAACACATAATGATATAAATTTAGATGGTTTAAAGGGTGATCCAAAAATGGGAAGAGACTTTGGTGACCGAACCATATTTAGGCAATATCCATGATTAGTTCATCATAGTCTAACTAATCCCAGTTATAGGGGACTTTGTAATTTGATGACGCTACATTACAATCATACCAGATGCTAACCGGGATGCAAGGATTCTAACTGGGGTTGTTTCCCCTACAGCTCTCTGAATCTCTCCCAAAACGGGGCGCCACCAGGACAGACCCCAAGGAATCATGGTGTTGGTTACACGACAACCCCCCGTTATAAGGTGATCTAAAATAAGCTAACGATTTTTTACTCAAAGAAAGAAGATGGAGAAATTATAGATTCACCGTAGACATCCGTAGACCATCTATTTATCTCTATTCACATTAGTTATCAAAGTTATCAACCAACTTACCAACCTAATGGGCCCCTTCCTCTGGTTCTATCCCCATTAGGTGCCCCATCTTGAACAATTTTTTCGTCTGAGGTTGAGAGCATGATCGAGGCTCCAGTTCCAACACGTGCAGAAGTTGCGGACCTGTGTTGCTTGGACGCCACCAGCCAAAGGGGTGAGAGATTTGCCAGATATGTATGGATATGTCAAGAATCCAACGATTTCTGAATCTTCAAAAAAAATAAGATCCTTCTTCTAAATATCCTTTAAGTGATTTCAAGTGTTATATGATAAGATATCAGGATTTCTATCCAACCTTCGCCCCAGCCGCTGCCCAGGTAATGCAGTCTGGGACGGCACGGACGCCGTGATGTTGTCTGGGGAGGCCGCCAGCGGCAAATTCCCCTGCGAGGCCGTCATGGCGGAGGCTGCGGCTGCACGGGAGGCGGAGTCAGCAGCTTGGAGCAGGGGATGGCTCCTGGAGAATCCTTAATAACTGGCTACTAAGTCGGGTTATAACAGTTATAACATGTTATGACCCAGTTATAAATGGATATAAAATGATATAAATATATAGGATAAGCCTAGTTAGGGGACTTACTAATAACCAGGGTCATTAACCATATTATCCGAAGTTTGGGAGCAACAAACATGGGAAAACAAGTGAAGAGATTGGGAAGAAAACTGCACATTTTGAGTGCTGAATGCATCTGATCCCAGGGTTAAAGGCCGGTTTCAGCTGCGTTTCTGGAGCTTCAGCAACTTCATCCCATCCCAGTGGTATTAGAAAGGCCATGAAAGGCATTCAAGATGAGATAACATGAGTAGATCCAACGCTAAACCACAAAATTGGGGCGGTCTTCAATGTTAGGAATCTAGGGATTGTTACATGTGATTTTGCTTCCAAACAGATGATTAGTTTCAATGAGCATGTTGGCACAGCGAACCAAGGTAGAGCATCGAGTTTTCCCAGTATCTTGGCCGCACCGGTCGATTTAAAGCCCAAAGCTACACCAGGCTGAAGATTTGAAAGTGTTTAAGGGAGTCAGTGGCCCCCAAAAGAGTGTAGGAAGTAGAGATTGAATCAGTGAGAGAGTGATGCTCCCTTTTGTAGCCCTCCGTGATCCAGGCGATCCCTGCGGTGGTGTGA